TACGAGATTCTCGATAGAGTTAATCTAGTCGGTCTAGTTACCGCGAGTATTAAGTATTAGGAGATTATAATCTTTAATCGAAATAATAAGTAATTCTTTCTTTTCTACGTACTAGTTTTCGTCTTTCGACTATTAGGATCCCTTTTCGTTCTTAAACCTCTATTTTAATAATATAGTAATACTATTACTTTTTCTCTAACCCCGCTTTTACGGAAACGCCGGATTATAATTATATAACTCGATAGCGGACACTAAATTTATAGAAGAAAATACTACTACGATAAGTCCTTATAGCTAGTAATACTATATAGTATAAGGAAGTATCTCCGGGCTTATAACTAATACAAGATAGGGATAAAAGTAGGTACTAATAAAAGGCAGTGATATTGTTATTATTGTCTAAGTCCGCGGCCGGGTGGACCGGGCTCAACTATCTAGTGTCTTGGCAAGCGTGCTCTGCACTCTCGACTGGTGTTCCCAAAGTGCCTTAGCCTGCGACATATTACGTCCGATATCTGCACGATATCCACGCAAAGACCTCTCGCCCCCTATTGCGTTTAGCAGTACCCGCAACGTATTAGCGTGCAAGACGGCTCGTTCAGTCAGTGCCTTTACGATCTCTCAACAGCATGAGTGGAAACCCTTGCATTGGCAGTCTGTGTCTCAGCCGTGGTCACAGGTAGCCATGTCTTCGGACGATGTACACACCCTCTTTATTCCTCACTCAGTCTCGAGATTTGTCTTCACAGTCGTCTTGCTTGCTCTCGTCTCATACTTCGGAACCATCTTGTACGATGCATTCTTCGGTCCGCTCAGCAAATTTCCAGGCCCCAAACTTCGAGCCGTGAGCAAGCTTCCTGGGACATACACGACAATCACAGGTCGCGATGCATTCGTCCGCGCAGATCTTCATGAGAAGTACGGGCCTGTCGTGCGTGTCAACCCAGCCGAGATATCCTTCAACAACGGGGCAGAGGCCTGGGAATCCATATACGGCTTCAAGAAACCGAAACCTTTTCGAGATCCCCAGTTTTATGCTGTGGGTGTCAATGGCTGTCCAGATGTAGTCAGTTCCGATGAAGAGAACCACTCGAGGCAACGGAAGATTCTTTCGACTGGGTTCAGCGACAAGGCCATCAAGGGGTATGAACCTTTATTGAGGTCTTGGGCCCAAAAGATGATTACCAAGATGTTTGAGCAGGCCAACAAAGCCGGCGAGATTGATATGCTCAAGTACCTCAACTGTACTACGTTTGATGTCATGGGTGAGTTCGTCTACATCTAATGAAGACGGTGAATTATCATCTCACTATTACCAGGGGACCTAGCGTTCGGGGAAGGCTTGAATATGCTCGAAGACGGCGAGCTCTCTCCATGGGTCCAAACGATTTTCGCCGGATTCAAAGCCGGGACATTCTGGCGTTGCGTGATGCAATACTCGACTTTGACCAACTGGGTAGTCGGAAAGCTGCTCTTCAGCAGCAAGCAGGTTCGTGTGAAGATGTGGCAGAATTTCGAGTACTGCCAAAGTCGAATGGACAAGAGACTTTCCCACGAACCGGATCATCCTGATCTTTGGTCGAAGGCAGTGGAGAAGTCAGGGGGCGTTGAGGGGTTGACCGTAGATGAGTTCCATTCAAATTCTGTTACGTTCATGGTAGCTGGTGAGCGAGCTCGATCATAGTATGTTTGCTTTTCCGACTTGCTAAATGAAGAGTCTAGGAACCGAGACTACTGCCACCGCCCTTAGCGGCCTAATCTATCTTCTTCATCAGAGAGACAACAGGGATGCTCTAGAGAAGCTGAAACTAGAAGTCCGCAACAGCTTTGCAAGCCTTGAAGAAATCACCTTGGACAGCCTATCTCGTCTAGACTACCTACAGACCGTCCTCCAAGAAGGGCTTAGACTTTACCCTCCAGTACGTTCGCAGAGACCCGATGCCGGCGGAAACTGACTGAATATGCAGGCTCCAAGTCAACTTCCGCGACGAACACCTCCTGAGGGCATGCTAGTTTGCGGCCAGTACATACCCGGAGGCATTACTGTCGCCGTACATCCCCTAGGCACCTTCATGTCGCCGACGCACTTCAAAGATCCGAAGAAGTTTCGCCCGGAGCGTTGGCTTGGTCACCCTGATTACAAAGGCGATCATTTGGATGCTGTGGAGCCTTTCTCATACGGACCGCAGAATTGCTTGGGCAAGGTGAGTCTTCGATCTCTGTTCTCATTACACCCTGCTGAATCATAAATCTAGAGCCTCGCCTGGCACGAAATGCGATTACTTCTAGCATCTCTAATCCTCAGCTTCGACATTGAGCTCACAGCTGAAGCTAAGGGTTGGATCGATCAGAACATTTACGTGTTGTGGGAGAAGAAGCCGCTGATGTGCACGCTGAGACAACTAGCCAGATCTTCCTAGACAGGTATTGAATCGCCCTCCCGCTTTCGAATACGTATCCTTGTACTGGGACTCGCAAGCCGAACGATCTCGAACTTGACATCTTGGGGTGGCTCGTCGCCAGGGACGTACTCGAAGTCGTACTCCAAAAGCAAAATGCACAGGGCAATCTTGATCTCATTCGAGGCAAAGAAGCGACCCGGGCACGCATGTTCGCCTTGTAAGTCTCGTCAGTAGCTGCATGGGACTCTACGTGGGAGGCAGTACGTACCAAAACCCCAACCCATCTGATCAGCCGAAGGTGTGCTGAAAAGGTGTTGGTTGTGTTCTCCTGGCCGCTCTCGTAGCTTTGCGAATCGTTTCATATCGAATTTCTCCGCATTTAAAAAGTGCTCCGAAGAATGAGCCCAGTCATTCATGACCATCAACGTGCTGCCCTTAGGAATGACAGTTCCATCGGAGAGCTTCACCGGAACTTTGGCGAACCGTAGCATCGAGGCTGCAAAGCGCAGGTCAGTCCCTGAATCCCGTCCAAGCAAGCGAGTATTCTTACTGGCGAGTAGATCCCTCGTTCTTTGGCATTCCTTCATGAAACTGTCAAGCAACTTCATCTCCTGCAGTCCTTGCTTTGTCCATCCATTTTCGCGAAGCACCTTGCGGCACTCCTCTCGCAGTGGCTCAACCAGTTCTGGCATATCACATAGCTGCAGCAGACACATAGTCATCGTCTCGGAGCTTAAATGAATGGCCGCGAGGCTGAACGAAAGCTGTGCGGCAGCGTAGTCTATACTCCGACCTCTCGCACATTCCACCATCCAGCCGATGGCATCAGAAATTTTCGATGACCCTTCGCCTTCGGCCTTGACCTGTGCCCTCCTGAGATCGACAACTGGCTGGATGAGAATCTGTGCTTTCTTGTAGTAAAGTCTCGCTTGCGTGCAATTCTTCGAAAACCACTGCATGATAGGCCTGGCCAGAGCATGATGTGAACGCAGCTCACTAATGGCCTCGAAGCTGCTGTATGTGTAGTTCTTGGTGACATTCAACCAATCCTGGTTGCGGCAAAGGTCAAGTCCAAGAAAGACTCGAGAGGACAGTCCTGGTATGTAGAGTCAGGGGAATTGTATTCGAGTTCGTTGCGAGGATGTTTCGTACGAGCAATGATGTCCTGAACATCTGTTTTGATCACACGAATCTTCCATTCTTTACTCTCTCCAAACAAGTCTCGGTACGTCAGCTGAGTCTCTTCGACCAGGCCTGGATCAGACCACCGCCGGTCAGCACAGTCTTTGGTCGACATATGATATATGAATGCATACCAGCAGTAATAAGACCCAAGCTTTGCGTGAGCTTCTTCCTCACAACCTCCTGAATAAATGTATCATTCTCCAGGATCTCTCGGAAGGGCTCGAGACCTGGATACGAGGTAAAGCTATCTCGAGCATGGGCGTCGTTGAAGCTGAGATCCGGATTGTTCTTGAGTTCTTGAGCAAAGCGATTAGGGACGACGATTTTCCAATTCGTCCCTGTTTGGACCTGAAAGCAGCTGGGAAGCTCCTTGCCACGTTCAAGCAATCCTCGGCCATTCTGCAGGTACTCGTTGCGATCGGCGGAGAGGACAGGTATACCTGCGTAAGGCCTCTTGCTGTTCCTAACGTAAAGCAGCCATGTGATCACGAGGGTGGTGGCGCCCAGAGCAAGAAGTGTCCAGCTCTGGGTCAAGCCGGGTAACAGTCCACGATGCTCCATGGCAGTGAGGAAAGATTAGACGTACAAGGTAACTTGCAATGCACGTATTTTTACTGGCTGAAGAAAGGCAAACAGCGAAGCTGTACCTGTGGCGCAGCCTTGGTGGCAGGAGATCTCGGAGAGGGGTCACTCATTTAGTTCGGTATGCGAACGCGGGAGTTAAGAGGGAGTGAAACAATGTCCAATTGCTGTGATCATGTCCCAAGACACATAAATCAAGATCAATTAATATCTGGAAGGCACAGAAAACCATATCATCATTTAAAAAGGTTGTCTCGGCTGTCCAAGGCGATGGTACACACAATCACAGATATTGTCGTATTAAGTTTACATCTCAATTATTCCCTCTGGCCAAGGGTCTTGTTTCGTGCCTGAGGCTGACAGCAAGGCCGTGGGCCCGTGCATGGGGCTGAATCGGCTCCAACATTTCTTCTTCAAAACATCCCGTCCCCACGTTCTTATCATCCCACCCAAGCCGCGTGTATTTCACGTTGAAATGACGAGCGAACCCGAGCCACATGCGTCTGCATGATCATGTAATGGACCACTGGAGTCGCTAAGGAGCTGCCAACCACACCGGCAGCAATCCTACGAGGGATCCTACACCCCATGCAGAAGTAGCTCGCCGTGGCTTGTACGTCGCGAGAGCACTAAAAGCTCCCCAGAAGAAGACAGCTCGAGAAGCCGCAAGCACAGCGTTCCCGCCGCCAATCATTGTCACGGACAGGTCTCCAATGATCGTGCTGCCGGCCACGAACATCAGCGTGCGTCGAACACCAAATGCCGTGGCCAGTGTCGTCACACCTTCTTGCAGGTCTTCGTTCAGGTCTCGAACGTCGGCAATTGATTCCCAGAGGAAGTCGTACACGATCGTGTACATCAAGACCTGGAAATGCGTCGTGCTGGGAGGATGCTCTGGATGAGGCATCGTCCCCCGAAGATACAGGAGGACGGCGGTAACATCCATGAGTCCAATGCAGGTCGCACCGAAGAGGGACTTGAACGGCCCTAGGAAGGCTTTCAGTTTAACCATCGAGATCTCACCGGTCTTCCAGGAATATGGTGGTATCAGTGGTGTTCCGTGTACGACCGCCAGCATGGGAACGCCAAGAAGCCGAAGAAGTGCCAAAGCACCACAGTGCCAAGTGCCATATGCAACGAGAAGAATGAACGGACTGGCGAAGACGGCGATCTTGCCCTGCCAAGCTCTTCGGGTCTCAGAGGGCAGGTCGGCATACTTGTCGAGGACTGGATAAATGATCAGCCTCGGCTCGAACGCAATGCGCAGTCTGTGGGAATGTTCACTTGCCGTCGATCAGCACGTGGAGAGCGAAAAGCAGAACCAGAATTGGAATATCAACGGGTTCGTTGTGGCCGAGTGTCGCGTGCGTAGCGCTCACTGCAGGTGGGATGTGCATGGCTCCATTGACGATGGGCAGTATGAAGCTCGTTCCCGCGATTGATCGAGTAAGCTCTGGTTGGGACATGTTGTTGGTTGGACGCCGGGATTCGACTTCGGGTGAACATGTTTGGAAGCTTGAAAGATATCAGGCACAAGTCCAAGCAATGAGAGCTGAGCTGCACTTGTTGGGGGCCTGAGCTGAATCTGTCGAGAGCCTTGAGCGGGGTTTGTGGGAGGGTAGAGTGGATATCTTTGCTCCTGCCATTCGTGCGCTCCGATGCAAACAGGTTGCTCAGCTGCTGCACGATGTCACTGATACTCGCTCGTTGACATCCCGAGCTCTCCGACTCGTGATCAGTCACCGGGCCAAATTAGCTGGGAGCTGATGCTACATTCTCCGTAATCAAGGCTCGATGCAGTAGGGGTCGACCGACTTTCCCGAGCTCTGTGAACGGCGGTACGAAGCCCAGCATCATCATCCTGAGCGGCTGAAGGCTGAGCCCGCCCGTGCGTGCATGTTATTTTGCCCGTCGTCACTGATGAGGGAAGGGTTGCGGTGGAGGGGCGGAACGAAGCCAGATGCCTTCTTCGAACTCTCTAGACGAACCGCTCCGACGACCGCGAACGCCATATCGATAGAGCATTTCCAAATTATAGATCACCTAGACTCTCATCCGTTATCAGCAATCTGGAAGCATAATGTGGAGCCCGGGAAAGGTGGACGAAGCAATCCGTAGAGGCGAAGAATGGCTCGAGCAGAACAAACAGTCGTTCCTTTCCGAGACGGATACAGGTATACAGTTCAAAGACAACTTCGCCGATCTCCTCATTTTGGAGCTATCCAATCGCTGGTACGTACTTCTTTGCTATAGCAGTTTGCGAACCTTGGGCATTTTCCTTAACAGGTACAACCTCAGGGACTATGTGGATCTTAGAATCCCCGAAAGGCGCTGGAACTACTTTGCAGGTGAGTGCTGGTTTCGACGACTGATGATCTTGGCGTTGACTGTGTACGGTAGTCAAGCCAGTCATCGTACCGCCCGATTATCCGAACGACAACGACACGAACGCGGTGGCCTTCTCCATCTTGAGACCAACCGATTCCCGAGTGAAAGAACTCATTGACGAAATATTGGCTTGCAAGAACTCGGATGGCATCGTACAGGTGAGTACCTCGAAAACGCCCTGCTGAACGCTTCACTTACAAGATATCAGGTCCACCTAGATCCCGACCGACCAAGAATAGCCCCCGAAGTCAGCGCCAACATCCTCTCGCTCTTCTACAGCTACGGCCGAGGCCACGAAGTACAGGAATCAGTGAAATACCTCGAGAAAGCCCTCGCCCCGGACGAATACGAAGAATCGCGATACTACTTCCTCCCGGAGCCGCTGTTCTTCTACACCTGGCGGCTTCTCTGCCTTGCTTCCGGCTCGACGGCGCTCGAAACCGTCGACGAGCAGCGCCTGCCGAAGGAGTTGTGGGCGTTAAGAGAGCATTTGGTCAGGCGCGTGAAGGCGCGGATTGGTGCTGGGAGGGATAATGGGCTTTGTCCGGCTGTACGGCTTTTGATTTGCCAGTCGTTGGGGATTGGGAATGAAGAGGATGTGCAGGTCTTGCTTGATCGGCAGCAGGATGATGGTTGCTTTGGGAAGGCGTGGTATGTGAGGTACGGATCGAATGGGATCAGGATCTCTCATGAGGCGTTTGCTTGCTTGATCGCCGTTGTGGCTTTGCGAAGACTTCGAGACGATGCTCTGAGGAGTGGGGACAAGAGCGGCACGACGTTCGGAGACTATCTACGGCGGCTTCGACATTTCCTGCCTCCTTTCTAGCGATATAAATCAAGCGGGGCTCTCTATCCAGCGCTCAAACATCCTCCTCGAGAAATCCTCATTATACCCCGCATAGCTCGCCTCTCCTTTCATATACTTATTCGAATCGTCGGCGCCGTACGACCAACAAATAATCTCTAGTCGTTTCGGGTCGTGACACGGAGCCTCTCTGTAGAACTTCCTCAGGCGCTCATGGTCCTTCAAGGGCGGGAAGCTCTCAGCATCCCCGACCGTTGCGTAGAATGCGACCCGAGGGATGTGGCCGGTCTCGGGGATGATGGTGACGCCAAAGGTGAACATGGGGTTCATATGATCGCTCATGACCTGAACCTCTTCTTCTGAAGGAGGTTTCGATCCAGCCAAAGCGACGTACTTCGCCGCCCGCTCAGCGGTCAGGCCCCCGTCGAGGAGAAAGTAGACGTTGATGCTCTTGTTCGTGTAATCGACCGCCGCGAAGTTCACCTGGTCGTCCAGACCGGCCGCTTGAAGATCGGGCACTCGGGAAGCAGCAGCAGCTGGCAAGCCAGACGCAGACAGGATCTCCTGGAAGGGTTGTATGCGTTGGAAGTAGACCCAGTTCTTCGCTATCCCTCGACTGGGATCGAAGTCGCACCACTCCTCTGCGTTTGCTCGTGAACTCCACGATCTATTGACTTTGGCGAGCGGATTCTCGATGTCGATCCAACCAGCATTGGCTTCGATCGATGTGGTATCGACGAATTTGCCATGGAAGGCGAGGCGGAAGTTGACGATATCTTTGGGCTTGCTGGTGCATCGCAGCCAGACGTATGAGTTGTCCAGATGTTCGTCGAATGCTGATAGGATCTGCTCGACTTTCTGCTGGGAGTATGGAGCGTCTAGGGAGTGACAAAGCGCCGTGAGCTCGGAGACGAATTTCGTGCGGTCGAATGGTGAGGTGGCCATATCGATGTCTTTTGATGGACACGCAGATGACGGCAAAGCAAGCCACGTGTTTCTGGAGGTACTTCGAGGTTGAAGGGGTTTAGTAAACGAGGAAGGGAGGGGTTGGAGGATCCTCAGCCTCTTCGTGCTTCGGAACGATACAGTAATCGACAGGACCTATCATAAGGTACCTTGGCTTGTTAGTACCTGATTATTAGCTATTTTTGACTTTGCTAATACGCTTCTACATGCTTGAAAAAGACATGCTTCGGCTCTCTTCTCTATCTTCTTGGATACCTAGATGTACTCCAAACGACATCCCGAGCTAATTGCAACACGTCACCTCAACAGCCTTGCCCATCAACGTTCAGTATCCATGCAACAAGACGGTGGAACAAGGCTGTCGACCAAACGGCCAGACAACATACAACAGCCACATCCACCCGACCAAGTGTCGATGCCTTGCCCCTGAGCCCGTGAAGAGCATATCTGGACGCGGTGGAATAGAAGTCATTCGATGGAGCGACAGCAACATGGCTAGCTTTACAGCCATTTTTGCAGAGCGGTGGCGCTGCATATAGACTCTTTTTCCACACCGACCTCATCGCTATGCCGCTCGCTCGGACGACTCAGCAGACCCTCGTGACTATTGGCACTCAGTCCTTCTTCTTCCCCCAGCTCCAGCACAGGCACCATAGCTACACGTCCGTGCGCACAGACGAAGGGAAATGCACACTTTGCGACCTTCTCGATCAAAGCCTCGCATTCTTCTTTGCTCAAAGCGTCATTGAACATGATGGCGCTTCGGCAGGCGCGGGAGTGCAGCATCTCCAATAATTTTGTAGGCATGAGTGGAAGAAGAGTGAGCCAGAAGGGCGAAGTGTCTTCGTCTGAGGCGCCCTGCTGTTTGGATGGCAGGCTTATGACAGCTTTCTTCGAGCCCTCTGCCAGGGCCCACAGTTCGGAGCGAAGAAGATCAATGGCGAGGGAAGGGAGGCTGGCGCAGCGAGCGGCGATGAGGGTGGGGAGGTGGGACAGCTTGAGGATGCAGGAGGTTTCGGCACCGAGAGGCTCTTTCCCTGATGAGAGTGTGTAGACAATGCCCCAGGTTGCGAAGTGAGCGCGGTATTGCCGCAAAAGGTCATATTCTTGGGAAGAGACTTGGAAACGCAGGGGCTTGGCTTTTGTGGTTTCGTGTTCCAAGTTGGACCTCCTGATTTGTCCCTTAGGGCCACACAGCTCTGCGAAGAGGTCCTCGAGGATTATGCGCTCGGATGCAGCGTGTTGGTCGACCAGGACGAAAGTTTCCTTCGTATCGTTTTGTGTAGCAGGCAATTTACAAAGGATGAATTTGCGATCGACTTGGCCGATGACGGCTGCTCGGTCAAGGACAGCCTTGGACAGTTTGGTCCCAGCATTTTGAAGACCGTCTCGGTTGAGAGCGTGCCGTCCATGTGACCCATGCGAGCAGCGCCCCTCGCGCTCATCCGTTTCCAGCAGACCAGGTCCATGAAGTGATGCGGCTGGAATAGGTTCTTCCTGCTGCCTAGCAAAGACTGGATTGTTCCACTCTCGCAGAAATCGTAGGAGCCATTTTTCGTTCTCATCACCGAGTTCCCTGTCTCCATCCTTATCCACGAGAGCCTTCCTCCGAGCAAGACTCAATGGTCTTCCAGCAGAGGAAAGCGTGTTATCAATGCCTGCGCGCTGCCTCTGGTGGACGACGTCTTGCTCACTCGGTTTTGTGAGGTCCGTGCTTTTCGACAGTGGCAACACCACGCCAGTCCTTGCATTGACGCTGAACACTTGCTTTGTGACTGGGTCTGTCCAAGTAACATCTGCATCCTCGCCTGCATCCTCTGGTTGGGATAGCGCCTGATCTGCTGCCTTAATGTCGTTCAGATAGCCGTCTCCCAGCGCAGTTGGCTCAGCATCGTCAATACTGCCGAACGCGTCACTTGAGGCCAGCTGACTACTTTGTGAGTGTCGCACGGTAGGCCGGACATTTGAAGCAGAACTCTCAACGGGAGAGGGTTGTGGCCGACCGTTCAGCGCTCCAACTTCGATTGTCTCTGGTGTCAGACCCGTCTGTGGGGGCTCTGTTCGTGGCGTTAAATGCCGGATTCTGTCTTGATCACTAGAGGCAGTCTCGGAAACCTTTGTGCCTCCGTGACCAGTATATCCGCCAGACCTAGATCGAATCATCCCTGTTCTGATGTTGCTGAGGAAGGGCTGATCCAAGGTGTTGGGCTGACCGAGCGTAGCTGATGGTCCTTGTTGAGAGACAGGTCTCAGTGACAAGTCAACGATCTTCCGCCTCTTTGAAGTGGAGTGAAGGGCGGCTGGAGTTCCCGAGAACTGCTCAACATTCTGCTCCCTGTCGCGAGATGATTGACCAGCGGAGGGATCGACCAGTAAGCCGCTCTGTGCAGAACCCGGTCTTGAAGCAGAAGTAGAACGAGTTGATGATGCTTCTGCCTGGTCTTTGTCACGCCTACGACGCTTCCGTGGTCGAAAATGGTTCTTCTCGAGCCAAGCATGAACTGCGGCAGTCATAACATCCGCTATCGCTGTCAGAGAAGCTTCATTCATCTCGTCCGGAACCACACCCGCCCCAGACTTTCGACCGGTAATGTTCACCTGCAAGCTGAACATGGCAAAGCGATCAATCCCTCTGCGGATGTGGGATTGTTGAGCCCCAGAGGCAGTGGCCCTCGTCTTCTGTGGGGTTTCACTTCCAGCCGATTGGATACCATCTTCTGTAATACCAAAGCTGCTGTTTTCGAAGACTCTATTCACTGCATCATGAAACGCAGTCTGACCAGACATTGGACTGCAAGGGCGTATGCCAACGGAAATGAATTGACATTGTTTGGTAGGCGCGGGATCGAGACAGATGAGACCTTTCAAGGCGATAGATGCAGACTGAGCTGCTACGGGAACCCATCGTTGTCGCCTGTCGGTGGGCGCGAGTCCAGCTTGAAAGAACATCGGAAGGGCATCTCGAAGATCATAGTGAGAAGCTGCGCTCTTGCCACGGAGCCGATGCAAGCTCCTCTCAGTCAGCAAAGTTGACACACTATGGTGCTGGCCTGTCAGATTGACGGTCCTCGATTCGATGTTTGCGTCCTGCACACGCACTGAGCATGGCCTCGTCCAAGCCTGCAGCAGGCCAACAACTCCGCGCTTGAGCTCCTGCCACGCCCTGTCATGGCTCTTTGCATCATCATCTGCCAAAGCGCGTTGCTTCACGCGGACGGGCATATTTCCAAACAGATCCTTAACCACGACGCTGGTCCCACAAGAGGCCGTAGTGTCCAATGCACGGTGACCTGGAATCTGGCGAGTGAGAACCTTACCTTGGTGAATGGTGATTGACGCGGATTTGCCAGTTCGGCTCGAAGTAATGCTCAGCAAAGACATGGCCGCGAGCTCAGCAATGAGTATGCCATTGGAGCCGTGAACATCGTCTGACTGACTTCCAACCGGGGCACGCTTTGAGGTGCAGTACATCCTCCCAAGACCACCATTCTCGGCGAATTCGGTAGCAGGAATTCCAATGCCATTGTCCTCGACAGTACAACAACCACGTCTCCAATCCAAGGTAATGCTGATTTTGGTGGCTCCGGCATCGAGACCGTTCTCCAACAAGGACAGAGCGACACCTTCCAGGGACGTGATGTGTTTCGAGGAGTGAATTTGAGATATGGCGTCGGCACTCAGGGGTAGAATTCGCTGGACGTTTGAAGAACTCATCTCCTCAGGGATAGAGCCGTTCATGGTGGCATCCGCCGCTTTCTTCTCCGATTGCACTCGAGTCTGCCGGCCTTCATCGCTGATTATGTGGGTGTCGGTTTGGACGTCCTTGACAGCCACCACGGGGAGCTTCGGTTGGTAGGTAAAGATATTGGCTGCGCTTGGTGTTTGAAGTTGGTGGAGTGAAGTTGGGAAGGAAGAGGACGTTGCGCAAGGGGTAATGTGGAGATGGCAGCGGGTCGGCACGCAACCTTAGACGTCACCAGCTGCAGGGATCGCGGGTGGGAGCATGCCCGTCCCTTTCGCTGTTCGTCCACGGCGCCAGCGAAGACGCGCATCAACACCACCTCTGCCAACCACCACCAACGCAACCCATCAACCATTCGCTGGAGAATTGATTGATCTTTTGATTCAACCCCAAACAGCCACGCGATCAGCCACCACAACGGTTGCGACACGCGTCGAGTCTCATCTCCGTCTCATTTGCGCCTCAGGTCACCACCAGGAGCAGGAGGCCTCGACAAACCTCCAACCCTGCCATCGCCCGTCAGCGTCTGCGAGCACTACTTATTGTAGCCCTGCGGAACGAGCACCTCCAGCTTTCACGCTCCTTTGCTCCCTGTACTGCCGGACAAAGCCGACGCACCCCAGAACCTTGGAAGTTGCTGCATTTGCTTGTTCTTGCATCGCCGAACAACCAAACCTACGCAGCAAAGGGGCACGCAATCATGGCCACTGCTGAGGTTGCAAGCCGGCCGCCTGGTAAGTCTTGACTCCCCAACGCTTGCGACAGTCTGGCAAGCACTCCACGTCTAACTACCATCCCACAGAGCGGCCAATGAAGCGCAAGCCGTTCGCGAACTTCATCAGGAAGCTTGGGATCAAGGGAAGTGACCAGCATGAGAAGGCAAACAACAGCAAGAAGTCCAATGGCGGGGGCATCGCCTTGAAGAGCAAGAAGAACGCGCCTGGCAAGAACAACCCATACCCCGAGTCTGGCCAGCTTCCACAGCAACAGGCAAGCCAGCCTTCCTTTGGCGACTCTTCGCGACACCACTACAGCAGTTCGTTCGCTTCGTTGCCTCCCAGCGCTGGACAGGACCGCGACGGACCGAGTCACAGCAACAAGAGCGGGGCGCCAACTCTGGCCACCAACCCAGAGACGATCCACAGCGATGCTGGTCATAGTAGAGCGGCGACAACCACCACAGGCGCCGGTGCTCTCAGTAGCATGGATGGTGCCGGCGCAAACAGCACCTTCAGCTCGCCCAACCAGAGCGAGCACTCCCTAGCCACCACTTTGACTACGATCCAGTCCACTTCGAATCCAGCTCCGGCCGGCACGAACGGGGTTTCTGGTCACAACAGCGCCCACAACCATCAGAGCCAGCCCATGGGCAGCAACTTCAGCCATCAGTATCCTGTCTCGCCCTCGCATTCAGCTTCGATGGCCTCAGCCATTCCACGCCACTTGCAAGGCGAAAACCCGCCCAACACATACAACTCAGCGACCGCCAACAACCTGCTCACCGACAACGCCAGCATCCTGACACTGGCCTCCTCATCTAAGCGCCGCAGGAGAAGCATGGACACGGACGCGTCAGTCCGCGCTCTGGCGCCAAGCTCGGTCTTTGGCGGCAGCCGCGAATCCCTCCCTCTGAGCGTCCTGAGCGGCAACGTCGGCTCCAGCAGCGAGGCACCACCACGACACTCCGTCACGGGTGCCGCTGCCGAACGAGCAAGCGTCTACTCCTCGTCCGGCCTAGTCCGCGACAACTTCGTCTCCTCCGCCCTCACCAGCGAGCGCAACTCCTACTACGCCAAACCCGCCCAAGCCAGCGACGCCAAATCCCTCCGCTCCATCTCCAACCTCAAGCGCGACGAAGACAAAGCCTCCATCACCGGCGTCTACGCCCGCTCAGATTACGGCGACGCCAAATCCCTCAATGCCGGCGGAGGAGACGTGGCGAGTCTGAGGAGCGTCGGGGTGGGCAATACGGAGGGCCATGCGCGGAATGGTAGTATCCCCGGCAGCATTGGCAGTCCCGTCAATACCCCTTCCCTCCTCCGCCAGACGAGCACGGGCGGGACGGCGTTGAGTGTGAGTCGGAGGAGCAGTGATTGGAGAGAGTTGGACGCCGATGGGACGACGGAGGTGGATTTGAATGGCGTGGAGGATGTGAAGAAGGAATGAGTAGGTCAGGTCAGTCATGAGTGAGAACGGAAATGAAAGAAGAGATTGGAATTGTGCTGTTGGTGGTGGTGGAATAGGAAGAATGCTTGTTGGTGGATGTGTGACGGACAGCTTTTGGAGAGCATGGATCCACTTTTCAATTTTGGTGAAGGAAAAAGAGAAAACTGAGCACGATACCCCCAATCATCAGGAATTCGGTAGTTAGGTAGTTTTGGTACGAGAAGACTGAAATTGAAATTCACAAGAGAAAATTTTGTGAAAACCTGTTTGTGTCTCGAAAATGAGATTTCTTTTCTTAATACATACAATTTTCTAATTTTCGCTGTACACCTCTGACAGCCCATGCGATCTGCGATATGCGATGCGAGGCCCAAAAGCTTCGCTTGCCATCTCGCTCGCTATGCTGTCTAGGTATGTGTGCGTGTCTTGTGTCTTTCCATCCGTGGGGGTATCTTCTCTTATCCTCTTTTGGTTTCTCTCATCCTTTCCATGTCCTTGGCAATGCAAAAACAGAAATCAAAAAAGTCAAGCCAAGCCCATGTTCCTCCAACGCCGTCGCTGTCGGAAAGAGTGGAGATGTGTGCGGTCGCGAGAAAGAGAGGGAAAGAAATCAGCACCTGGCATCGCCTGGACGATACTTGTCGATCCAACCGCCTGGAGCGTGGACTGGTGGACGATAGTAGCCGGTGTCGGGCTGCTGCCGTGGACGGTACCGGTCACGCTCGCCGCGTGCGTTTGCGTCGGTTCCTGGACGATACCTGTCGATGTCGCCTCTCTCGTGGACTGGGTTGGAGGTCGGCGGTGTGGGGAAACGCTCTGGAGTAGTTGGATAATGGGGGAGGTTGCGTGGGGAGTCCTAGGCATAGCTGTTGCCGCCATCGTAGTTAGAGGGCTGGTGGGTGTAGTAGTAGTCATCGCTGTAGCCTTGATGATGATATCCGTCTTGGATTCGGTACTCGTTTTGAAGTGGGTATTGCTCTTCAGGGGGGTATTCCTCTTGAAGTGGGTACTCCTCTTGAAGTGGGTATTCGTCTTGAGGCGAGTCGTTGTACTGAAGAGAGTCGTATCCATGTTGATAATCATCGCCGTTGCCTCGTTGCTCAGAGAGGGCGTCGACGACCTCAACGTATCCATCAGACCACACTACCTGACGAGGCTGGTCGTACTGGTCGTCCTGAGCCGAGTAGTTGTACTGAGAAGAGTCGTATCCAGCTTGATAATCATCGCCGTTGCCTTGTTCCTCCGATAGAGGTTCGTCGACTTCACATTGCTCGTATGAGACATCAACATATCCATCAGACCAGACTACTTGACGAGGCTGGTCGTGCTGGTGCTGATCATGGCGCCCATAGCTGTCCCAAGAAGAATCACCGCCATCTCCAGCAGAATCACGGCGGTCGTTGTCGTATGAGCCGCCGTTGTCGTAGGAGCCTTCGTTGTCGTAGTAGCCGTCGTCATACGTGCCATCCAGCCCCGTGTGCAAGTCAGCTGAACGGTCGCCATCTGGGAACTCGTCGTCCTAGGAAAAGCCTCCCTGCCACCGCTGCGCATCTCTCGCTTTCTTCTTGTTGGGGAAGAGGTCGTCGCTGTTCAACGCCTCCTGACTGGCACCGCGGATTGAAAATCCATTGCCTGCGCCTTTGATGCTGATACCGCCGTCGAAGTCATCTTTCAACCGACCCTGAGATCCGTTGAGCGACATACCAGGTCCGCCACGAGCGAAGAGGTCAGGCTGACCAGTGCCGTTGCGGTTGCGTCCGTTCTGGGCAGCGCGGCTTGCAGGCTCGTATGAACCAGGAGCTCTCTGATTGCGGAAGTTGAAACTGCTGAACGCTCTGCTCGCGTCACTGTCGTCCTCGTCTTCATACTTATGGCCAACTTTCTCGGGGAATAGCTCCTTGCCTCTGGACACCTTCGATGGAAAGAGCTCCGTCGCATCGCCATTCTGACCGTTGGTGAGAGCTGTCGAGGTCTTCTTGCCTGCGAACAGGTCTTGGCGCATGGACTTCCGAGACTGTTCGTTGTCATCGCGGGAACGGTGCCGTGGTGGAGGTGGGGTGCGGCGACGGGCTGTCTGACGCCGCGGTTGGTCCTCGCTGAAACCAAATCGACCGTCACCATCTCTCAATGGCGATGCGCTACGATCACGAAGGCGTCCAGTGTTTCTGCCTGCCATCAAATCTTCCTCTTGACGGCGTGGCTCTCGGCGTCGGCCCGCAAAGAGATCTCCCTCGGACTCGCGCCTGTTCTGGGAGTCGCGCCTCGCTGCAAGAGAAGCCTCGTCGTCATCGTATAGGTTCTCGGTGAACTCAGGACCTTCTCTTGAACCTGGACGGCTGTTACCGCCATATCGTCCACCTCGGCGTGGTCCTCCTCTGCCGAATCCACCACGTCTGGGTCCACGGCCCCGGTACGAGTGATCTGGCCGGTAGGCTGGGTGGGCATCGTAAAACTTGCTTCGCTTGGCAGCACCTGGTTCCTTCATGTCAGTCACCACGGCCTGTCTAACGAACAATTCAACGTGAGAATGGGTGGTCAGCTTGACGGCACGGCGGAGGTCGAGTGGGCTATTGGCAGGCTCGGCGGACAGCTTGATCAAGGCTTCGTTGGCAGCGTGGGCGGTGGCATAGGCAATCTTGGCAGAAGTGTCGTTGATCCACTCGATGGCGCGGAAGTCGTCGCTGTAGTAGGTGTCCTGAGCGAGGTTGCTCAGGTCCTGGGAGGTCAGTGTGTAGTCGTTCGAGACCTCAATGTAGATCTTGGTCGCGACAGGTTCGCTGGAGGCCACCTCTCCCTCCTCGGCTCCCTCCTCAACGCCATTCACATCTTGCATGTCATTCACTTGCTCTTGCGCCAAGTCGGGAAGCTGTTTTATCATATGCTCGGTCAGTACTCGGACTCGGGGCCATTGGACGGTTTTCAGCTGCGTACCGCGTTGATCTCGGCGGCTTGTGCGTTCATGCGTGCGATCTCGGCATCGTCGTCGAAGTCGAGGTCCATGCTGTCCGCGTTGGCAGCCATGGTGGGCGTGTGGGTGGGTGGGATGTTGGATGTGCTGAGTGGTGGGGTGCGGGTGGTGGCAGCTACGCGAGTGCCGGCGGTAGGACGAGAGGTGTGTTCATGCGTCGGTGGTGGAGGGTGACGGTGAGGGTGATGCCGCGGATATGCGGGTGACTTGTGGTAGTTGTCGGATTGTTGTTTGTGGTGAGGAGTCGTGGTTTGTGTTTGGTAGTGGTGGTGGTTGTGTCGAGGTCGGCGTTCGAAGTGGAAGCTTGATTTAAAGCTGAGCGGGCAAGGGTCCGCAGCGCCGCATCCCTGTCGCGGCTCAAAATAAGCTTCAGCCAATGACGCACCGCGCTCGAGCTGTTTTCTGCCTCAGGCACCTAGAAATATAAAGTTAGCTCCTAAATGTTTACTCTTGCTTCTGATTTCACCATTTTCATCTGAACATTTATTGTCTCCTGAAAGCAATTGTTTCTCTGCATATTTCAGAACGCAAATATCATCTGCCAGTTATATCCTTTCATTCACCTAATAAGTATATTTTGCATCACATGAAGACCTCATCCCCTCCCGTGAACCCCCAGCTTTCCATCACTTTCCGCCTCGCAGCATTCACATCACATGAAGCAATTCTGGCCTGAATATCTCTGCGACTTCTCCTCAACTCCCCAGCCACGGTCTTCCAGCTCAGTGTGCTATCCTCCAGCCCTGACTCCCATCCTTTGACTGCTTCGACCTGAACATCGCAAAGCCTACCATCTCTCTTCAAGAACTTTCCACCCACCAAGACATGCTCTATCTCAGCGTTACTCGCATGACGAACCACCGCAGCAAGGGGATCATGATCCACAACGCAAGTCATGCTGGGGCTGTCGGTGCTGAAGATGACTATGTCGGCTTGCTTGCCTTCCTTGAGACTCCCGATCTGCTTGTCCATTCGAAGCGCTCGAGCACCGGCTATGGTCCCCAAGTTGAAAGCTTGCTGCGTAGTAGGCTGTATGAGTCTTGGAAAGCGACCTTGCGACATGATTCGGGAGTTACGATGCGATCGTGCTACTGCAAGACCGACTTGCATGGCGTGCAGGATCGAGGCGTGGTTGTTAGAATGGCCTAGTGAGTGTAAGCTCTTGATAATCAATGGTCTTCTCAATGATGATCTCACAATCGGCCCCAAAACACCCAATCACATCCTCTCTGAAGCCAGCAACCTCTCCATGCGCCATCTGGGACTCCGTCGCAGGGGTCATGCAAACCACTGATCCGGACTCTTTCATCCACTTGAACTCCTCATCAGTCGATCCAGTCCCGTGTGAGAGAAGAATGTCCGGTCTTAGCAGCCCATATTCCTTCAATGTCGCGGGAACAGAATGTCCACCGCTGCCCGCAACGTTATTCCTCCGCCAGTGAGAAGTGATGAACTTGCAACCAGCACCTCGAGCTTCCTGGAAGATTGAGATTGTGTCTTCCCTGGGAATATACCAGGCATCAAAGCCCAAGCCGATGGAGACTTTGCCGCTGGAGGACTCCTTCGCTACATCTTCACAGAGAGACTTGATTTGTGGCATGAAGAACTCAGGCACCGGCTTGGATGTGCTCAGTTCGTAGCCGTCTTTATCCCAACGCTTGATTTGTGGGACCAGACTCGGGCAGAAGATTGATCGAATTCCACTTGTGAGTGTGGCTGAGAAGCCGGCAAGTGCTATGTCTCCAGTCAGCCGCTTCGGATCATGTCGGTCAGTGGCATTGATGTACTTCGATCTGGGCTGAGAGACATGTGTGCATGGTCTACAACCATGGTAGTGCCGCCATCGATCGCCTCCAACAGCCCACCCAGCTCTCCCCAAAAGACATCTTCCGCGGTGTAGTTGAAGTACTGCAGGTTCCCTGATCAATCATCAACATCGCATGCCTGCGAGCAACCCAATACGTAGCACCACTTACCCTTCGGATGATAATCCAACAAACTATCATCCGAATGCCTTCCCTTCAACTGCGTCTGCCACACATGATGATGCGCATCGACGAACCCCGGAGAAATGATCTTCTCCCTGCAATCGATCACCTCGATGGTTTCGTCCGAAACTGATATGATATCGTGGCCGATCTTGGCGATGATGCCGTTGGTGATGAGGATGTCCCCGTCTCGCACGACTTGTACATCGTCGTTCTCGTCGTGGAGGAGCAAGATGCCGCTGTGGAGAAGGATAGATGGAGGAGCTGCGATGGTCATAATTTCGTGGGAGAACAGAGTTGATGTTGAGGGATCTGTGCTTTTCGCTAGTCGGAAGAGGGGTAAATCTCGGGAGAAGAGAAGTGAATGTTAGACACGAATTGGAAGAACTCAGTCTTAAGTCTTAAAATTAGCCAAAGACTGCTTCTATCAGACAAGATCTTTTCCAATTCTTATACAGCTGACATCCTAAGCAGCTGGCAATGTGGTAAGAACAGCCCTAAGGGTTGATGGCAGCTGCTCGCCATGTCGCCGAAGCTCTGCGCTGACTGTACAGACAGACCTCGATATCCCCGAACCCCATCAACCCCATCAATCCTCCTCTACAGGGATACCATGTCATCCACGACAGCCTCAACAGGACAACGCTTGCCTGCTGCACTGGCAACTTCCTTCGTCCCTCAGTGTCCGTACCAAGACTCAGGCGACGAGCTTATCCGAATAACAGCATGAGAGAAGGGCCAACCCGTATGCTTCCAAAGCCACATAGCAGAGGCTACTTTGGACACCATTGAACAGATCGGGAACACATGGTCGCTATTGCATGCTGCTTCGCCAGATGCTTACGCTATGAGGTGCCCACCCATTTCCTAGAACAGCTCCGGATCTAAGTCGCAGCTGGAAACTGCTGGACAGGGCTCGCAGGGAGTCGACACCCGGGGTACGCCATCTACAGGTCTTTTGGGATGGGGTCGTGTTGCAATTATGCTCGTCAGGGACCTCTGGCCAGTGGGTGTTTCTCGACTTGCTTTCCACCATCGATTGTGGGCAACATTGTTCAAGACGAAAGCCGGTCGATCTGCTATCGAAGAACTATACTTCATCTTCACTGGAGAACGGCGTCACGTATTGGAGTAGCTGGGGTCGCCCATTCCCTCTGTTAACTCATCATCGAGTATGGCTGTCCTGAGTTTGCCCACTCGCCGCCACGCCTACTGGACGAGGAGGGCTACCAACCTCTCCAACCAGCACATTCTGCCCTTACAAGACGCAGGATTAAGGCGCTGGTCTCTGTAAATAAGGCACGATCGGGGACTTCGACCCTGATGACTATCAATGCATTGAATCGGGTTTCGAAAAACAGTTTTGGTGCAGACGATAGAATCGTGTCTTTGAATGGCGAGACGTTCAATCCCTCCAGCGCGGAGGTTGTTCTCAAGCGACATGTGAGTGTCAGGTCTCTTGTGGTGGGAATTACAAATCGAGCCTTACACAACAGAAACGAAGAACGAGTTCGTTCCATCCATGCCGGCACCGACTGTGGAGGAAAATCGTGGATAATTCCAAACTGCTCCATCCCAGAAGGGCATCATCATCGTCTTCGACAACCACCCACTCGCTCTTTCTGGTTCTACGGATGTTGTCAAGCCCGACAGTGAAAATGCAGCAGCCTTGCGATGTCGCTCTGGCATCTTATGGGCTATCTGGACCGGAGACGGCGACGATGTGTTGGGCAAAGGGCTGCGACTCTCTCGGCGTCGTTTCGTTGATGCCAGCCTTCAAGGATCAGGGCGGTCATAGTCCGAGCGAAGTGAACCACGCCGTGAAAATTACCTACAATGTGGATCGATTAGCAAGATTCCACAGCATCTGGTCGGGACAGAACCCAGCGAGGATACCGCTGAAGTTTGAATGCGACGAGTCTTGGATGAGATGGATGCTGATATGTCTCAATCACAGCAAGACCGTCAATATCCGGGGATGGCGTTGCAGAGCTCGTCGTACTCACAACCACGACTGCGGCACTTAGATCATAGATCATGAACACGCCTTTTCGAAACGGGTCGGTCGATGAGATCACTTGCCGGAATCGTAATTACATGCCGAAGAGCGTCAGCTCAGTTCAATGAAAGGCAATACATCTTGCGGCGAAGTTCAGCTCGAAGAAAACGACCTTCGTCCAGGAGAAGATCGAACAGCCTGGTCTCAGCCCGGACGTCGCAGCATGCCGTCGTCTGCTCAACACAACAGCCCACATCATCCAGAATGAATGACAGGTTGACCTCAAAGTCTCTCTGAAGCACCTACCCAGGGAGCACGTCGATATGGTCCGAGAGCTTGTCCGACTTCCTGCGTCGTGAAACCACAACGCCCAGATCTTCTTCGTCTCCAGCGGTGCGGCCGCCAACGGCTGTAAACGTCCTTTGGACGAAGCAAAATCCTCTGCTGGAGTGTCCGAGACAATCGTCGTCCCCTGGACAGCAGCAGGCAACACTGGCTATGCTCAACCAATGGAGGCATTCCAACAACTGCGCTCGCATGCAACAACACAGTGTTACATCCCATGCACTTGCAGCATCGGACGAATCTCCGAATCATTGACTGGTCCGGGAGGTTGGTCGAAGCAATAGTGGTTTCCAAACCTCTTCTTCCCAGCACAGTATGTCGGCGCTCTGCCTATAACTTTCCGCAAATGGCAGGAGATAATCGACTGGACAGCAGTCATCGACACCATGGCTATCATCTCGGAGCTCTTGCATTCTCTGGATAGCGCAGTAGACGTCAGAGTCTGCCACATCGTCCGCCTTCAAACCACGACCTGGACGGAAAGTTTGCAACCACATCTCCAGACAAGGCTGGGCGTTGATGGTGTACCGTATCCCCAGGGATGGGGGTGGTAGCGACCGGTGAGTCGAAAGAGAGGACCCTGCCTTCAAGCATTTGGGTTTCTTCAAGAGTATGGACGATGGTCGTCAGAATGGCAAATCTAGACACTACGCGACACAAACCCGTCTCGGAAACAAACCTCTCCGTAACCTCGAGCCAGTTCTCATAGACATGGTCGACGTGTGGCTGACGACGCAGCCGCAACTCTGACCAGCGTACGAGAGGAGAAGGCAAACAAGGCAAACAGGCAGACAGACAAAGTTGACCACATCACCCATTCGCCTCCTCTCAACTCCGGCACAAAACGCCACCAAAGGATCGATAGAGAAGACCCTCCCGTCCGCAGGCGGCAGTGTACGAAGTACTGTACTCATCATCAGGGGCAGACGTCCACCTAGAGCGCAAGCAAACAATAAGATTCGTCTCGGAATCTGCAAGGCGCTTGGGCGGGTGCCGGATTTTGCAACCATCGCCCTGCCGTGTCAGGAGGGCAGACACGGAGTCACCGGTGGCCAATAGCTGACCATGCTGTGATGTGATGGGGCTAGACTTTCGATAGTACAGTCATTCCATGCAAGTGGAGAGTATGATATGTGAAGGTGTTTTGCGAGGACTGGATTGGGGCAGTGAAGAGGGTCGGGATCAGGAGTCGTGACAGGGAAGTAGGGACAAGGAACAACAGGAAGGGTGTGTAGCAACTCTGGGTAGGAATGTACCGGTCTGACGTCGACCAGCTTCACCGACTCTGTCCGCGGGCAGGCAAGCAAGTTGATAGAGCGAACGACGTGTAGTGTGAAGTGTCGGTCAGTGTGTTGTCATTGTTCTTGAGCGTCAATGAGATATCCGAAAGTACAGAGACATAGATAGATAGTAGTACATCAAGGAACAACCCATCAGACATCCGAGAGAGAAAGTCTACAAGCATATACCCATTTTATCTTTCCCAAAATGAGAGCACAAAACCCAAACGCCTCCTGACTGGCAGATCTCCTCCTGGTATCAAATGCAGAAAACGCACGTCTCAACGAGACAGTACGTGTATGTGCTCTTTTTTCGTTTGTAGCTGTTGTTGTGCGGGTCGAGACGTGGTAGTTGTGTCAATCAACGCGTCAAGGTGGTCGATGAGGTCTGTGTATTATAATCAGCGACCGTTCAAGTCCCCCATGACGGGGATAGTTACGTACCGTCTACAAGCGACACTGAACCGGCTGGCACGAGTTGCAATGACCCGTCTCCAGTTCGACCTTCGATCCGCACTGGAAGCAACGGCTGAGCCGGTTTTGGATCACACGCATCATGGCGTTCATCTCGTCGAGGCGTTGGTTCAGGGCATCGATAGACTTCGAGCTGCCTTCGACGAGGGCAACGAGGCGTTCAATAGAGTTGTCCTTCCTGTTGAAGTAGGATTGTTAGACACTGTGGATAAAAAATGGTAATGCGTGATGGGATGCGTACTTTGTAGGCGAGACCTCGCGATAGCGACAGTCGAGTTTCTGCTCCTTGCAAGCCTGGCAAGGGCTTTCACCGTCACACTTCTGCTTGCGCTTTCGACATTCTTCGCAGGCCTAGGGTTCTGTAAGTGACTTAACTTCGATCTAGTCTCAGGCTATCTACTCACAGTCGCAGTCCTCTTCGCCTTCTGTCTCGGCACATGATGACTGGGCGTGATGGGGACAGCGGGAAACTTAGTCGGACCACTGCTGAACGTTGGAGGCGGTGGGGTCGTTGGAGCAATCGAGACACTGCACGACGAGGAGACACTGCTATTCGAGCTCTGACCGAACGAGTCGCCTGGTTGATGGATGAAAGGTTCCGAGAGCGAGCGAGGGCCTGCGTAGAATCCGGCTTCAGACGATGGGATATAGCCTTCAGACACGTATTCGCCTTGAGCTGGGAAGGGGTTGCTGAAGAGGATCTGCTGAGGCGGTTGCAACGGAGGCGAGTAGTAATGTCCTGAGGTGAAGTCGTGGTATGCGATGCCGTCCATGTTCAGTGGCATTGGAGTTTGGTCAAGCATACGTTGATAGTCTCGCTTCATTGTGTATACCGTTGCGTGTGCGTCGCGCGGTATCTTGTCGTGATGGTAGAGACGTTGCAATGGGCCGCGATGATAGTACCAGGGTATTGTGTGTGTATAGGGATAACAAAAGACGCGGGCCTCCAAGGTGTATGATGATAGTCAACACAAACAAAGGCGACTTGGATGTGGGAAATTGAGTTGGACAGTTGGAGGTGGTACGCGATGATGGGGAGAGACACTCGAGTATCTATATGGAGGTACTCGACAGTCCAGCCGTCCGGATGACAGTATAACCGATGGACAGGAACCACTTCCAAGAAAAGGGTATATCACCGAAATGGCCGCATCGCGGCATCGACCAGCAATCGACCCAGCAGATCGCAGTAGTCTCGAGAGAGATTGTCCCCCTGCACCTTCCCTGCTGCATGAATACTACCATGTCCGCGATCTCAACAATGGCGGGGGAACGTATGCACGAGAGTCCCATCCACCGCGTCCCCAATTACTGCGCTGCGCAAAGAACGCAGGAGGAGAGGAGAAAGCAGGCGGCATACACGGTCCGCTATGAGCCAAGATGATCGATGCGATGCAATCTGTGGGCAATGGCGTAGCCGGCGTGACCGTCAGCCGGAAGAGGCCAGGTAAATTATAGCACGCATGCAGGATACATTGCATTGCAGACGTCGCCAGCGAGGGATCTCGCTCTTCATTCAGTACCGGGTTGCGAAAAGCTGGACAGTACCTGCATTGTGGTCCACGCACCTGGCTCTCGACCCAAGGAAGCAGTGGTCACACCTGCAGAGCAGTGGAGATGAAGTCGCGGAGAGGTGCTGGTGGCGTGGTCGTGATCGGCGCTGACAGCCCCAGTCAGTAGTAAGAATGTATTGCCTCCCTCTACTGATGACGAGGCAGGCCTGAGCCACAGCCATCTTGCAAGCATCCAGCTGGGCTGCTCGAGCGGATTGAATGGACAAAGAGTGGTAGATGAGTGTGATAGCACTCGCTTCGATCCGACGATAACCGAGCACACGCCAGATCGGTCGAATGCGGTTCATTTGGAAGAATAGATGGCATGCAGCATCCAGCGACTATCTGCCTGCCATCTTCCTTCCAGCACTGCAAGTACTTGAAGAGGGCAGTAAGATCGTGGTTGCATGGGCCAGAAGCCCGCTAGTGACGGTCCCCGCTACGCCCATGCCATCGTCGAAGTCTATCGAGCCGGCGGATAGCCTTATGCAAGCCAGGTTCCGATTTTAAAGCTAGTCGGTTCCACTTGCGAAGAGAGTGGCGCTCCTCTGCAGCCAATATTTGTCAGACACTCCTCCCAGGTGCGACTTGTAGGCGGGACTGCAAGCGACGTGGTGGCTTGATCTCGCTCAGTGTCAGTAGATAGACGAGCATTGTCGCTAACATCGAGATACGGCCATCAAGCGGTCATGTCGTGCAGTAGCAGTGACGCTTGTCGTTGGAGCTTGTGCACGCCATCATCTGTCCGCTATCTCCACGCGAGGCCCGTCCGGAAGTTTCGAGCTCTGTTCTGACTTCTTGCTTGGCAGGATGAGTGGAGTAGGCGCGGAATTTGGCCACCATCGCACACAAAGCCCTCGAAATGCCCAGCACGCATGTATTCCTTCTGCGCGCTGCACCTTTCACGAGACACATTTGTCACAGTGACTCGCTTGCAACGTGCGATACTGTTCTTGCATATGTCGGTCAAAGACAACGTGGACTGCGCAGCGACGGGGGCAGTATTCTCCGTATAAGAAACGGGAAGGGATCGCATCTCGGCCAGGCCCTTCACCACATCTGTCTCTACGGGTGGTACCCCGACTGCAGATCAGACGCCTCTTCTTACGCCTGTAGACTCTGAGCGTGCCACATCCTCACGGTATATGTGGTGGTCCCAGAACTACGAGCTATTGCCTGGCTGACAGGGCCGCTGTGACGACCCAGCCTCCCGTCACACTGGTCATCTTGCAGTCCAAACAACCAAGCCACTCTCATCGAGAATGGCCAGCTGCAGGGTGCATGAACCTTCTTACAACCCCGTCGCTGAGCCAGCGTCACGGACCGCCGGACCTCCTGTGCATGATACGCTGGTAGTGCTGCACTCGGTCGTGGCAACAACCACAGATGCATGCAAGTAGTGCTGCGGACCGATGATGCCCCAGCAGACGTACATGGCACGCTGTCGCTCTGACGTACAGCAAGTGCGCTAGAGCCCGCATGTGCAGAAAGCAGAGAGCTCTGATGGACTCTGAAACTAGCGATTCCAAACATGCGATTGGCTGATGGGCAATCTCAGACGATGCGGGTCGACAGATGCGAAGTTAAGGCTGTGGTCCGGTGGAGGCGGCAGGAAAACAATATCTGGCCAACTTAGTCCGCTCCATCCATTCTGCTCGGCGGCGTTGGCGGCGAGAGTGACGACGATGCCCAGCCTTTTGGTTGTCAATGTCGGACAGTAACTTGCTCACTCGCAGTGAGCGAGCAAATCCGACGAAATCCCGGCAGAAGCAGCTGAAGTGAGCAGTGAGTCTCTGTTCATGCGAGGTAGTGGAACCAAACTTCGCATGCATTCCACAGCATTCCGAGTCCATGACGAAGACAGGTGTCACAGCAGAACGTTTACCTGCCATAGCATATCGATTAACGAGATCGCGGGGGAAGACTTCCCACATACTTGGGACATCGACTCAGTGACACAGCATCGCTGCTCAGTCCGTGCAAATGATGTTTGTACCTGGCGTCACACAAGCAACCGTCTGGCTGCAGGCTTGCAAGCCAGCACTTCAAGCCATGCCGTCTGAACCGCCTTGCCTCGCAGCTGGCTCTCTCAACAACAGCTCGCCGTGGTAGTTGCCTTGCCTCGTGTGAATGCTGACGCCCCTGAGCCCGGACTCCCCAGCATGTCTGCTGCACGGTCGTGGAGACACTCCAAACCCGTCAACACAACAATCGTTCCGAACAATCCCTCCAGAGCATTATCGTGATGCGAGACGGCCCAACAAAAGGCAAGGGAGAGTTCGCCATCTCAAAATACTTCGCCCACAAGACGGATTCGCCGCTCCGATGTTGGCGTTCTGCAGGCCTGAGAAGCCTTGACTGCTCTGAGGTGGTGCTCATGTACTCCAGCCGTCTCGTTCAAAGCACTCCTTGGGGTTACAGTCTTATCTTCAGAGTATGCGGCGGAGAATAGGTCTCTTCCGAGAAGACGGTTCATGACGGTGTTTGAGAAGGAGGACATGAGGTATTCTCTAGTCTCAAGGCCCGACAAGCCGGCGACCTGGTTGCAGTCGCCCGCGTTCGAGCCTCGACGCCCCTGTGCGCATGGGGAATACCGGACGTGTGCGAGCACTTGTTCGCTCAGTAGTTCGCAGTCGCGGGTTTCCGATTCGATGATGTCTGACGTTGGGGCGCATATGATCTGGCTAGGGCCAGGCGTGGGCGATGCAATAATTCTTCCGCTGGAAACAACCAGACTAGCCGCTGGGTTCGAGGGTCCTCGATGGTTTGACTTGGTTGGAGTCCCTTTCGTCTTGGTGGGAGTTTGGCGGGGGGAGAAGCAGGTCCGGCTCCGCGAGTGGGACGCGCTGACAGCAGTGGCGACTGCGGATTCCTCGTTGGGATTACTTCGTCCTCGATTCAGTCCGGTCGTCAGGGCGATGTAACAGATGTGCAGATGTAGGTACGATGGCGATGCGAGTGAGATCGCGAGAAAGGAGACAAGTTGTACTTTCGTGTGATGAATCTAGGGTTTTCGCTAGCAATCGGAAAGTTTAAATGATGCCGCGCTAGCCAAATTCGGCGTCGACGGCGAGGTGAATGACAACAATGTTTTGCCAGGAAAGAAGACACCCGGGTCGCATGAGACTGAGAGGTCTGACCCTATCATCCATGCCTTACATTCTACTCGTCTCTCCTTTGGCAGCCTCGTTGAACAAAAAATAACCCTCCTGCTCCCCCGTTGCAACCAACTTGCCCCTTGCATCCCACAGGTTGAAACAAACACCCGCTCGTCGACCCTTCGCCCACTCAGTCACGCATTCCATCAAAAGTCCATCATGTACATCCCATCCACTCGACGCAACAAAGTGAATGGAGTGATTCAAAGTCGCAAAGCTCCGCAAGGCAGACCTCGTCGGCCTCTTCGTCTTATCTCCAATGCGATGCATTCCAAAAGGTATATTCTGTACGGAAAGAGGCGTATCGAGGACATAGAAATCTGAGAAGAAGATGGTCGCCATGGTTTGTGCCGCCGGTGAGGACAAGGGCGTAAGTGTCCGCATCTTGATGCGATAGATCCTCTTCGAGATGCTCTCGTCGTGCGACACCTCTTGTCTTTGGTTGCTCACGGCAGGATACGGAGTAGAGGCAGGCCATCCCTCTGGAGCTCTCGACTTATTTTTACTACCAGGTGCACTTTGGTCCGCGTCGTCAAGCTCAGGGTCAATCGGTCTTGCCGCTGCTTCGAGTGTATCCCGCGAGGGTTCTGGAACATGGTCGAATGGCTGCCGGGTTTCATCCTCCTTTGATGGCTTCATGAAACTGAACGTCGCAAGCACTCTCACAATGCCGGTTTGCATCACTCGGACGATTCGGCAGGCTGTCCGCGTTGTCGTCGAGACTCGTTCGACTTCGTAGTGCAGTGTTGACCCAATTGGCGCGGCTTTCACGAAATGAGCGTGGAGCGCATGTACGGTGAATCCCTCTGGCACAGTCTGACATGCCGCGAGGGTCGATTGACCCAACATGATGGCTCCATTGACTGCCTTCTGATGTGGATGGTGCCAAGGCGGATACACCACCTCGAATGTGTCTGTTTGTGCTGCCGGTCTGATCTGTAGCTGGTGCTCGAAGTCGTCGCGATTGCTGTGGGCCATTTTCAAGCGCGGGAGACGCTGTGTCGCTGGAAAAGAGGGCGTTCCACCTCAGCGATACATGAGTTGTACCTAGACCTTGATGTTAGTACCTCCAGGATCGCCTTCTCCGAGCAAGGGTGCGTTTTCGAGGATGAGCCCAGGAGAAATATATCCTGTTGCCGGGGACAGTGCGTCAGCCGTCAGCTTCATCCTCTTGTCAGCACATAAACGAAAAGGATGGTCCGAGGGACGTTGTGCATCTTCGATTCATAACACGCTGTCGCTTTTGTTTACCGAAATTAATCAGCACGCTTTTGCAAAGAGGCCGCAGACGGTGTCAACAAGGCCGCGTTTCCACCATCCATCGCCTTTCTTGTTAGGTCATGTATACTTGCCCTTTTGCTGCTGAACTCACCAACCGGAAGGAGTATCAGCGACTGGCTGAGTCTCCCCACTGGTTCCTCAGAGGACTGACCTACTCGGGTCGTAGGAAAGATAAGAACTAGCAGGCATCGGCCACACCGAGAAGGTTGCAAGAGTCCCCTGTCTATACGAATCCAATCTCCTGAGCAGCCAGGGGTCTTGTAGACCTCACGCTCTTCATGCTGGACCGCAGATACGGTAAATCGACTGGTGTTCCAATGCTGAGATAGGTGCTTAACACTGTTCTTAACTGATCGAATATAAGCCTTGTTACTTATCAGATTCGATGCCCACCAGTACAAAAAGCCGTCTAACTGAGTTCCTTCCAGTCAGGCGTGAGCACCATGCGCCCCTGATACTTGCCAGCATCGAGGTCATCCATGACCTGTTGCAAATTCTCAATGGAAGTCTTTTCGATCTCAGGCTTGATGACACCCCGCGACAGTAAATCCAGGCACTCTTTCAGTGCGTTGACTTCTCCATTGTATGAACCCTTGAAGGTTATGCTTCTCATTGTCATCACCAGGGGTAAGAGTGGACCTTGCTGGCTGATCAATCCCACCAAGACTATGAGTCCGACTTCGCGCACCGTTAGTTGGGCGCTGAGGATCGTTTGTTCGTGGCCGACGAAGTCCAACACAGTATCGACCAGTATCCCTTTCTCCGCGACAACCTCGTGGATGGGCTTGGCTTCGCTATTAGAGGTACAGAATGCATCCTCGGGGGCCACGCCGAGTTTCACGGCCAGATCAACAGCTTCTTGCTTCTTGTCGGCCACCAATATCCGCTTCACGCCGAGGTACTGTGCAATCTGCAATCCATTGAGTCCTAGACCTCCAAGGCCGAAAATTGCAATTGTCTGGTCCGGTTTGACGTCTGCTGTGTGTTTCACAGCGTGGTAAGCAGTCAGGACTGCGTCCGATGCGATAGCCGCGGCCTCGATCGACACATTATCCGGAACCTTGACGCAACCGTAGGCTTGGACAGAAACGTACTCCGCAAACATGCCATCTCTACCAAGCCCGTATCCCCCGTTGCCTTTGACCTTGCACAACCTGCGATGACCAAGTCTGCAAGTTGTACAGTTGTTGCATCCGGGAATGATGTGCATGGCCACACGGTCGCCAACTTTGAACTGGGACTGATCGATCCCCGGGCCAAGCTCGACGACTTCTCCAGCTCCTTCGTGCCCGAGAACGAACTCAGCAGGCCAGTCCAGCGTAGGCTCCTTCATGTCTCGGATGAAGCAGTCGCTATGGCAGACTCCAGCAGCTTGGATCTTGACAAGCAGATGATCTTTCTCCGGCTTTGGGATGGCATGTCGAGTGCGATGTAACGGTTGCTCATGGCCAATTCGCATCTTCCAGGCGCCCATCATCTTCCTGGCTCGCCCATGATGATCGTCGACTCGTGTTATTAGGTGGTTGAGGGCGTCTGAACTTTCTCTCAGGATGTAGAACCAGGTCAAGTACTTTCGATCGGTAGCACAATGAGCGTGGCAGGTTTTGGTTATGAGATAATGATGAGGTGGGATTTGTGGCAGGGCTCGCAAGACTGACTCGCTTGTGCTTGCTCAGCTGAGGAGGAAACAGCTCATCATCGTACTTACTCCGCTTCTTGGGGAACCTGCTACCTTAATAGCCGCGACTCCAGTCGATTTATTTGTGGCTCGCAAACTCTTGAGGGCGACCACGCAGCCCTACGTTCACCCGATTCCGGCATGTCTGGCAGAGCTATCCGAGGATTCATCAAATTCCACTACCGCTTGATGGTGAGGGCTAAAATCCTAACTTCGCAATAAGTTCCACTGGCTGGTCAGGCGCATCTGTCGGATAATTGAGTGTCTAGGCGAGATGAGCTAAAGTAGCGCAGCCGCAGCGATTCGTTGCAAACCGGTATTCGTTCAGGTGGTGAGCATTTCGCGAAGAGCGGCGCAAATGATCTTACCTTGCTAGTATGAAGACCTGGCCCTCCAAGAGGCCCCTCGCGATGGTCGCGAGCGCGATCTTGCTTACAGAAGTCGCTCGCCGTCGGCCCGTCGGTGGTCTGTCATAGTACTGTCTCCCCATATCGTGGAGGTAACAAGACATGGTGTTGTTGACTTTTCTCTCCCGAGATGAAGTCTAGCACGCGAGTTCTGCAATCGCTGCGACGCATGAAGGGCTTCCTCTCAATGTGAGAGACGGTTGGATCATGAGTTTCGGCGTGTGTATCAGCGCCAGGTATACTGACAGGAGTGATGGATGAGATGAGGTCAAGAAGGCAAACTAATAGAAAGAGAGCAGACCACCAAGGTTGAAGAATGCGCCTGGGCTCACTTCATCACGAACTGCGTATTTGAGAGCACCGATCAGTTGCTCCGCCATTTTGTGCACGAACCTCCCGTTCTGCAACATTCACTTCACGGCTTCTTCCCTTTCCCTACCTTCCTTCATCACATGTTGCAATACTAACTCCAATCTTCTCCATCATTCTGGCTGGCAATCCACCGCTTTGATCGCTCGATGACTGCTTACGGCGAAGACTGCAAGCACGGGCACCAAAACCGGATGAGCACGATTTCTGCATGCTATATCACAGGCCAAAGTTGAGGTATGGGTGGTCTCCAATACCTTCTTTTGGAAGACTTCTGACTTCGTCATATCGACGAGAGTACTCTATTTGAGTTGCATTGATGACTTGAACGGGTATGCCGGACATTGCCAGTGTTGCGTATAGGCTGACGACGGCCAGACGCTGTATGGTATGTCACGAGACCGGAGACTCCGTGGCTGTCGCCGTGCCTGCCATCGGTCATATCGTCAAGAAACGAGTCTTGGGCATCCATCATTTGATCCCGTGCAGGCATTGATCCAGATCGTCAGGACGAGAGCCATCAGCAAGCTGGTCGACTTTCAGGATCATGTTGCCGTCAAGTTACTTGTCTCGTATGTCACAACACCTCTGGCTACTCCATCTTAGCTCAGCATTGCGCGCATTCCCGAAAATGCACCACTGGCGTCGATGCACATGCAGCACCGCGGCTCTTGTATTTGCCGTAATGACCTGGGTTGAGCTAAAGCCATTGCAACTGGCAGCAATCCTCGATCATGAACAAGCATGTGTTCGTGGCGCGCAACAGCGAATGCGCAGACTCACCGGGGATCATAAGATATCTTGCTCGTCCGTCATATTTACCCGAACACTCGGGTGGCTGCTGGGGGGCACGTTAGAAGGTCCCTGAGCAAATGCAGGTCGCGAATCTTGCGGATGCTACCTTTCGAAAGAATCTGTGGGCCGGATGCGGTGTTGGACTCGAAGGCGACTGCATCATCTTGCGTAGGTCTTTCCCTCGATAAGAGTATTGAATGTGGCTGATCTTTGGTGCTGGTAGATGGCAAAGAGGTTGTGGGCTGTTTGTTGGTGCAGCGTTTGCACAGCAACCAAGCTCACCAGCGCCAGACGGGCTGCCGCACACCAACACCCCACCGACTGCACGTCTACTTGCACTTGCGACGGCCGTCTCAACTACTCAGCCAGCTCGACGTCTGTTCCTTGCTGAAGCAATGGCGGATTCGTCGAAAACTTCAGGTGGTGACAGGCCACAGCTCACGACCAGGATTCCGAGACGTTCAGCCGCCACGCAAGCTATGTTTTCTATACGCTGGATGGCGCAGGAGTCTATAGGAATGGAGTCCACGCCCACTTCACGCGACAAAGATGACGACTACGACACTGCCGCGGAATCATTCGCAAGTAGTGCAGAGGGCAATCAGGAGCGCGGCAATCCTTGCAGAGAGAACGCGCCAACATCGCCCAGGAGAAACTCGAGCAAAAAGAGCGCCATACCCATGCCCGTACCAACCGCTGCCTCAATCCACGCGCGGTCTATTACAAGTGGAATACAAGCAACGGCAATGGCAGAAAGCAAGCTACCTATGTCGATACGAGAAAAGGCCATCGCTATCGCCGCCTTGCAGAACGCAACTGAAAAGGCTCGCTTAGCGCTCGAAAACGTCAAGTTGGACAAGCGGATGGAGCGTGGCCCCCGCTGCGAAGAACGAGCTGCCCATAAGACCAAGGCTGCGAAGGACGAAATAAAGGCTCCAAAACAGCCAAGAGAAGCAGTTAGTGAGTCTGAAACAGTTGCGCGAGAAAATCAACTGCTGTGAGTCCCCTCTACCCTACTACCTTCCCTGTTGCTGACTTCTAGCTTGCAGACGACGAAGGGGTGATCCGAGTTGACCACGTACTTGCAAAGGTCGAAGAAAAGGCAATACAGATGGACTTGACCCCTTCAGCGTCGCTGAAGAAGGATCAAGATGCGCTGAAGGCTCCGGGGCCCCGCTTCAAAGTCGATTGCCCTAGTTACCGGTGGTTGGCGATGATGATGGGACGTTTCGCGCATCCCTGTGCGTTACGCCTCCAAAATGTCAAATACGCCTTGCAATCCATTGGAGTGAAGATGGATCGTGCTTCCAACAAGTATTACGTTCTCCGACCCAAGTCTAACGACCCGGCGATGGCATCGAGAAACTGGAAAGAAGTCAACGTTGCAATTGCACTCATGAAGGATTTCGAATCCAGAGACAACGCGGACGGAAAAAGGCCGGAAATGAGTCAGTTGGGAAGACTGCTGCAAGAGGAGTGGGGCTTCAGCATGGAGATGCTGAAGATTGATTGCCGATGTCATATTCTCGACACGTGAGCAGAAAACATGCAATCGAAGGAAGCTGGGGAAGATTTGTACGGGTGCATGATACATGAGCATGTGTATCGAAGACACGAGGGAAGTTTATGACGGCCAGGGTAACAACAGGGGTAACAAGAGTACCTTGAATTCTACTCTGCATACACAACATTCTGCGGATGGAAGAACTCAAGCTTCTACGACAGCGCCGAGATGGCCAACACTGTGACGCCGCTGGCAACAAAGAGACCAGAATCCACATCCCCAGCGATGTATTCTAAAAGTCCTTCGAAGCATACTCATCGCAAGTCTCAACCAGCTTCTCGAAAATCCCCAGCTCCTGAACACCCTTCATCAGCAAGCTTCGACAGAAAAGAAGCAGACACTACACTCACCTTCGCACTATGCCCAGCCTTGGGTATCATGAACAACTTAGAATCCGGCAACATCTTGTGCAAATCCCAAGCCGTCTTCGGCGGACAGACGAAGTCCAGTCGGCCTTGGATGATCGTGCCTACACTAAACATCAGCATAACCCCATCGAACCCACGACAGCTCAGAAACGTACAAGGAATATGTCTAATCTTCCCCACCTCCTCCTCCCTCAACAACTGCCCCTCCCCCAAGAACCCCTTATTAATAAAATAATGCGCCTCCAACCGTCCATGCTGCAAACTCCACTCCTCATCCTCGACCTTCGCCTCGATCTCCTTAAAATCCGGATCCACACTGCTCACGCTCATCTCGTACAAATTCCAGACCTTCGCCGCGGGGATCCTGACCGCCGGGTCATCCGAGCAGAGGAGCTTTGCGTATGCTGGGGCGGGGTCTGCGCGGTCTTGGGGAGGGAGGTAGTTGATGAGGCGCTCGTAGTTTTCTGGGAAGAGCATCGCCGAGCCGAGGGGCGTGAAGCCGTAGCCGAGCTCGAGGTCTCGCACGGTGAAGATCCCGCGCAGGATGAGGCTGCTCACTCGTTGGGGGTGTGTCTCGGCGTACGCCAGGCTGAGCGTACTCCCCCAGCTGCCGCCGAAGACGAGGAACCACTTCTCGATCCCGAGGTGCTGTCTCAGCGTCTCGATGTCCTGCACGAGGAGCTGCGTCGTGTTCTCGCGGATTTCCGCTACGGGAGTGGATTTCCCGGCGCCGCGCTGGTCGAGGAGGACGACGCGGTAGTGGGCTGGGTTGAAGAATTTGGTGTTTTCTTTGGTGGTTCCTGCGCCGGGGCCGCCGTGGAGGAAGATGACGGGTTTGCCGTCTGGCTTTCCGTATTGGTGGTAGAAGATCTTGTGGATCGAGCCGACGGCGAGGTGGCCGCTGTCGAAGGCGTCGGCGTGGTCGTAGCCGGTGGTCGTGGTCATGGTCGAGTCAGGGAGTCCTGGGATGTAGTAGAGGTGAAGTCAAGACGCTTGTTTGCAAAGATGTTCTTTAATATCAGTCAGTTAACGGAATTCAATCTCGTATCGCAACGCCGAGGCGCATGTGCTATGCCGTAACAAAGGACCCAAATGGTTCTTGCTCCGGAGTAGGACACCGCTGAGGAGCTGTGTAGCTTGGAGCTCTAACTTATCGAGGAGTTCGCTACTCCACCACAAGCATTGGATTTGGCAGGTTCATTGCCCGAAGTCGGCGGGGGTATGGCGGGTGAGTTGATAAGCCGTGTTAAAGCGCGGACTGTGCTGCCAAAGGAGGAAATATATCAGGCTCCGATGGACATGGATGATTTCGCAATTCATCATTATGCAACAGCTGGTTGATTGACGGGGCTCATCTGCCGGTGCAGAGGAGCCGAGTCATTCAAGGCTCTGGTCTACATGTCGTAGAGTTCATCACATGCAGTAGGTTTGTACTGACTCGTGAGACGATAGCAAGGCCCCAATTGAGCGTTGCTCGTCATCTATACTGTGGCTGTTATGCGTGTACTTTCATTGAACTTTTAACTTGACCTCCTGTGGACTCCAGCCTCTACTCCGCTCGCCAACAGTGGGAGAGGCATTGAGGTGTGGTAGCGAGAGCCTGGGGTAGAGATCGTAGTGCTCGATGTTTCAGATACGATTCACGTTCATCTAGCACGGCCTTGTTGTCGACTCTCCGTCGCCAATCCGCCGATTGTGAAGAACCCGCCCCCAAGAAACTCCAGCTCCATCTGAAAGCCTTCCGGCACACACAAACTCTCTCGTTCTCTCGCCCCAGATCCAGCAAGAGTTGAATCCTTTTGCGCAGGAATCAGTCTCCAAGCCGGAAGCCTGCTGAATCAGTCCGAACCTACGCGCTCGCAGCTCTCCAGACGCTTGTCTCTTGCGTCTTCACGATCGGAGAGATTTTCAAGATCGAGTGTCGCCATTGTCTGGGAGTGTCGCCATCATCCCGGGTCTCCATGGGAATCGGTAGGGTGGCTGGTGAAGCGTGGTAGTCATGAGCGGATAAGGAGGTTGATGATGTTGGGTGTTGTTGTGGAAGCCAAGCTGAACTTGGTCTGGGCTGTTGATGATAAGAGCCAGAGGCGAGGAGTTTCAATGGCCAGATTCGTCGTCTCCAATTGTTCCTTGTGCAGCCGCCAGGAGAAGCGTCGCTCCGGCCCAGAGTCCAGCGTCGTCGGGCCATGTCTTTCGTCCGAGACACCACTCCCACAGTCGACAACGCCTTCAGCAACTTCCGACTGTACAACTACACACCCTCGCTCCAAGCAGCCTCCCTCTTCACCGCGCTCTTCCTCCTGGCCACGGTATGGCAATTCCATCGGGCCGCTCGAGCACGAACCTGGTTCATGATCCCCTTCTGTTTGGGCGGCGTGTGTATGTCTTCAATTTCACTCATAGGCCACACCTAGCTCACGGTTTCGATAGTCGAAGCCGCAGGCTACATCTCCCGCATCATCTCCTCGCGTGAGGCGCCAGATTACGCCCTCGAGCCGTACATATTACAGACGACGCTGCTGCTTGTAGCGCCAGCACTGTTCGCCGCATCGGTATACATGAACCTCGACAAGATCGTCCAGCTCGTCGATGGCGAAGAACACCTCATCATCCGAAGGAGGTGGCTGACACCTATATTCGTTTCGGGCGACATGCTGGCATTCGTCTTGCAGGGGACCGGTAAGGCCTTTGACATCCATTCCGTGCAACAAAGGGCCACATTCTGACAAGCCGTGCGTCTCTGTTCAGGGGCCGGTCTCATATCCAGCAAAGCCCCCACCCTCACCACCACCGGCAAAACCCTCGCGCTCGTCGGCCTCGTCCTTCAGACCTTCTACTTCACCCTCTTCGTCCTCGCAGCCGCCATCTTCGACATCCGCATCCGGGCGTGTTCGACGACGAAATCCATCCACCACTACCGCTGGCGGCAAAAACACATGGTTTGCCTCTATGTCGTCAGCGTTTTGATCTTCGCGAGGTCTGTCGTTCGGATTGTTGAGTTCGCGGAGGGGTTTGAGGGGTATCTTGTCTCGCATGAGGTGTATCTGTATGTTTTTGATGCGGTGTTGATGTTTGTGGTGATGGTGGTCCTGGGCTGGGTTCATCCCGGTGAGGTTGTGGCGGGGATCCGAGAGGAGAGGGGGTCGCGGAGGTCATTGTCGTCGTGAAGGGTGTGGTGTGAGTGGAAATTTTAGGTGGAACCAAAACCTCAGGCCAAATTGTCGTCGCGGTGGATGTGAGATCATAGGCTCAATTCAAAGAGGCAAGACCAATCTTGTTGTGTCCGAGAAGGAACACCGGGCGAAGTCGAAAAGCAACAGCAAGGAACAGATCCAGCGTAACAGCAACCAAACAACACATCTCCAGCATCCAGAAGCCAGAAAACGAAAATCCAGCCATCAACACCGTAACCTCCTCAATTGCATCGAATATCCACCCTCACCCACCTCCCATCCCCCCTCCCCCTCTCCAAAACCCCTCTCAACCTCCCCCAAAATCCACCCCGCCCACCCCCGCATATACCAAACCCCCTCCCCAGTCCCCCGTAACAACCTCGCAAACTCCCCCAAAACCGCTATCGCCACCCCCTCCTTCCCCTCCAGCCCCTCCAGAAACCCATCGGACAAATTCGCCGTCCAGCTGAAGATCCTGCCGATGAACGCTTGGGCCACGTCGCCGGTTGGCCCGGGGATGGTGGCGAAGGTGGAGTGCAGGTCTTCGAGTGCGGAGAGGCAGTTTTTTTTGTAAGTCTCGTCGAGAGACGTGTTTTCATTGATGAGGTCTGCGAGGTGGTGGACCTCCGGAAAGGAGGACTCCGCGGCGGCGGATTTTCGCTCTGTGACGCCCCGAACCACGGGGCCCATTTCCGATGAGAGGATCCTGTCCCAGTAGATGCTGACTGTGGGTTTGATTCCCCGCGATAGTCGCGCTAAGATGCAGAGTTCTTCGATGGGGTCTGTGGGGGTTTGGACCTGTGCGAGACCCAGGCGATGCATCACGAGCAGACAAGCGAGCGCGAAAACTGGGATGCAAGTCGCTGGGTCGGGCCTGCTCAGGTGATCTCTGAAAGTGGCGAGGGCGATGTCCATGTGTCGGGAAGACTGGAGGAGGAGCTCTTCGGCTTCGTCTGGGTGGATTGTGGCTTTGTGGATAGCGGCGGTGGCGAGGAGGCCGCGGAGGAGGAAGTGGTGGCGGAAACCGAGCTCTGGGACGGATGTTTGCCTGGTGTATCAATTGTCAGTGAGTACTAAAAGCAGATGAGGAGGTTGGCGTACCATATGTGCTGCTGTCCCGCTTGGGCACACGTTAGAGAAGTATTCTGCCGTGCATCAGTCAGTCTCAAAAAGCAACATCCCTTCTGGGACAGATTCGCTCACCAGATACCAATAATGCAAGAGTTTCAAATTCTCAACATCAAGGAAATCAGGCGGTGCCGTAATAGCAGTATTGGCAGAGCTCCTACTGGGCGACACAGTCGTGGTCACAACCTCCTTCACCGGAGGACAACTCGCCGCATCTTCTTCCTTCGAAGCCTGCACTGGCTTCTTGACAGGCCACGTACAATCAATCTCCAACCGTTCACATCGTCCACATTGCGGTCTCGACTCATTGCACTATCACATACCATAATCAGTCTTCTGCAGGTATGCGGCACAGCAAAAAGCGGGCGGAAACTTCATACCTTGACATGTCGCTTCTTGCATTGTAGACATCCCTTCCTGGACTTGGTGTGTGTTCTGCGTTCGATTTGACGTACCATGGCTACGCTTGATGCATGTTTTTTGTTGGCGGAAGGATGAGAGTCGTCGAGGCTGTTGTATTGTAAGTGGGAGCCTGATCGTGGCTGGTGCGATGGATAGGCAGCTGAATAGCTGAAGCCGCCGTGCTAGCTGGGAGTAGTAGAGATCAGCACAAAAAGAAGGACAAGGAAGATACTTTCGCAAGAAGAAAAGAAGACGAAGATGATGCTTCATAGAATTCATCGACTTTCCGTCGCTTGCATTAATCTGAGCCGCTGTCGTGCTGCTATGCTCGCCTCTCGCTTGTATAGTGTACAATTATTCTTGGACAACTCACTCCAGGTGATCATCCATGCATTTCTGTATCATTCATCGCTCAATGCCTTTCAATGCCGATTCGCAGCGCCGTTCCCGAAGTTCAAATGCCAAGTGGGTATCTCGCCGGAATCATCAATCGCTATGCCGCCGTCGTCTGTACAGTAGTCATTTGTATCATTAAGAATCATTGCCGTGCTTTCAACGCCCAAAGAAGCCGCCAAATAATCCGCCACGTCGTGCTTTCTGGCCGCCTGGGGCGGGATCGTCCAATGAAAAAGTATTCAAAAATCTGTCTTCCAGTCCGATCTCTTTGGAGTCGCTCGGGAGGTTCCAAGTGCTGGGCTTGGGTTGGAAGTTTGTTCCCTTCTCTGGAAAATGCACTGGCTTCACGCCATCGCGCATTCGTGTCATGAAGTCTGGCTGCTGGCTCAATGGAACTTTCTCTGCTTCCTGTGGCACAATGACAGGGTTGCGGAGACGTCGCTCCATGCTCATCGGTGCTGGTGGAAGCTTGCCGTAGAATGGACTCGGCTTGCGCTGCATTTGCTGTTCTTGGTGAATGCGATTGCGCTCTTCTTCGGCGCGTATTTGTGTCTGCATGCCGAACACCTGATTGCTCATGTCACCGCCGAAACTCAAGGCTGGGGCATTGCTTTGGTTGAGGTGGCTGCCGCGTGGCTGGAGGCTTGTCTGCTGGTTTGCGATTCGCTGAGAGGAGCGCATAACTGGGTGGTAATCTGTTTCCATTGCGTCCTCGTCGTCCGAATAGTCCGGTGATGGTTGCTGGACAGTCAAGCGGGCAGATCGGGAGTAGGTGTTTTGTCTCTGCTGCTTCTTCGTGGTCTCGTTGATTACTTGCAAAGGACCAGGCTCGTTGTTTTGGAGGTACCTGAAAGGGTCCTTTTCTGAAGCCTTGGGAGTGAAGCGGTCGGATGCTGGTCCAGCATTCGCGCCGAGGACATCACGTTCGCTCGGCTTGGGCATGATTCGGCCTTTCATGCTCCAGCGCACTGGCTGTATACCGCGTTGTGCAACAAGCTGTGTGATCATGACAAAGAATGTAACAAAGCCATGGGTGGCGATGAGCTGCTCTTTGGTGAGGCGGGCGGTGATTGATGGATCCGACAAGGTAAACCATGCCCAAGATCTGAGTGCCAAGACCATGACTTGTATCCAAAAGTAGTTCGCCTGCCCGGTGATTGCCTCCATTCGGTGTGTGTGGTGATAGCAGTGCTTGAGGCCAGTGTTGTACCATAAGCCGCACGTGGCGAGAGCCAGCGTGTAGGGTACGAGGTTGCTGAAGAGGTGAAAGCAGGTATTGCTGAAGTGCAGGTGCAGCGACTGCTGGGCGCATTCGTTGAGCGATGGGTGGATCATGGTGTCGGTGATGTCGGTGAGCTCTGGCTCGGAGGAGGCTGTGCCGAGGTGGAGGGTCAGAATGGCGTAGAGGTGGAATGCGATTTGAGTGAGGAGGCCCATGAAGAGCGCAAGACCGACGAGATTGTAGAGCGTGCGCATCATCTTCTTGCCCATGTCATCGCGAGTGCGGTATGCGGGCTGTCCGCCACGGGCACGAGTCTCTGCGATCAGACGGCTGGCGTTCTGGGCGAGGCCATAGTAGTCGCTCCGCTCGATCTTGGACTGGGCGACTGGGGCGCATCTCTTGCAGACCAACGGATATCGCTTCTCCAGCTCTTTTTTGTATTTCGGAATGGCCGCCTCGAACTGCTTGTATTGCGGATGCGACTCGTCGGGGAGGTAGTTGGCCAGGGTCTCGTTGTAGAGGTGCTGGTTCTGCAGGCACGTGCGGCAGAAGGCCTGCTGGTCTTGGTGTCCCAGTGTCTCTGGTAGTGGCTTGGTGAATGTGAGCGGTCGTGCCTCAGCGTGAGGCGGGCCTGAGGCAGTGAGGGTCGCCGGCGTATCGAGGACATTGCCGCGCTCGTCAAAGAAGTTGAGCGCCTCGCAAGATGTGCACTGGAACTCGCGAGTTCCCTTGGCGTGGGTTGACTTGGTGCCACAGAAGTGACACCGCGCTTTTGCGAAGAACATGCCCGCGGCGGTGGGGAGGACGGGGGCGGCGAGACGCACCACGGCAGGTTGGAGAGGTGGTGGAGATAAAGAAGAGAAAGCCGGGGAGACTTGGGCGTCGTGTGTCTTTCGAGGCCGAAACGTTGCCAGGGTTTGCGGCCCGCCCCGCCCCGCGTTCACCCGCTGCTCTAATTCCGGCGCCTTCACGCGAACTTCACCCCATCACTCTGCCATCCTCCATACCGTCCAATGCATCTGCCATTGTCCCGTTGTCGAGATATGTGAGGTGTCTCATCTATCGGAATGAAATGTGTCTCACCGCGCTGTTTGAATGGCATTCACGCAGGAACTTTCCAGTTGAATTCTGCGCTGTTTGTTTCCTTCACTCTTCTATCATTAAGACCTCTCCATCGGCCGGGCCATTGATACACTGATTGATACGTACAATCTCTCCACCTTACATGGGAGCGAATCAATGTCACTTGGATCTTGGAGGCTATGTGAAGCCTGCCAGTAGATGGCCTTTACGTCAGCTGGCAGCTGTGTTACTTTCTCCACACTTGGGCATCTTCATCCGCTTCTTCTTCTCCATCAAGAGATCTCCACCTCCGTCCCCGTAATAGGGATGTGCTTGGCTTGGGAGCTGAGTGATCGATGGAGATAATACCGTGACATATCGCTTCTCAACCAGCTAGCTTTCGCAGCTCAGAGGCCATCGCCGAAACCGGCTACACCAGATTTGCTAAACTCCATGTAAGTCCTTCACACTCGCCAATACATATACCACTTGACAGCACCTCGCAATTCGCATCCACACTCACCAAGCCTCTCCCCATTCATCTACCTTGCCATATCTCCACCATGTCCACCCCCCAAGACCCAACCTCCCCCTTCAACTACCCACCCTCCCAAACCGCCCTCCTGCTCCTCGACTTCCAAACCTTCACCATCAACCTCTGCGCCTCAGCAGGAGAAGCCGCCCTCGCCAAAGCAGCGACCCTCCGGCAATGGGCCCTATCCCAGAAAATCCTCATCATCCACTCCATCATCGACATCGACGGCACGGTCCCGCCCCAGACAAAAGGGGTCAGCAGAGTTCAGAATATGCTCGCGGGGATAAAATCCGACCCAGAATCTGGGCGAGAACCTCCCTCCATCGCAGCGGGAACGGATCAGTCAAAGGAAGTCGTATCCCTCAAACAACCCGGTATCGTCTCGGGCATCAAGTCGGAGGAATGTCAAGGCCTCCTCAAGGACCGCGGGATCAAGAATCTCATCATCTGCGGGCTTTCGACCTCAGGCGCCGTGCTGAGAACCACAGTGCCTGCCACGGACGATGGGTACGTTGTGAGTGTCATCAGCGACGCATGCGCAGATCGGACGGTGGAGTTGCATGAGACGTTGATGGCGAGTGTGCTCGGTTCCAGGGCTCATGTTGCTACTTTGGAGGAGTTTTTGGGCGAGTGGAAGAAGGGTGAGAGTGGGAGGTGAAGAGGTCGCAGCTCCTGGGTGTGGTTGTGCTTGCAAGAGCCACGGCGAGGTTGCTGCCCGAGTGAATGTACCAACATCAATGCGAAGCCGAACCTGAAACGAGATTTATGGACAGGAAGGTTCGAGGAGGAGAGGACGAACTTTGCACCGCAGGTGATCGATGGCGATGCTCCCGTCGACGAAAATGCTGTTGCTCATATCCGTGGGTGGAGAGATACTTGTCACAGAGGTCAGAGACTGTATGACCAGTTTGGAGCAGATGCTGAAGGAGGACTGAACTTGAATCAGAAGCTGGCAACACGCAAATCTGACATGGAGACTGCATCGAGCAGCACAGTCTACTCCCCCTAGCAGAATTTCTAAAATAAATTCAACCTCTCTTTCAAAATCTCACACGAAGTCAAATGTATCTCCCACACCCCCAAGCATGCCCTTAACCCTCGCACTCCCCACAACCCTCTCCATCCTCAGCCCATCCCACCTACTGAACACCGCCCGCACCCCCGCCTCCACAGGATCAACCTTCCCCTCATTCACACTCGTCCCCAGAAACCCTTCGACCAACTCCCGATAAAACACAGGATTGTCCGGCACACCATACAAAACCACCCGTTTCACACCCTTTAACTTCAGCCGGAAGAAATGATGTGCACGTTGGGTGTATAACAGGAACGAATGTCTCCCGGACACGAAATGCGATCGCGCGCGGCGTTGCGAGGAGACGTCGCTGTAGTCGTGGATGGCGCCGAAGGAGATGTCTTGGGTTTGGGTCGAGGTGGCGAAGAAGTTTCGGAGACGGAGGAAGTCGAAGTAGCTCGGGATGAATATCAAGATCCCCTGTGCGTTGTCGGCGGACTTGGGGAGGCAGAGGAGGGAGGGCAGGATGGCGGTCGTGAAGAATTTGAAGCGGGCGTCGGGGTCGGAGGGTGGGGAGGGGGAGTCGAAGCGGAGGAAGGTTTGTTTGATTCCTAGGCCGCTGGTGTCGTTGATGTCGCCGGGGTAGGTGGGTGTGATTTTGGCTTTGCCGGCGATGTTGAGCATGGAGGTGTTGTAGAGGCGGTTCATTTCAGGCGTGAGGTAGACGCTGAAGAGGATGGTTTGGCGGAGGTATTTGGCATTGCCGTCGAGGTACCAGTTCCGCACGCGGCTGAAGTCGCAACCGTGGGTCTCTTTGAGTTCGAGGTTGAGATGGTTGAAGACCACTTCGACGTTAGTCCAGTCTTGCATCTGCATGGCGTCCGCTTGGTCGACGATGCAGACTTCGATCGAGGAAAGAAAGTCGTGATCCCGTTTCTTGGAGTCTTCGTTCTCGATGATGCGGCGGAGCCCAAGTGGTGAGGCGAGAATGACGTCGCTGTTGTAGAAGGCGGAGTAGAACTTGAGAGTCTTGCGAGTAAACTTCAGCGCCGTAAGGAAGCTGTTATCGTTGTTGCCCCCGAAAAGCTCACGGTAGTCTTCGGGCATCGTTTCTCGGTCATCCAGTGGTGCTGTGAAGGAATCGACAAAGCGCTTCTTGTTTTCTTGCTGCTCTGGTTGGAAAGCTTCAATGATCGCCTCAGCGTAGTTGGCTGCCATCTGCCGGGTCTCCAACAGGATGAGAACTTTTGGCCGCACGTAGCCTTGATCCCGAACATCCAATTCTGTGGCATCGTCGGCATGATTGAGGCGCTCGTTGTTCTTGACTAACTTATCTCGTCCTTTGAGAATGTGATTGACGGCGTGCGCACTCGCCATGGAACGAAGTGCGGCCGCATTGGATATTGTTCGGTCGCCCAGCAATACATCCTGGTAGTCAAAGACGTGTACCGCGATGCTTTGCTCGAGTTCCGAACTCAAAAACGTTGCGCCAGTAGCCTTGAGATTCCTCGCAAGACGCTCTTTGAGAGCCAGGTCGCTGAGATTTTTGATGCGCTTCTTTTGCGACATGTCATGTTTCGCGCACGACGGTATAGACGTCGACTTGCTTGCATATGTTTCAATTGGGCTTTTCTCGACTTTCCAATCATTGCCTTGTATCGCCTTCAGCTTCTGTGACAACTCGTTGTCGTCGGGATTTGCGAAATGGATCTCGAACGGATCAGTGGCACTGTGCAGCTCTTCCGTCCCATTTTCGACCGCCTCCTCGTCTTGATCTTCCTCTTCTTCTTCTTCTCCCAAAGCATCCTGCACCTCTTGTTCCTCGTCCACTACCACAGGTACCTCGGCTTCGATCTTGCGTCTCTTCGCTTTTCGCTCTCCCGGATCCGCATCTTGGTGAAAAGACTGCAAAAGCTGGCTGTATGCCTTGACCACCGGCTTCACTTCCTCTGCCTCTTCTTCATCGCTGACATCCAATTCGTCTTGCTCCGACTCTTCCTCGACTGGTGCTTGCTCTTCATCCGACTCATCCACATCTTTTACCCGCTGGCTGTCGAACTTTTTGTAACCATTCCTGGTCCTGATGCCGCTTCTTGCTTCTCGTCCGGGGCCTTTCGCGCCACCTCGTCCTCTTCCTCGGCTACCGCCTCTGCCGCCTCTTCCACCTCTGCTAGTTCTGCCACCTCTTCCACGGAAAGGTGCCATGTCGGGGTTTGATAGGGAAATGAAAACGAGTCGCAAAAGCTTCCAGGTGAATGGAATTCCTTATCGATTAAGACTAACGTTCTTCTATTGGTCATTCAAGCGAGCCTAGCCGAACTCTATATTTGGCGGCCACAACCTCACCTCGTCCTTAAGCTGGTGACTCGCCGTCAAAGCCAACACTCCCTTCTCAATGCCCTGGTCAAGATACCAATGAGACAAATATCACAATTCAGATATCTCCTGGTGCCCTGACATTGGACGGGGAGAGCAGCCTTTATCTTCATGTCGAAAATTTCTCATCCCATTCTCGCAGGGCTATTCGAATGTTGCACACGTCGATGACTGGTCCTCTAAACTGGACCTTCGAAAGCCATTATCTAGCCCAGGCGACTATGGTTTCCACGGAGTCGTTCTTGCCAAAGCGTACTGTGAAGGAGTCTGGCTTGAAGCAAATCGTCCACAGCGAGCTCCATATGTTCTTGAAAGGCCACAACCTCCCCTTACAAGTTGATGACATTGTTGTGAATGTTGTATCGCATACAGTTGATCCTAATCTGACAATACCATACAAAAATTCATGCGGAAAATATCTTAGGTTCAGCATGGCTTCTTACATATTTGTGATCGCCTCGTGCAGCCTCCCGACAGCCTTGAAGTACGTGGCCAAAGCCTTGAGCGAGTAGGAATGCAGCGATCAGAGCAATGCGAGCACAGTCTGGCGAGGTACTGCTGCGACGGCATTGAGCCGAATGACGGCCCTGGCCTCTTGGATCTCCCAACATCCCTGGATCCGAGTTGGACGTATTCAGATTGGAAGGCTTCGGCAACACATGATTTCTGGCCTGAAATTGCTGAAGCTGCGTAGTTCAAGATGCTTAGACTCTTCCTCGCCGCATGGCCGGCATGCGAAGAACCAGTTTGATAGCAGCAAGTACGAATCGACTGGCTCAAGTCGTGCTGCGGCAAAGTCCAGACACTCACTCACTATGAGATATCGGGACTGAATATCAGGTCCTTCACTAAGGTAACTACAAAGCTTTTACTTTGAACAAACAATAGGGTACTGTGCCGTTATAGATCTCGACCACGTGAACAATGCATCGTTCGCACTTTTCCACACCATCACCGCAGATTTCATGCCGTGAAGACATACAATCGCCTTCATTACTTTGCATATATACGCCTTAGGAGTCCAGCACCATGAGTTCCATGAGCACAGCACATCGACTACCTAACAACCACCTTCGAGCAGTCTCAACATCCCATCCATCATCCAGCACATTCACACACAAGAAGCCCCGCACCACAACACACAGAATGTCCCACCCAAACCGGCTCGGCAGCAATCCACCCAGCCCACCTCAGGGCCCTCCACACTGCGACTGCGGTTGCGGCGGAGACCCCATCCGCAAGGCTGAGATTGCACTTGAGCGCGCGGCACGTGGACAGTCGACTACGACACACGAGCAGGCTGGGGCTGGTGCGGAGGCAGAGGCTGCTGAGTTCGATCCGACGGCGAGAGCGAGATCTTGATCTGGTATGCGTGGGCTATTTGGAAGGATCAGGTTTGCGGGAGATTGTTCTTAGTTCGAGGCTTGATTGATGCATAGCGAGTCGAATTGAATGACAAGGATTTACCTGCAACACCCGTGAGCATTCTTTTGCGTTCTCAATGTGATATATATGTTAGTAGAATGATCGCTAGGTTGTAGTGGATAACTGTAGTGCCGCATCTCAATTTTCCAAAGCCTACATGTAATCCATATCCAGGAGACATGTCCGCTGGCTGGGGATTTGTCAGGGGTGTCTCGTTCATTTCAGAATGATGCACAAGCGTGGTAAGCAGTACGAGTTTGGTGATTCGAGGGATGTGAGAGTATGGCTCGATTACCTGGAGCCACAGTCCTTGAGAGGCTTTGCAAACTCGAGGTGCCAAAAGCCCATTCCATTCTATTTGCAAGCCGGCAAACAATCACGCTCATCATCTGTCTTCGAAATAGGACCAGCAAGACACCTCTTCTTTCCCCATCGCCAGTCTACGGCTGATTATTGTTCACACTCTGCGTCCCAGGCACCGGTACGGTGTACATCCTACTATTGGCATCATAATGATAATCCAAACGATTCAGAGGGTTGCATTGCCCACCACACCCTCCACGGTTGCAGACACTCATCTGGTTGACGCTGGTGAAGCTGTAAAGCTCGATGCACTGCGTGCCGGGAATGTTCGTGCACGAGAAGCCGTTGACGTTGAATTGGGAGCATTTGCCGTCGTAGGAGCAGCGGCCGTTGAGGTCGAGACTACAGGTGGTTGTCAGCGCTGAGATGTCTACACGCAATCGTAGGACTCTGGGGTGTGGTCTTGCCCGCGGTTGCAGATTGTGGCATAGATGCCATCGGCGGAAACGCCGCCGATGGGGCCTTCTTGGTCCCAGAAGGCGTCAATCTCGGTCTGGTTGAAGGCTTCGGGAGCTGGAACTGCCGTGACAAGGTCGAAAAATGCGATCGCCAGGGAGGCAATGGTGGCGACGCTGAATTTCATGCTGAGGGTGTTATATCAGGATTTGGAGGAGAAGTGAAGGTTTGAAGGGGCAATCGAGGTCGTTGCTGCTGCGTGTGGATGAGTCTTTGACCCAGCGTCGACATGGTCTTTATATCTGTCGTCCGGATCAACACACCTTATCATAAGGAGAGAAATTTGCTGGCAAGCGCCTTCTAATCATGTTGTTGTATTAACATGGTGTCGATGCGTTGGTTGCAATAAGTGTAGTCGTCGTCGTTCGGTCAAGTCTTGGCCCTGGTTTGCGAAATGCCTTCTCCGGGCAGGCTCAATACGAATCACAATCACGGACATTCTTGTAACTGGGAGCAGCGTGGCCAAAAGGATGACAGTTACGGCGCGGTGAAGCGCTTCCGTGGAACCGGCTTCCACCTCAGCGCACCTGGATCTGTTCAGTAACTTCGTGAAAGAAAAGCCAGCCCGAGTGTCATGCAGTCCGCATGTGACGGCGTCTCATCACGAAAGATAGCGACCGTCGTCGCGGAAGATATTTATTAATCGTGTTCTCATCGGTTGCCGAGTCAAGCCCGATCGTTGTCCGACTTTTCAGCGTCCTGTGAGGTTGAACCAGTGCACAGCCATTCGCCCAAGGGCTTGTAGCAGAAACTCATCAATTTCCCAGATTATGCAACGCGCCGAGTATGTAACAAGAGATATGCGGAACCTTCTTCAACCATTCGATTTGTCCAACCTAAAAAGCAAGAACCCCACTATTCCCACACCTCTAATGCCCATTTTGTTTGAATCGCATTACACATGCATGCATGAGGAAAGCAACCAGTACTGTACACTCCAAGTACCAAATCCGTAGTAGTAGTGTATTACCCAGCCCAATTTCATTCCCCTCTTTACAAAGCAAGCATGGCGCCGAAGATGCCCACTGCTGCCAAGCCAACAACATCCATGCCCAGACGCGAGGCACCACCGGTGCTAGAGGTGATGCCGCTCTCGGTGGGGGCAGCTGGCGAAGAGCCAGAGCTCGAAGGGCCTGAGCCCGTGGGGACTACGTAACCTGTGCCATTAGTAGTGGCCGTGGAGAAACCAGAAGAAGCACCGGTGCCAATGGGGTAAGGAGGGACAATGCCACTGGGAGACGATGTGGTGGTACCTGTAGCGGAAGCTGAGGCGGAAGATTCGTGCGAGGACTTGGTGGCAGAAGCAGACGAGGAGCCGTAGCCGGTGGCGGAGTGGGAGGCGCTGCCGGACTTGGAGGCGGAGGAGGAGGTCGAGGTCGCTATCACATGAGTGTCAGTATACGCGCCTACGAGCCCGTGTTTGGTGTCGCGGTGTCTACGTACAGACGGACACACCAGCATCCTTGCACTGCTCCTCGAAGGCGTCATTGGCGGCGTCGGTGTTGTCGCCGCAGTTGGAGGACAAGTACTTCTTGACCTCAGACGCGCCGTCGCCGCAGACAGTCTTCATGTCGGAGGGATCGTCCTGGGTGTTGACCGCGGCGAGGAGGCATGCTGGGGGCGCGGCGACTGCGACCTGCGCAGCGACGGCAAAGAGCGCGAAGGCGGTGGTGAGCTTGGCAAACATGATGCCTGGATTGGATCGAAGGTCCAGAAAGAAGGTGGGTTTGGAAGACAGTAGATGTCGTGTTTCGTGTAATTAGGTAGTACTCGTCGGAATGTCGCAGGCGCGCGGGTGTAACGTTTCAAGTTGGTGTATGTCGGTAAAGAAGCCCCGAAAAGAGTGAGGGACTGATGCGAAGGCGAGGGAATGAGTGGATGTACCGTGAAGAGGTACGGGCGACGGCGATGCAGCAGATTGCGCGTGTTTGCTGGACTGGTGATGGTGGAAGTGAGCGACGAAGAGAGTGAAAGGTCCAGATGAAAGGGGAACGTCCGTGCTTTGCCGCTATCCCAGCTGGGGATCCTCCGGCACGTGCACCGAGACCCACAATCAAAGTCAACTTCGACTTCACTTCCCCAATCTTCCCGCATCAACATCACAGCCTCGAAATACTCTTTCCATTGCGGAAACCTGATCAGCCTGGTCTCCCTGGTCTCCCTGGTCTTGCAAGCGAGTCCGATGCTGTCGCATGGGTAACAACGGCAAAAAGCGGCCTCCACTGGTACGATCTCGCCGGCAGAGCACTTGGTCCTGGTTCTCCCAATGAAGCGAAGTCTTCGCCCAAGGGACCGTCTTTTCGGGGCGTAGAGACGCAAAGATGAGGCTGCCAATCATATGTGCTTTGCTCGAAGCACGTGTGCATGGAGAGCTCCTAGACGAATGCACTGGCAGTAGCACACTGGAATTGACAAGCGGCAGGAGGGTTGCGAGAGCCATATGACTTCAAGCCGAACCAGCTGAAATGCTTGGCGATATGGCTTTCCACGCTACTGGCGGCCTCTTGAGCAACTTGCAGGTATACCAGGGTGACTGTAGGCTGCCTGTAGCGAGTGGACAAGGTATGTTTTCAGCTGCCCCACCTGGACGGAGGTATAAGACATCCACTCGCCTTTGACTTTTGGTATCGCATCATACAGCAGCACTATAAACTCACTGCCACTAAAATCATTCGAAGAAGCAACACTTCACATATTGCACAGTATACTCCGCAGCTCTGGACATCAGGCAAGCCTGGTCGTTGAAGTCCTCAACTCAAATCGCAACAAGCAAAAGTTGGCGTTAGTCCCTCTATGCTCCATTCATCGGCGTTCAAACTGACTAGACCCATCTTCAAAGTCCGGCTTGCAACCGCTTCGAAGTCGCATCGCAGAAATGCCCGTCGGATGCTACGCCTGCTACGACAGCGGCGAGCGAGAATGCTCGTCCTGTGATGGAACCGGTGAACGACTCAGAGAGTGCCGCACATGCAATGGTTCGGGCTCTGTACAACCGGACACCTACGACTGCAACGCCATAGGCCGACCTCGACGCTGCAGAGCATGCGATGGCCGAGGAGGTCGTCCTTCACCGTGTGGGAGGTGCGATGGTCGTCGCTATGTCAGTTGCACTTACTGTTGAGACACCTGCTTGAACATGCAATTGTTCTGCAAGGGAATTATCTGATAGGTCAGCCACATCCACAAACAGAGTGTAATCCGTCTCTGATACTCCGCTTGTAGTGGATCTAGGAGCAACAGTGTCACATCTTTTTCACACTGCAGCAGACGCTGACCTTTCTTACGAACCACTCCCAGTCTGAATAACTCAAAAATCATACGTAACCGGCCTCGCCTTCCCACCCCTAACCCTAACATAATCCCCCTCAAACCACTCATAAGGGATCCACACCCTCCCCCCAAGCACCTTATTCCACTCTTTCCCCCAAGAATTCTGCACCAAAAATCTCCGCTTCGCCGAATCATACCCCACCGCCAACATTGTGTGCGATCCCATCGGCGACGGTGTGAAATCCGCCGGCGGCTTCCCGAGCACGCCCGTCTTCGCATCGATGCAGGTCTCCACGCACAGGTTCACGCTGGACTCGATGACGATGGCGAAGATGAAGGGCCAGCCTCGTTTCAGGACTTCCTCGAGCAAAGGGATGGCGGGATGTGTCATGTACTGCCACATCCCTTCAACGGCTGGCTCGGCACTCGGATCGAAAATGCGATAGAAACTAATATTCCTCGGTATGATATCTGTCTGTCCAGAAAATGACTTTCCATCCCTCGGATGACTGGATCCTTTCGCTTCGAGCTGCGCGGCGCCCAGATCGACAGGCTCCACGGCACTTGGCGGCTTCTTCGTAACCGCGAACAAGTTGCTATCGTTCTCGTCGAGTTTCGGATCACCGTATGGCCAGAGTTTCTCGGTGCAGACGCCATCGACGAGGAGGGCAACGATGTTGGTGCGGTTTTGAGCGCCCGAGTCGGTCTTCAGCTTCAATGCGACATCGCCGGGGACTTCGTTCGTGCCGTACTTTCCGGGATCTGTGCGAAGGCGAGCGTTGCGATACAGAAACAGTCTAGAGGGCTCGAATTGGTCGTAGCCGATCATGGTGACTTTCTTGTGGGCGTAGCGGAGGGCTGCGAGAGTGGCGTTGGTTACGCAGCTGCCGATGTCGCCTTGTTAATAGACGGGTGGGAGGTCTGGTAGGATGAAGGGCTTTGCTGCGGAGCCGTTCGTTTGGTTTGCGGGTGTCTGGGCCGATGGTGGCGCTGCTGTCGTTGGGTTGGCTCGTGGGACGAGAAGTTCGATTTCGTCGGATGTGAAGAATGGATAGTCCCTTGTGTCGACGGAGTCGAAACCGAGATTGCCTGTGGCGTATTCTGGAGCCATTGTTGGAGATCAAATGGTTTCCCAGGCTCGCGGAGATTGTGGAAGTTTTACAAGGCAGAGTGGAGACTTTCTACTTGAAAGCACGAGATTCTTGGGTGGTATTGCATGCCTACTTAACCTCAACAACAAGGGGATATCTTACTGATATCGACACAGATACTAAAGTGATCACACCACCCATCTCTACCTCGTGGCGGAGCTGGACTCGAAGAGGCTGTCATTCGTGCGCTCTGGACTTGGTGGCTTGCAGCTCAAGAACTGGCCCTCATTGAGCAAGCTTCCTCTTGGCAGCGACAGGTGCTTGTCTTGGGAGTATCATACGATGAGTTTCATCTGTCATAGTTCACGGAGGCTGACTGGGCTCTTTGTGACAAGGATGCGAAGCCTCTCGCTGACATGTGACAAGATCTCGAAGCTTTCATGGCAAGATGAGGCTACATTGTAGCCGAAAAATGTCGATGTACCAACGCAATCTCTATCTCTGAACAGCCGACATCTACTTGTCTGACGGCAATTTCTCAAACAACTCCACCAACTTCGTCTTATCCCAAAACAACTGCAACTCCTTCCAGTGCAACCCATCGTAACCATCCTCTGTCTCCGCCGGCTCCACCTTCGCAAACCACGCAACAGGCGTATTCGAATCCGGCTCCTCCCCTTTATTTCCCTTCAACCAAAAGTGCCTCAGAAATGTCGCATGCACCGTGACCGTCCCGTCGGGATTCCGATACTCTAGGTACGTCTCAGGGATATGGTTGATGCGCTCGAAGGCTATGAAGAGATCTCGCATCCAGTCGGCCATAGCTTGGACACCGTGGAATTCTTTGAGAGTCTCACTGCGGGTTACGATGGATGGAGCGTACCATTTTGTTAGAGGAGATTCGCTGAAGGCACGGGTGTTGACGGCGTTGGCGTAGGCTTCGAAGAACTTTTCGGTGCGAGTCTCCACGAATTGTGCGACTGTTGCCTTCTGCTCAATCCGGAATGGATTGGTACACAACGATATGTAGGCGTACCGGATAAAGCAGCGCGTGACGAGTGACTGGCTTGGCAGCCTCGTGATGGACAAAGCGAGACTTCACGGACTTGGTAGCCGCAGCGAGTGAAGAGTAGCTTGTCTGACAAAGACTTCAATCGTAGCGGGCTCTGGGTCTGTACCTCCAGAAGCGTTGAAGTCGTTCGAGCCTTGTAGCTCGGTCATTTCTACTATACCAATCAACTCGGTCAGATCGCACTCAGCATCACTGCATTCGAAAGCCACCGTAGCAGCAATCAACTCATCGAACTCTACCGACACCGCCTCAGTATCCCACAAGTCATGGCGTTGGACGACGATGTGGAGATGATTGATGTCAGCGAGCTCGACAGCGACGGAGACATCAAGATGATTAGCCCTGTCAGGCCTGTGGCTCCAAAGACTACCGTCCCAAGAGCCGCCGCTCCTAGTGCTAGCGGCCCCAGTGCTATTACTTCCAGGACTGCCGCCTCCACTTCCAGGACTGCCAACGTGAGTGATACCACTTTCAGAACTGCCGCCGCCAATGCCACCGCTTCCAGGGCTACAGCCTCCATTGCCAATGCTTCGAGGACCACCGCTTCCAACAATCCCACTACTTCGAGGACCGCCGCCTCAAATGCTACCTCCTCCAGGACTGCTGCTACACAAACCACAGCTGCTAGAGCCGCCGCTCCAAATTCTCGAACTCCAGCTGCCACTTCCAGACAACCAGTGGAGCGAGCCCTGAGATCCGGAGGCCAGCTCAAGAAAGCAAGCCACAGGGTCCTGAATAACGCAAAGCTGCTCGAGAAGATCTTCGCCAAATTACCCATGATATCGCTCTTTAAGATTCAGCGGACCTCGAAGACTTTCCGCAAGACTATCAAGGAGTCTGATGCGTGTCAGAAGAAGATGTCCCTCCGCAGGGACCCGAGTATCAGCGTGAGGCACGAATGCAATCGCAACCCTATTGACCCATTCCTCACATGCTCCATCTTCCTGCCCCCGCCTGGCCGTGGAACAGGGCGTCGTCGAAAGCATCCATCTCGCGAAGCATTCGGGCCTCGATTGCGAATTCCGGAGAGAGTACGACGTCGAGCAGGCGGCTTCAGTCACGCATAAGTGCATCAAGCTGGCAAGCCGGGAGGCGTCTTGGCGCAAGATGTTGGTCCACCGATCAAATATCGGTCTCGTCGTCTCGAAGGTGACGATGCTTTACCGTCATTCTCACCAACGTGCTTGGAACAAGACTGCCAAGTGCAAGACGCATGACGGTAACTTCACCCTTGGCGAACTTCTCGATGCGGTGGAAGCGGTGCTCAATGGATATTGGGACTGGAGAATCAAAGGCACGAAGCTGCCGAACCAGATGAGGGACGTTATTTATCAGCCTCCAAAACCTGGTCAAGGCGTCATTCGTCTTTAGAGAGATTGGTTGGTGTGAAATTTACAATTGTATGAATGAGAGCGAAGAGCAGAGCAAGAACGGAGGAAGTCACCTTCTACGTACACACCTGCCCTTCATCCTCTCTGATCACGAAACTCTTTTACATACTATTGAAGTTATGAAATACGTGTAGCCTTTGCGAAAAACATTTCCCAGCATTAACGCCTTCACACCCACTACTTTCTGATTCTTCCACCTCACCGATGTAAATGCAAGCCTGTAAAGCCCATTTTCAGCACATCATCTACAGTAGAAGTCTCTGCCATTCTCGTCATTTTCATTTATACCATCTTGATGCCTCATTTTCCTCGAGACTTCGCATTTTCGACACTCTTTGGGATATATGTACGTAACACGAATACGAGAAGTCAAAATCTATATTCAGGGGTTCGGCCTCAACGTGGCCTTAAAGCTCTGTATAAATACTTCCATACCCTTTTCCAGATTTACTTTGTCGTTTCTACGTCAACCAACACTCCGATTACACTCAATACCCAAACAATGGCCAACCCCCAACCCCCCAATCCCTCAACAGCCACCCCACTCACCTCCCAACCATCCTCAAACTTCTTCACAACCCTCAGCCCCGAACTCCGCCTCGAAATCCTAACCCTAGCATTCGGCTCCCGAACCATCCACCTCAGCCTCTTCGACACAACGCCTCCCCGTCCCTATTATACACCCGGTGGCTGGCCCCCCAAGCTCCCCCAAGGACAAGCCAAACTCTGCAGCACAATCTGTCGCCGACATGACCGCTTCGGGCCAAAGGATATCCGTGGGTTTCGCAGCGTCGCGGACGATTCGTGCGCTGCTACTTATCCCGTTGATGAGGAGAAGAAGATGCGGTCGGAGGAATGGCTCGCGGGGCTGCATTTAGGGGTTTTAGGGTGGTTGCTGGCTTGTCGGCAGGCGTATGTGGAGGGTCTTGACGTCTTATTTTCGACGAACACGTTTCATGTTGATCGGCCTCTTTTAGCCGCCAGTCTTTCTAGCTTTTTCCCACAGGAACGTCTTGCGCGGATCCGGGCGGTGGAGTTGAAGCTGGATTGGAGAGTAGCACGATATGAAGGCGATCGCGTACCTTTCCATGAACGGCTCCCGAGGATTCTTGAAAATCTCCCTAAGGAACTCCCTCGGGTTACGCACCTCTCTATCGCCTTTCAGGATAATCTCTGGCCGGACCCGGATGCTCGTTCCGCCCCATCAGTAGAGGAGTTTATGCCCTGGCTGGAAGACAAAGCCTTGCGACCCCTGGATCGTCTAGCGGAGAATATGGAGAGGCTGGAGACGTTTGAGGTTTACTTCGTTTCTAGCATCCATTCGAAACTGAGAAAGGACAGGCATTGGGAGAGGGGGAGGACTGGGGATTTCAGGCCGAGTTTTTGGAGAGGTCTTGATGGGAGCAAGGAATGTAAGAAAGGGTATTGGGTGCACGAGGGCGCTGATGATACTCCTTACGTTTGCACGTATCTACCACCCCCTCCGCGCCCTGCTGCGGATAGTGCATGAATGACTTTGAGAACAAACAAGAGCCGGAAGGTTGGAATTCATTGTCTGGCTTATATCGTTGTCAGCTTTGTCTTGGATGCAAGTCTCGGGTATGAGCCTGAGGATGGAGGTTAATCGGATGGCACTTGCATCTGCAGTGATCTCTCGCTGTTGATGAACCGCTACGTCTTCTGCTGAAGGATTCGATATCGATCTCCAGCCGTCGGGTTCGGCAATCACTATTCGCATGGCACTATCAGCTATATCCCGGTCGAGAACTCAATGGATTGTCGTGTATATTCAACAGAACACATTTTCGTATATACATATATCCTAGTGACATCTAGGAGGGCACCAGCACTGGGCCTGGTGAATGGCATTGTTACTCGCGAACCAGTCACTCGTCGAACAGTGACTGGACTTCGTGTCGTGCGTCGTGTGCCGGCGACGCTTCTGGCCGCGTTTAAATAATGTTGCTTCGATCTTGGAGGTCGCACCATACACCACAACCTCTTCGAAACTCTTCCCTCAACAAACACCCCAGCATGGCCACCACTCCGAACCCCAACATGCAGGACATCTACAAAGGCATCGCTACGCTACCCCAACAAGACAGCCAGCCGTGGCAATACAACGACATCGAGATGGTCGACTACAATGCGTTCGAGGCCTGCCATAAGGCGCTCGGTACGGTCGAGATTCTCGAGGAAATCCTCACTCACCTGCCCAAATTCCAGCTGTTCCGCATCCAGAAAGTCTCCATGGCATTCCGGGACACGATCCAAGAATCGCCACAGCTCCAGGAGAGGATGATGCTCAAGGCTCCTGTGAAGTCGTCCCCCAGACCTCGTGGCTGCAGCAACGGCGTTGTTTTAAACGACATCCTTCGCGACACGATCTTCCTCCCCCGCCTTGCCATTCAAGAGGGGTTCACGGATGGCATCCACGCCATGTATGGCCACAGGCGTCTGATGCACGAGAACCTGGAGGACGGAGAGTTGACGTTGTACCGCTATCGCGAGATGCAGTTCTCCCTGCCCGAGAAGAACTATATCATCAATCTGGCAAAGCGCGACGCATCCTGGAGGAAGATGCTGGTGGCAAAGGAGCAGCTACCACCGTTTCGCACGCAGATGCTCATGTGGTTCAGCTCTCTGAAGGAGTCTGACAACAACAAGGAGGGTTTTGGTGAAGAGCGGATGGGATTCGTTACGATGGGAGACGTGGCGGATGCGGTGGAGAAGGAATACAATGAGTACTGGTGGTCCAAGGCGAACGGTATCAATGTTCGCGGGACTCTGAGGGAGGCCGATGACTATCTTGACCATAGAACTGGGATCACTTCGCGGGGGTTGCAGCATCGGATCTAAGCCGTCGTGCTGGAGGCTCTACAAAAGACCTGGAGAGGTATTAGCAAGTTATGTAGTGTAAGAATGGGAACAGAGCTAAAATTAGTTCTTTCAAACGTTGAGAGTTCCAGGCAAGAGCCTGAAAGCCATGTCGATCAACTCACTTTAGCTTCACATTTCAGCGATCCTCTCATTGCGAAGATGCAGGTATAAAGACCTTGTATTGATGCGCAGCGTAATCTCGATTTGACGTTGGTAAGGAGTATAGACGTGGCCACATTTCAGCCGCTCCCACGCTTTCCGTCCTTAGGCTGCAATTAAGGGAGTAGCTAATGAAGTCCTCAATGCCCATGCCGTAGAACGACAGAATGTGGCGATCCATTGTGACGAGAGATTGGGGTTGGTCGGCGATGTCGAATAGAAAACGTTGTCGTACGCGCTTCACGCCCGATAGTACTATCTCCGCTCTGGAACGCTCTTGGTCAAGGAGTGATATAGCTCTCGAGACCATTGGGAGCGAGAGCTTTCAGCAAGAGCTAGTGGGGGATGGATATTCCAATATTTGATGTTCATGGAGAGGAGCGAAATGATCTCGTGAACATCTCAGCACAGACCGTGTCACAGGATTCGGCTAGCGCCAATTTCCCCAGCTTTCGCTTCAACTGCCGCCCGGGGGGACGATCCCTCAACAAGACATGCAGGTACCAATGTCACTCACCGAAGCTGTAACACACAACCAAACCTGCCGTATCGCAAACGGCGTGCTTATCAAGAGCCGTGCAGCTCGACGAGTCCGGCCATGGTAGCACAACAAGGAGCTGTTATCGACTGGGATGGCGCGCAATTGGCCGGCGATTGCGTGGAATGAGATGGGAAGCCCTGTGACGTCAAACAAAGCAGCTGCTATCGGACTGCGAAGGAGATGGAACAGTTCTACGACGGCGGCGAGACGAGCTGGAAGGAGTTAGAAGGAGAGCCGATGAACAACCAAAGAGGCGCCGTCTGGGCCGGTCGTCGAGGTGCACGGGCACAGTCATGCTGGTGCTGCTGCCCCGCCACGGAGAGCTGAAGCTGAAGCTGGTGTCGTGTGCTTCCACCTCGCCGGACCAATCTCCTGACGAGAGCTGGAACAGACCACCTTCGCTCTTGAACGGGATGGGATTGCGCGAGCAGCAGATAGAGTAGCGGAATCATAAGATCAATAATGGTATGCCATTGCTGCAAGGTACAGGAAGGAGCGACATCGGTGCCTGCCATCTTTGTCTGTTTGGGAGCTGCGGCAAGAGCAACCGTGCGGCAGTCGCGTGACTGATGCTGGACATTACGACGAGGAAGGGAAGGAGCTTACGACATGACCCTTTAAAACACCACCTCTCGACTTCACTTCATCCCTTTCCTCCCCTCCATCCACACACCGTCAACAACAACATCACACGGCTACACTGTTCACCACCTTCAACCAACACCACCTCTCAGCCTTCCACAGCCTCATCTACCAACAAGTGAGTATACACCTTCCCGCCCAATGCCTGATTGACACCTGAATCACATCTGATAAGAGTCACTCAATGCCTCATCCACATACTATCCTCAAACTCCAACACTAACGCCTCACCTCCCAGTGACTCGCACCCACAAGGCTACCGATCGCGACCACGTCGGCCTCGCCAATGGCACCGCCGCCCCTGAGGAGCACCTCCCCCGCTACTTTGGCAAGTCCGGCCACGAGGGCGTCAGTCCAACCGCTACCAAGAAGCAAGGTGGCGGAAAGGGCAATTGGTAAGTTGTAGCATCCCCTTCATCTTCACCCTCACCCTCACCTTCAAGCCCTCCAACATCCAACATTCCACCCTACGTCATCCCCACACCACAGCAACTAACACTTCTCCAAGGGGCCAAGCCGGCATGTCCGAACTCGAAGACTACAGCTACAACCCCATGAAGCCCAAGCGCCGCAGCAACAGCACGTCGCAAGCCGCCGTCTTCAAGACCAAGTTCGAGTCCCTCGACCCGGAAGTCGTCGAGTACGACGAGGACCTCCACGGCCCGGACCAGGCCGAGCTGGAGAAGATGTCGACGACGAGCTCGTCCGCTGATACCATGGGTTCGGTTGAGGAGGAGGATTTGAAGGAGGCGAAGTAGAGATATTTACTTTACACACCTTTGAGAGGAGGGCCGGCCAAAGCCTGGTAGGATGCCGGCCAGGGGATTGTACGAGAACGGGCGTTTTTTGTCTTTGTCTTTGCTTTTGAAGTGGAAGAGATGCAAGGGGTGAGCTACTACAACAACGTCAGCGTCTCTCTTATCGCTGGCGATGGAGGAGCGTGAGATGGATGAAGGGGACTTCCAAACATCAGACGAATAACATGAAACTGTAATACATAGCAAGTGAAATCAAGCAGATGCGAGATTGACCAATTGACATGTTTCTCCTTCGTTTCATCTCATCTATACATGCTCTCGCTCATACTCCTCATTTCACGCAAAGCTATATCGACCTCTCTTACCCATTGACAATAACACCACCATTACAATGTATCGTCTGCCCACTAATCTGACTACTATCCGTACTCGCCAAAAACACCACACACGTCGCAATCTCACTCGGCTGCCCAGGCCTCCCCATCGGACTCGTAAACTGCTTGATCGCCTCATCCGTCATCGTCGAAGGGATCAGCGGCGTCCACACGGGGCCCGGAGCGACGGCATTGACGCGGATGCCCTTGCCGACGAACTGGTTCGAGAGGCCGCGGGTGAAGGACACGATGGCGCCCTTGGTGGAGGTGTAGTCGAGGAGATCCGGGCGGCCGATGTAGGCGTTGACGGAGGCGTTGTTGATGATTGTGTCGCCTTTCTTCATGTGTGGGAGGGCGTATTTGGAGAGGAAGAAGAAGGCTGGATATCAAACGTCAGTCGGGACAGAACGAGAAGGGGGAGGGGGAGGAGATTTTGGGGAAGCAAAACTCACGATGAATGTTCGTATCAAACGTATGCAACCACTGCTCCTCACTAATCTCCGAAATATCCTGCGTCATCATCTGATACGCGTGGTTGTTGAACAGCACATTGATCGCGCCCAACTGCTTCACCGCCTCCTCCACCACCTTCTTGCAATTCCCTTGCTCTTTCAAATTCGTTGGATACAGGAAACATTTCCGCCCGTACTTCTCCACCAACGCCTTCGTCTCCTCGGCGTCTTTCTGCTCTTCGGGGAGGTACGCGATGAAGCTGTCGGCGCCCTCCATGGCGAAGAGGACGGCGGTTGAGCGCCCTATCCCGGAGTCGCCGCCGGTGATGAGGGCTTTCTTGTCTTTCAGCTTGCCCGCGGCTTGGTAGAGTTTGTAGCCGCCATCTGGGCTGGGGACGTGGGCTACGGAGGGCGCTGGGTCGAGGTCGGCTTGGGAGCCCGGAAATGTTTGGTGTTGGATGTTGGGCTGGTGGCCGATGTCGAATTGGGGTTTTTCGGCGGACATGTTGGTGGTGGTGAGGTCTGTGTGGTTAAGAGGGAAAGAGGAAGTGGTTTAGAGGGTAACGAGAGGTGTTCATGTTGGTTCTTGACCTTTTTGGAGGAAGACCTTCAATCACTTCATGATGTCACAGTGATGGAAACTCAGGTCGACGTTTCCACTTCGACATCCAATGGCCCAGCATGTGAAAAGATGTCACAGTATCGCCACATGTTTGCTCATGCTGGGTGCGAAGCCCACTTCCAATGCACTGCAGTGATGCCGCGGTGATGGAAGAGTTTTGTTATTGAGCGGAGATGGGAGAAGAGATCACCTGAAGCGCGACGCGACCGACGTGAAAACGATTTCGTTATTGACTGCTGAATCAGCCGTACCGATTAACGAAGAGATACAGTCTTCAACGTTCACCTCACGATTGCTCCCTCACAACATTCAGTCATCTTCAACATCAAGCCATATCTTCGAAGCATTGGCACTTCATATCCTTCGTCTCGACCGACTGTGCTACATGTATTCTACTGTGCTTGCTGAACTGGATTGTCATTGCAGAAAGACATTTCCCAGCAAAAGCCCGAGCAGTGCATATTCATTACCCCATCTCCTCCCCTCTACCAACACATCCCTCCTTCCCATCTAAACATACCGCGCACAATACCTCAAATCATCAAAAAACAAATTCGTCACGCCCACCGCCGGCAACCCACTCTCCACAACCGTAATCCTGACGCTCACCATCTCACTCCACCCATCAAACTCCTTCAACCCCATCGTAGAATTATACAGCTGATCCGGCCCAAACGCAATCGTCTCCGTCGACTTAACTCTCGCATACCTATCCGTGCCCGTCACAGCCACCGTGCAGGGCAGGGAGAGACTCGCGGCCTGCGCGGCGGTGGTGCCGCAGGCGATCCAGAGGGATTTGAGGTCGAAGGATTTCAGTTTGCCGGCGACGGGCGTTATGGTTGTGGAGGGTTGCAGGGAGGTTATGCCCACGAGGGCGCGGAAGAGGCGGTTGTAGAGGTAGTCGAGGGTTGTGCCGACGGTGCCGAGGACGGCGACGTTGGGTTCGGACCTGGGTTGGACGCCCGGGGCGAGGACGTCGTTGGTGTTCTGGTGCGCTTGGGTGTTAGTACGCAGTTGTCCTTTGGCTTTGGTCTGTAGGAATTGGTGGGGGACGTACGATTCTCACGGCGGCGGAATATTTCAACTCGTCGTACGTGCCTGTGCCCACCCCGGCGAAAGGGGCGATGGGGACGAGTCGTCCCAGCAAAGAGTTGGGTTTGTCGAACTGCAAAGATGTCAGGAATGCGTGCATACATCGCCTTGCTTTCTATGATGCTAACTCCTTCAGTCCTGCATGTGGTGGTTCTCTCTCCAATCGTCGAGCCCCAGGCGGTAGCCAGGAAGAGGGGAACCAACACAGCGTTTTTCGCCATATCTGTAACAAGCGCTTTGGAGTCGTGCTGGTGATACAAGGATTGAGGGAATTTTGCTCGAGTTGTCGATGCAAACACGGTAGGGATTCTCGCGCTGCCTTTATAGTCGCCGCATGTGCCTTTCCCTCCCTATTCGGATTCTGCTCAGCAAGACACTCGCTACGTTTCTTGGGACTTCATGTCGTCTTTGTCTGCAGGCGTCGGAGGGTTTCGGTCGAGTCGTCCACATCGCCACGGATGGCTCGACCGTAGACGATGGCTGATCACCATCTTGGAAGGCGGACCACCCTCCAGCATGACTTTGGCCAAAGAAGCGTATCGTGGCAACGGAGGCCACCCTATGAGTCTCCAGCATAGCCTCTTGGCCTCGACATGCGGCTCAAACTAGCGCGGTGAAAAGGCACTTACCTCCCGAGCCAGGCATCATCTGACTCTCGCCGTCTAGCCAGATTTCCCCTTGGCAAGTTCCACGAACGTGGTCAGCGGCTGAGAGCAATGGCTGAGCATGCCTTGAACGAACGCCACACCGACTCTATGACCTGGAATGGCCTAATCCGTTCGCCATGTAACGGTAACGACGGCCCAAGCCCTCGAGACTCTCCCTCCCTCCTACCGTCAAAGTCAAGTTCTCTAGCGCATCTGTCGTGTCTCCCTCCTGGTCTGTTCGTGGCAGACCGTTCTTCGCTCTGCTCCTGGCATATGGCACCGTAGCAATGCTTGATCGATCGATCGATGGTCGAGGACATCATCGCATGGGAAGTATGTAGTCGACTCGATGAGGCCTTTTCTCGACGTCTCGATTGGAACTCCTTCGATGAAGGGGATCGATTCGATGATCTTGCACCACACCCCAGGAGCAGATCGTCGTAATGATGGGTGTAGTGTTACTCGATCGATCGACATCGTATCGGGAAATTGAGAAGGCTTGTTGAGTGTCTGACAGGCGAGTGATCGATTCTTCAAGTTGGTTGATCAGATGGAGACTACATCCTGATCTGTTACGTATAAGACCTTTCCGCAATTGTGACATCCGCGCGTGGCGACTGCAGCAAGCTCTCTGTGTACAGCTGGATGGATGTTTCCCCTAATTGAGGCGTGTGTACCAGTTTCTTGAGCATACGTCGAAATTCCACAGGGAAGTACACATTCGACATTTCGAGGAGTATCTTGAATAGAGCATCTGGTAGACTTGGCGTCCGATCTATCTCACATATCAACATCTACACATAACACACAACACACATACAAACAAACACAAGCCACCCGCAAGATGGACTCATCCACAGCTGAAAGGTGCCGTAATCGTCCCATCCGCATACGCCTCCACAATGGCGCGAATCGTCACATAGAGACCCGCAACGCAAATGAAAAGACCGATGACGATGGTCAAGACAGACATGAAGGTGTTGAAGGGTTTTCGCCACCATTCCCGGACGCCGTCGCCGTCGTGGTAGGCGTCGTGGAGCCAGAACATACCGGCGCTGGGGATGAAGTGTTAGTGGGGAAGAAGAGAATAGGGGTGGGTTTGGACTTACATTCCGTAGGTGAACCATGCAGCGAAGAGTGCTGCAGTGATGCCGATCAGGTAGTTGAAGATTGGAACTCCGACGGCGAGAACGAAGGCGATGGCGCTCATGAGAGCGATGAGGAAAACCCACACACCCCAGCCGATGAGAGTGTGTTCGTGGAGATGCCGTGAGTGTCTGAAGAGTCGAATGAAGATGATCTTCGCCGCGGTATGGATGTAAAGAGAGCCGGCGATGAGCAGGTTGGGCAGTGCGATGCCGTATGCGGCCTTCGACCAAACGATCTCGAGGGAGGAGAAGGATGGGGAGAGGACCGCGCTACCGATGAAGCCGTAGGTCACGGCAGCGAAGATGGCGTAGTAGCTGGTCGCGAAGCCTTGCAGGGTATAGGCGGCCTTGATTCTAAAAACACAGCCTTGTCAATGATCATGGTCTTTGTCATAGCTCTTTCCTAATGACTTACGCATCTTGAGGACGCTTCATCTCGGACATCAAAGCAAAGAACCTAAGCCAGTTAGAATTGCGAACGTGATTGTCGGAAGTTATTACTCACATGAAATGCCCACAGTATGCAAAGACAGGGTTGGTGATGGAGAAGAATGCGGTAAAGAAGTCGCTCGAGCGGGCTGCAACGACAACTCGGTCTTGAACTGGATGAATACCCGCGCCAACCATTCCCACGATACCAGCGACCAGAATGCTTCCGACACTCGCGATGGAGACCCAGCCGAGGTTGTCGAACGTCCGGGGGAGAGCCAACAGGAACGTCGCCGCGCAGAAAACGCCCGTGAAAGAGATGTTGCAGATCGCATGGTCGCTCAGTGTCGTCAATGCGATCTGTCCCGACAGCATCTGTCCTCCAGCCAGGCAGACGGCGAAGAGCAGTGTGCCGAAAGAAAACACCTCTCGTCCAACGAAACCAAACATGATCTTGCCCGCGTCGCCCATGTTGTGCACCTCAGGATGTCGCAGCTTGAAGCGCACCAGCAGCACCGACGTGTACGCCGCAAACATACCCAGAAAGATGATCAGAATCAATCCAGGCACCATGCCCACGGTGGCGAGCGAGGAGGGCAGGGACAGCATGCCATTGGAGACGATTTCGGCAATCATGAGGATGGAGACAATCTGCCATGACAGCGTCTTGTACTTGATGTCGTGGCCTTCCTCGCGCCCGAAGACGTCGCGGTCGTGGTAGTTGTCGGTGGTGGGCGAGCTGCCGCCATCGTAGTGGCCGGTGTGGTCGTAGTCGCGGCTCCAGGCGACGCCCTCGAACTTGGACATGTCGGCGAGAGGATGGGTGTCGCTCCGTGAAGAACCCAGCATCACAAAAAGGCGCTGTTGGAGGTGAGAGAGGGCGGTGGTGGTGGTGAAGATGGTGAGAGTGGGGTGGTGGTAGGCGAGATCGAGGTCGTGCAGCGGCACAAAGTCAATCAAATAAGCTCGCAGCACGGGCTAGCGTGCCATGCAGCAGCCATGCAATCCAAACAGCTGATCTTGCCCCGAACAGGCTGGTGGTTAATGCACGAGTCTCACGGACCCGGACAGAGAGGGAAAAAACGCCAGATCCGCCATGCCACTCCCATCCCATCCTCCGGCACAGGGGCCGTCGCCTGCTTCTTCTTCGTTTATTAACCACACGTGCCACTCCCTTGGGCGACTTCTCCGGCGCGCGGAATGCATCGTTCCTGACGAGAAAAAGTCTTTGGTGGCTGGCGTGCCATCGCTTAATGCTCTTAATATACATAGCTTCATCCTGTTGCTCCAATCCCACGCTAGTATCCAGGAGTCCGACTCCCTCAATCCAGTTTTCTGACATACTCGACGGGCCCGACGTATCTGTACCGGGCCCACACGAAGTAGAAGATGAGACCCCACAGAGCCACAGATGTAAACACCAGCGACGACCAATTCATGGAGCTGACTTCGAGGTTGGGCAAGGGCGTTGGTGGGAAGAAAGCCTACGACACGTCAGTAGCTGTTTCATGTTGTTGCCACGTTGAGAGATCCTTCAGGCTTCGGTTAGGCGGCGCGGAGACTTACCATGACAAACACGACGGACAGGAACGCCATTGCCAATAGGTTGACGGGAAGGCCGAGCACGCCGAGATTGAATCGTGAAGGTAACATCGGCTGTCTGGACAGTCTCCTCCACACGAAGCAGCCAATGCAAACGCCGTACGAGACCATGAGCACGCCGTTCGTCAGCGACACGAGACTGTTGAAGGCGACTGTGCTTCCGATGTTAATCAAGGACAGAAGGCTGGAGATGACCAGTGATGTGATGACGGCGTTCACTGGCACGTCGAGTCTCGGGCTGACCTTTGAAGGGTCAGTAAATATCGTTTGAGGACGGCGTCTCTATACGTACGGCAGATAGCCAGCCCGCGTATGGTGTTCCATTGTCTCTCGCAAATGCGCTATAGGACTTGGCGTTAGCGTGGATAATTTTGCGAGTAACAAATGTGTCACAGATACTCACTACATCTGGCGCGATGCGGAAGCCATGATAGTGACGGCACTGAAGGCGTCCATGAAGACGATGATCGCTGTCATGGTATTCGTAGCTGCCAAAGATTGTGTGGAGTTATAGAACATCTCGATGAATGGGTACCCCGTTGGCGTTTCGAGAGCTATACCGGCAAGCATCAGTGGTCGGTTGCAGATTGGGCGAAGAGTTTGACATACCTTTCGTGAGATCGCCAATACAGTAGGCTGCTGTGATGGCTGTAACCCAACCCGCAGCTCCGTTAAAGAACAGTGCCCACATCATCGACCGTGGGAGCGTGTATGCTGCATCTTTGAGCTCCTCAGACATGTGGACAGATGCATCCGCTCCGAGCAACGGCACTACGCAAGCTTGCATGCCAATTAATGCTGAGACTCCGGGGCTGTTCCACCCAGGATCTTGGAATGTCGTCCAGGCGAAGTCAGACGTTGTGCGTGGAGACAAGACCCAGAGTGGGACCAAGACGCAGAAGATGCCGTAGATGTGGACGATGAGGATACAGCCTTCAACCAGGTGCAGACGAGTGGCCAGGAAGATGTTGAACAGGGCGCCGAATAACAATACGGCAATGACAAGGAGGGTACCTGCAACACGCCCGGTCAGAGATGTCACGCCAATGGTATGTTCTGCCGTCTTACCGTGCCATCGCTCATACACATAGGTGTCCGGGTAATTCAAGACCAGAAGTCCTTGGATGATCGTTCCAGCCTGGAAAGCGATCGACGCCTGCAGAGCCTGCCATCCAAGCACACCGAGCCATCCTTTGATGATATTGTCAGATGATTGGATTGATACATTTCCCCTTGCGTCGAGTTATGCGATGACTTACCGACAATGTAGCTCAAACTTCTCTGGTATTTCCTCGGCGAAAATTCACTAACCCAATGGTATTGTCCTGTACGATTCATTAGCGCATGATAACAAAAACCAGCATCACAACCTCACCTCCTGTTGTAGGTGCCATGCTGCCCTGTGGAAAAAGACATCATCAGCGTCGTCCATCATCTGCAGCCCGGACACCTCACCATCTCGGCCATGGACATGTACACCGCCGTGAAACCGATCCACACAATCAACCACGTCCAGATCAGACCAGCAGTGCCTCCATTCTGCAGCGCAATACTCAAGGTGCTCAGAAGAGACTCCCAGGAACACATCAGAATCGCACTAAACCCGAACATCGTCACGAGTCGAAAATTGCGCTGCACTGCAAACTCATTAGCGGCATGCCCCTCATTCCCGACTCCATTGCACTCACACTGCTGCGTCTTGCCCATACGTGCCAGATCCCGGAGGTCATTCGCATTGCCGCCCCTGGTGGCCTTGTAGGCGACATTGTCCGGCTCTTCCACAGCGGCCGGCATGCTCTTGGAGAGCACTCCAGGCGGGGGCGATGTCTCCGTCATAATGTTCCAATACAAGAACAATCAGCAGGTCATCATCAACACAATATACAAGTGGTATGGATAGAGATGTCGTTGACCGTTGGACGCAGGGTTAACGGAAATCGACCGGCAGTACCCTCGTACCGTAGAAGGCCTCCATTTGGGACGCTAGTCAGCATGTGATGATTCTAGTGAGCGACGACGTGGGAGACGACAGACGCTGGGCTGCGCGGTGGCGGGGCTCGGCTGATGCACTCTTCAGGGCAGAGCTCCTGCGGCACCAGCAGACGCGGCTGCAGAGCGACTCAATCTTATTCTGCTCCCTTCGCTTGGCTCACCCGCCGATCGCTGCACCTCAGCAGCAACCGACGTTTCTGACAGGCCCGCGGCGCGGCGAGCGCAGATACTGCTGACGCCACTGGAGTCTGATGCCCCCTTAGCGCCTTCGCACACCCTCTTTGCAGATTATTCGAGCCCGTTTCCAATTTTGCCGTCGCGGGTGGCAGGCGAGGACGCTCTCCGGCTGCTCCCACGGTCCCACCAGTGCTCGGAGGATCCTATCACCATGCATATCGGAGTCGAGGCTTGCTTGAGACCTGAGGATGGTGTTCTCTCTAACAACTCCCTCATCAACCACCTCCTATTTTCATTTATAGATCCGGTCGGCAGGATACAACAAGCCTGGGCTGGCGACGCCTTGCTGGACACTCCCGTCACGATGATCCGTACCTCCTCATGAGATGACGACTACCCAGATACTATACCCGCCTCTCGCGGCCATCACGCCCACAGACCAGCGCGGAGTCCTCTGGATCATCGGGATAATATGTCTGGCCTTCATCTACCTCACCCTCGCACTCAGAGTGTTTGTCCGGTGGCGGCGATTCCAACCCGATGACTATGCGATTATTGCGGCCTGCGTTCTGGTCGTCGCCGAGGCAAGCGTTGCATTCGCGGCGGTGGGCTTGGGTCTCGGATCATCGAAACTGAACGGCGAGAGCAGTAGGGAAAGCACGGTATGGAGGGTGAGTTTGCCACAGTTTCACGCGGCGCAGCTGCGTTCTCTTTGTGTTCTGCCAGCTCACACGTGGTGGTGCTACAGCTTTTTATCGCAAGCGAAGCAATCTTTGTAATTGCCACATTTACGGCCAAGGCAGCGGTGCTCTTGACGGTCGAGAAGCTTCTGGCCAGAGACATGAGAGAGCGCACGATTTTTCAGTACACGCTGGTCGCCGTGGGCGTGTTGGGTCTGGCTTCGGTGCTTACTGTTACCATCGATTGCGCTGGTCAGACCTGCAATCAGGTGAGTTGGTCCTGTGAAACTGCAGTCCACGGCGACACTACTGACATCTCAAAATAGCAACCACGTTGGATCGCTGTAGCTCTGATGGACTCGGTCAGCGAGATCTGGGGCTTCTCGTTGTTTTGCTGGGTGGTGTTTTCACTCCAGATGAAGTTTACATTCAAGTTTACTTCGGCCGCGATTCTAGGCTTGCGATTATTGTGAGTGATCATAGGCATTTAAAGGAACAGCCGACTGACTTTCTGTTAGCTGCGTGGCATTTGCGGGCGTGCACGCCTACTATGTCTCGATCTATGAGCAGGCCGATGATCCTGCCGTCAATGTGATAACACCGCTATCATGGCAGCAGCTTGCTCTGACCTGGTCTCTGCTCTCCGCAATGGCAGTCGCATTGAGACCATTCATCCGTGAAATGCACACGGGAATGGGTATGGATCTTGCAAATGTAGGCGAGGGCTCATACGCACGGAGCAAGAAGTACACGAACAACGAATACAAGATGCAAGAACTATCGAAGAACTCCAACAGGCAGGTCAAAGTCGCACAGGAGAACGACAGCAGCGAAAGTAACCCATATCGAGCGGATGATATCCACTACTCGGCAGCGATTTATCACGAAGACAGGAAACCTAGCAGCGCCAGTGCGCGGTCACAGGAGCCCATGATAAGACGAGAGGTGGAGTATACAGTCACGTATCAGGCACAGGATTGAGAAATGTATCATAGTTGGAAGTGTCAAGAAAAATTTAGCAGTACTTCAAACGAATTACGCAATCCCAAAAGATGCTGCTCCTTCCACGTTTCCATTGGACCCCGTGACCAGATCCACCTCTTGCAGTCCCCTCATCCAATGCGCGTGCGGGGAGCTCTCGTAACGCTAACTGTGCGAAGGGAAAGCAGGATATATTCCTTGCTGTGCCATCTTGACACCACCCCCTCCGCGAGAGCAAGACGGACGAGTGAAATCAATCTACAATGGCGTACAACATCCCTGACCAGAACACTCCCAAGCCACCAGGCCAAGTTCGATCCTACCCAGGACCTACATCTGAAGGCAAAGTCGAGTTTACAGTGCCTTCGACGGGAGAGAAGGGGACAACTATCTACAGGATCTGGGGCAAATTGTCACCAGACACCACGCCTCTGATTTGCTTGCATGGCGGGCCTGGAATGTTGCATCGTGAGTTCACATAAACCAGCAGCTGAGTACTTACAATTGCTGAATACTGCCCACAGATTATATCAAACCTATCAGCTTGATTCACCTAGACTATGGCATCCCAGTCATCATGTACGACCAACTCGGCTGTGGCGACAACACCCACATGCCTCATCACAAAGGCGACACTTCCTTCTTCACGTTTGCACTCCACATCGCCGAGCTAGAGAACCTGAAGCAGCACCTCCAGATCAAGAACTTCTACCTCCTGGGCCAAAGCTGCGGCGGCATGGAAGCCATCGAGTACGCCGTCGACCACCAGCCTCCCGGCCTGCAGAAACTCATCGTCTCTAACTCCCCGGCCGCAATGCCTACCTGGTCCAAAGTCTGCAACGGCCTGCGCGCCGCTCTCCCACAAGACGTCCAAGACGCCCTCGACAAGCACGAGAAGGAGGGCACCACCGACTCAAAAGAATACGAAGAGGCAACCATGGCCTTCTACCGCCGCCACCTCTGCCGCGTGGACCCCTTCCCACCAGAAGCCGAAGCCAGTCTCGCAGGCGTCGCGGAAGATAACACCGTCTACGCGACCATGAACGGACCGAGCGAGTTCACCGTCGTGGGGACGGTCAAGGACTGGGATTATACCGACAAGCTGAAGACCATCACGAACGAGACTGTGCCGGGTGGTGTGCTATTGATCAATGGCCATTTCGACGAGGCGCAGGATGAGGTTGTGTGGCCGTTTTTCAATCATATTGCAGCGAGGACGAAGTGGATCACGTTCCCGTTGAGTTCGCATACGCCTTTCTTGGAGGAGACGGAGGCATATATTAAGGCTTTGGGTGAGTTCTTGCTGGCGAAGTAGCAGTGTTCTTCTAGCACGGTTTCTCGTTCAGTACAGCATCTCGTTCGGTACAGCTGTGGCATGTCCTTTTGTAGGATAGCATGTGGCCTTCGAGGTCATCAATCTCTTGATGCATTGTGGTGAAGAACAGATGATGTTGAAAGAAAGATGAGACCTTGTCCTTGCTCAGACCATGTTGTCGGTAATCTCAGTCAACATGCGCGATAATGCGTTAAGATACGAGATTATCGCTTTTAGCACTAGCGCAAACGCTCAATATCACCCACGCGTTTTCCCGCGCTTCAACTTCACCTCCCATCTCGTCCCACTCCACCTCTTTGGGCATGTTCAAACCACACCTCCTCCAGCACGTAAAACTCATATGCAAACACCGTCCCTTCCAGTCAAGACTTCGGTTCTACAGCAATTCCCGGAAACCCTACGACCCCTTACGAATCCTCTTCTGCGGCGCCGATGAATTCAGCATCTTCTCCCTAAAAGCCATCCGTGACCTCCAGCACCGGCGGCCGGAATGCGTCGCTTCGATCGACGTTGTTTGTCGACCGGATAAGCGTGTTGGGAGGGGGTTGAAGAGGGTTCAAGAAGGTATGTGAAAGGAAGAGAAAGCCGTGGTTTTCTTTTCTTTTCTGTGTGTGAAAGTTGAATCGCTGATGGATTGGCAGTCCCGATCAAAAGCGTCGCTCGAGGATTGGAAATACCCATCCATCAGATCGATACGTTCACGGGATGGAGTCCACCCTCCCCCGTCGATCTGATCATCGCCGTGTCGTTCGGTCTTCTCGTGCCTTCTCGGATTCTGAAAGGTGCGACGTGGGGCGGGTTGAATGTTCATCCTTCGATGCTGCCGTATTTGCGTGGTCCGGCGCCTGTCCAGCATGCGCTTTTGAAAGGGCGGACGCATACGGGTGTTACGCTGCAGACGATGCATCCGACGAGGTTTGATCATGGGGTGATTCTGGCGCAGACGCCGGGTCCTGGGGTAAGGATTTCTGAGGAGTGTACGCCGGATGATTTGATTCGGAGTTTGGGGGAGGCGGGTGCGGGGATGTTGGTGAGGGGGGTTGAGGATGGGTTGTTTGTCGACCCTGTGCCTGTGGTTGACGGGAAAGATGCGGAGGGGAGGGCCGAGCATGCTCCTAAGATTCTGCCGGAAGATCGCCATATCGACTGGAATACTTGGACGGCGGATCAGATCATGCGGTATGATCGTGTTCTTGGCCGACTTTGGGATACGACTACATGGCAGAAATGCCAGCCGGGGAGCACTGTCTCGAAGCGTGTGACTTTTCACGGCCCGTGGCGATCAGTTTCTTGCGACCAAGTGTCTGCTTCAACAGAAGCTGGCAAACCTGCAGTCCTTCAAATCGAAGAATCGCAGTCCCCAACGCTGCTGCTGCCCACCGCGGATGGCCATCTTTTGACTCCTGCCTCTGCAACCATCGAGGGCGAGCAGAAGGGGAAGGGAATTGCCGCGCTCATTCGAGCTAAGACTTCCACGTCATGAGCAGTTCGATACTGATCCTCAACATTCTGGGAGCGGGTTGGTTCCGCATATCCTGCCGCCTACATGCGAATGAAGCCGGACTAGAAGCTGGTCCGTGCGACGTCACCCGCCGAGTGAAGAGCACAGCATGTGAAGTTCGCTGCTGATGTCAAGATCCGAAACACACCTCCTTCACTTGCCGCTCCGGCTGTTTTGAAACCTTTACAACTTGCTGGACTCCACCTCGACATCTTCGTCGACAGCACACCACCGTGCCAGACACCGACGGGTTTTCCGCGAATACAGCCATGGCGCTGCTTGCCAGACCAGAAGGTATCTCTGGCGATTGCTTGGAGCTGCTGGACGAGATCGAGGATGCTCTCAAGCCGTACCTCACCACCAACAAGAAGCCGCCACTTTCGCTCGAGGAGCTCTTCGTCATATCGCTGCTCTTCAATCCTGGGATCACCTTCGATGAATGTGTGCAATGGTTTCTGAGCGAGATCCCACAATATCGAAAGCTTGCTATGTGTGACTTCGTCGCAGATGGACTGAGTCCTTGGGGACGTAGTCCGGGGGCACTCAACAGTCGCTTCTTCGACAAGGTCAAAGAATTGGAGTACTGTTCCTACGTGCCAGTCTCATCGACTACCAAGACGGATGAAGATGGGCGCAAGGAGAAACATCTACATGCTCTTCCGCACGAGTCCCGGCTTTTCCTTCGGAGCTTCCTAGCGACCCGCTCCACCACTGTCCAGCACAAGGCGCCATTCCCCTTTATGCGCTTACCGACAGAACTTCGACTACGCATCTACGAGCTTGTGTTGATGTTTCCCAAGAGCGGCGTCTCCATTCGCCAAATAGGGAACAACGCCCCAAACGTGTATGTGGCGACGAGGGACATGAACGAGGTGGATGATACGCTATGGCAGCAGAAGATGCCGCGCGCAGCGGCTGATTTCTGCTACTGGTATCGAGATCCCTTGACGCTCTATTGCCACAAGCTCCCACAACACCTGGCCATTCTCCGAACAAGCAAGACTATCTTCTTCGAGTCAATGCCCGTCTTCTATCAGCAGAACAAGTTCGTTTGTCTCGATCTGTCCAGCCTACGGCGGGTGCTACGTCGGACGCCCGAAACCCGCAGAGCGCACATCCGCCACATCACCTTCAAGCTTGATGCACCAGAGTACGGCCGCATCTCTATGGCGGATATCGCCAGCTGCATGAGAGTGCTGAGGCGTATGCGACTACGCACTCTCGAGATCACCATGTTCGAAGACGTGTGGAGCGGAGAGAGAAAGCGTGATGGAAGTTTGAAGTTCCCTCCACTTCTCCAGCTCGAGCCGATCAAAGTGCTGCGGACGATGAGAGGTCTGCAGAGCGTCAAGTTCCACGGCGAGTGTCCTACTGTGCGTGATCATCTTGCTGCTGAGATGATCAAGCCAGTGCCGGGCAAAGCTGGAACGGCGAAGAAGGGCAAAGGTGGAAGCAAGCGCAAAGCTATCGATGCCGTTGACAAGGAGGAAGGTCAGGGAGTGAATAAGGCGAAGAAGGGCAAGAAGAACGCGGCATCGTCGAGCTGGACCACGAGCTTGAGTATCAGAGAGAGCGGATGAGAATGAATGGGATCTGGAAGCAGGACACGGGAAGGGGTAGAAGGGAGGTCTGCGGTTCAAGCACATCACCACGCGAAGCTGGTGAGAAGCTAGTACAGTCCGGTTCACCTTGAACACGGCAACGTCTACTCTGCAGATAGCATCACATAAAAGTAGTTTGATTTCTAGATCCATCTCCAAAATTTCCGAGCTGGCATCATGTCCTGCAGCGTTGAAGTGACTTATTGAATATTCACGTGCTTTCACATGCCCGATCGCTCTTTGCTCATTCACTCGTGAAAATTGGCGCCAGCTTGAGCACTAACCATACACGCATAGCTTTAGACTTTGCGACTTCATCTCTTCAACTCCTTCACACCACATCTCGCTTCGAGGCGACTATCGACATCTCAACTGCTTCTGGCCTTGTGGTGTTGCTTGCGGTCAAGGTGATATATCGAAGAGCTGCCATCACAGCACATTGAGTCGCGGACTACAGAGCTCTCCACAACCCCATTTCCAACTCATCGACATCACCGACATCGCCGACAAGAATCTTCTCAAGAATCTTCTCACGTATGGACTCAGCTCTCCGCGCCATGCGACCACTTCAGAGCACAACCTCCGTGAAGACCCGCCAACGCCGCGCCGCACTGGCCATGGGACTTCGTGGGGAGCTCAAGCGCAAGTTGCGCAAATTGATCAAGCCCTGGAAGACCTCGACGAGCAAACCACCGTTCACCGCAGAGCAGCTGGTTGTCATCGCTCTGTTCCTGTGTCCGCCAGAAGGATCGACGCAAGCGAGGGTGGAGCGGTTCATCATGCAGCATTTTGGGTACTACCTGAAGCTGGCTCTCGCCTGCACCCCATTAGCCGACAGCAAGCACTTGACCGCACCAAGATCCAACCAGCGGAAGGTTGAGGCGTTTCAGAAGGACTGTAACAGGGTGTACCGGCAGTTCGAGGTTCCAATTCAGACTGCGTCTAGTTCGGAGGGGTCCACAGCGAGATGGACCATTACCGCGGCTGCAACACACATCTTCTTGCGCGATGTGCTCAGACCGAGTGCACCCGAGGAGCCGTTCCCCTTCCAGCGATTGCCAGCGGAGCTTCGCAACCGCATCTATGAGTATGTCTTGCGGTTCCCGACACAAGGAGTCTGCGTCAAAGTCAAGGCCGAAAAGCCTGGAAAAGAATCCAAGAGTATCCCAGCGCAGTTCTCTGTGATTAGAGACCAGAAGCTGGAGATGAATGGCTCTGGCGCTTCCGACTTCTACTACAAACTCGAGTCAGCATACCGGGACTACCCACTTGCTAATCACCCAGATGGTCTTCCTAAAGGTATACAGAACTGTCTTCCTGCAGCTGATCATCTTTCCGTGTTGTCAGTGAGCAAGCAAGTCTTCCAAGAAGCCATGCCGATCTTCTACAGCACCAACAACTTCACGTTCGACAGCCTGCAGCACCTCCTATGGTTCCTCGAGGCCACCCCAGCAGCTCGACGCGACCACATTGAACACGTCAGCTTCTATTACATGGATGGATATGAGAAGTTCGCGAGCCCGGCCTTCAAGCTTCTCAAGGAAATCTCTCATCTCCGTGAGCTTGACATCGGTGTTGCTGAGTCGTATTGGAAGAATCTGGTGAAGGTAGACTGGACTCCCAAGTATCCGGATGTGCTCAAGGTACCTGGCGCCTTCACCCTGCGCAGCATTCGTGGTCTGAAGGTGGTCCGATTCCACGGCGACTGCGAGACTTTCAAGACATTGATTCCCGAGATGACAGGCGAGAAGAAGAAGGCGAAGGCTCCGAGGAAGCGCAAAGCAAAAGCTGATGCAGACAATGCCGAGCCAGCGGAGGATGCTAAAAATGGCGAAAACGTCCAGAAGCAGATTGCACCGGCCAAGAAGAAAGCCAGGAAGGGGAAGAGCACTTGAAAGTGCAACCATGAGGCAGAGAGGTCCAAGGAGTCACATAGGCGGATCCACAGATTGACGATACCACAGAGGCATGCACTTCATCGGAGGCCCGAGTTGAGAAGTGCATTAGGAAGTCGAAACCCGGACGGCGAAGTCCAAAGCCAGACAGCAGGATAGCGAGGCAGTCCGGACATCAACCAAAAGCAGTCATTTCGACCATCTTCCATCTTCTTCTCCTCCTCATCAAACCAGCACCCCAACAAATTCCCCCCTCCCCCCACCGACCCTCCCCTCCAAAGATTCCCACTGCACCAAAAACCGATCCACGACCCACCCCAACAACCTTCCACTCAAACTAACCCTCTTCACCCTCGCCCAACTCTCCACATACACGGTCCTCATCTTGCCCCTCGAGTGACACCCGCCAGCATCCAGAAACCTCATCAAAACACTCACAAACACCAAAATCGTCGCCGTCGCGGGGCCGTTGACTAGGATGATGTCGGGGAAGTCCGCACTTTCCCTCTCCTCCTCCTCTGAAGGTAAGAGAACTCCCCAACAAACCCACGCACACCTCACACAACTCCACGGCGCCGTCCACACCCTCTGATGGATCTTCCTCGCCCTCGGCACGGTCTGCACACTCCACCTCCCTTCCCCCTCTTCATCCGCCTCACCACCGCCAATAACCTCCCTCTCAAACCCCCCCGCCCTCTCCGCAGAAATCCCATCCCCCTCACCCACGACCCACGTCCGCCGCGATAACTTGTTTTTCCAGTCGAGTTCTGCCCGCGAGAGCATGCTGAGCATTTCGGCCGTGTGGCCTCCTGAGCCGAGGACGATGAGGATGTGTGCATTTTCCCCTGGTACGAGGCGGGGTTTGGGCCGCGTCGGGGAGAGGATGGTGTGCAGGCGGTAGAGGGCTGGGAGGAGGAGGAGGAGGAGGAGCGTTGTTGAGAGGGCGAGGATGGCGGCGTGTAAGTTCATCTTTGTGGTAGGGGGTCGTGAGATGGTGGATGTGGTGAGGTGGTAATGGGTGGTATGAGGTGAGGTGGTTGTTATCGGGGTTCCATGGTGATTGTGATTGTGCAGAGCGCGCGAGCTTCAAGGAGGTGAGATGTAGGGAGAGAAGATCAAAAGAGCATTGAACTAAAAGCAGGTCTAACATCTGAAGTCGAAGCTCCGGCAGACACGGACCGAACTCCGTTCATCCTGGCTGGCCCAATCAATATCTCGATCGACGATGCCTTCAATATTTGATTGACGTTACCATCAATATTTGAGTGAGACTAGAGCGGAACGAATAATTAGGAGACATATGCATGTATATGATCCAAAATGATACCACTTTGTCAGAGGTGTACATCGAAGTTAAGACGACCTAGCCGCATCGATATTTCGATTAACGATGCTGCCATTAAATTTTGCGTGGATAGTAGAACAAACGAGCGATTGGAAGACATATGCATGAATGTATGTATTTCAAAAACCACCACTTTCTCAGATGTATACATTGAAGCTAAGAAGAAATTATCCATCGAGCATGAACTCATCAATCAATCAGTCGACAAATTCCAGCAAAGAAGACCAGACCAGACGCCACACTCCCCTCGCTAAACATCACATCACATCACATCAAACATCCAAAATCAACCCATCCAGATCCCTTTATACCCTCCCATTTCCTTCCACAAACCCCATCAAATCACTCTCTCCAAGACATTCAAACCTCCCTCCCAGAACTAACCCCCTCCTCCTCAACCCTAACTAGCACCCCCTCCTCCCTCCTCAACAAGCCACCCCCGGCACCCTCCCCATCACTCCGACTCCTCGTACTCTCCCCCCTCACCAGCCCACTCACACTCCCCTTCGTCCTCAAACTCCCACTCCTCGACACCGCCCCCTCACTCGCGCTCCTCAAACTCGCCCGCTCCACATCCGCATTCACAACCCTCAACCTCGCTTTGGGAACCGTAAACATAACCTGCACGTCCCGCTTGCTCGCCTCGCCCTCGACGTCCCATTCGTTCTCCGCGGCTTTTTCGTCCAGCGACGTCCGCGCCGGTTCGCCCCAGTCGCCCGGGTCCGGGTCGTCGCAGTAGGGCGTGTGGTGCTTGTCGTTTTCCCAGTCGGATCGGCCCCGTTTGTGGCGGAGGAGCGTGCTGCCGTCGGAGACGGCGCGGCGGGGTCCGCTGGCGCTGGCGTTGGAGGGCGTGGGGTGGAGAGGTGCGCCTTTGCGGGTGCGGGTGGGCGAGGAGGAGGAGGTTCGCGGTTCGTCTTCGTAAGGGCGTTCGATGCCCGTGGTGTTGCTGGTGAGGGAGAAGCTGCGTTCGCTGTTGGAGACGGCCGTCAGGGCGCGGCGGAGGGAGCCGATCCAGCCTTGTTTTCGGCGGGGTGGGGTTTCGTAGTCGCGGATGGATTCTTTGCGGTCGAAATGGGGTGTGGTGGCTGCCATGGCTCGTTGGTAGGGGTCGTCTCTGTCTGCCATGGGTCTGCCTCCTAGAAGTGCTTGTCCCTCGTCTTGGAGTTGGGCGAAGGTGGATTTTGCCGTTGTGAAGGAGTCTTGCGACTTGTCGGCGTAGTGTCTGCCAGCACCCGGTGTTCGTGTCTCAGTGGGTGAGATGCGATGGTGCTGGTCAAAGTAGTAAGGCGATTTCCTTCCACTACTACTCGACTTCGTCCCCATCGTGCTCGTTCGCTCCTCACCAGGTGATCTTGGATCGTGCTCTTCACGAGCGTTCCTCGCTGCAAGTGCTGCTGAAAGTAAGGCTCCCGTTCGAGTCGACATGGTCCGTGTGATGGAATTGCTGGAAGCATGCGAGCGATGCGATTGCTCGCTGAGGGTAGATGATGTTCTGTCGTCTGCTCGGGTGGGTGATGCTCTTCCATTCGAGCTTGACGACGGATCCGTCAAAGCATCCTCGTCATCCACAACCATCCAATTCATCGACCCGTCAGGCTCTGTATGAACGGGTCGTCGAGTCGGACTATAGGCCCTACTCGCTCCAGTCGGTACCCTTCTCACCGTCTCCGTGATAGGCGACACAGGATTGCTCCCCAGTGGATTCGCATGTGGTTCAGGATCCGCAAAGGGGTCTTGGTGTGGAAGCGAGCTGGCCTTCAATTGTCGTTGCAGATCTCGCAGACTGCGCTCATTCGAAGACGCATCAGGCGTGAGCACTCTCTCGATCTCTCGAAGTTGGTGGACGGCCGCCGACTCTCTGACCTGGTCATCATCTCCTCTTATCGATCTGTCTTCGTCCGCGCTCTCCGGGATAGGATGGATGTTGCCACTCCCTTGATTGAGCCTTCGCTCATCATACCTGGGAGCCTGGTGATACATATACGGCCGAGTCTGCAACCCCTTTCGCAGTCCTCGATTCGGGCTCGGTACATCCAGGAACAGACTCGTCGAGTCTGCTTGTTCCATCGGTGTGCTGTAGTCTTGGTGACTGGCGAAGGGATCTCCACCATGCCCATCGATATCGCCGTGCCCGGCATACGGCTGCTCCAGCTGCATGAACGATCCACCGGAAGAATGTGCCAGCAGTTCCCGCTCTCGATCTTCTCGCTGTTGCCGCAGTCGTTTGGTATACCAGAAGTAGAAACAAGTCACTCCAACCAAAGCAGCAACTCCCACTCCCAGCCCAACCCCAAGCCCAGCTTGTTCTGAAGTCTTGCTCAACGGGCCCGAAGACTGATTGTCAGCGCTAGCAGACGGAGACGGTGGAGCATACGAATCGATCCAGGCATGCGAAGTCGTGTTGTAGAGATACACCCCATCCACAGACGTCTGAGCCCTCCTCACAACCCTCGAAGACGAAGCCGTGATCGAATACCCTCCCGCGACCATCATGATCCCGCCATCGAGCATCGTCGCTCCATGGCCATAGATTCCCGTCCCAGGAGGGACAGCATTCCCAGTCGAAGTCGGTACCGTCCAGGTCCACGCCTCCGCTTCATCACCGCCATACTCAGATCCGAGATGGAGGACTGCAATCTGAGGCTGTGCCGGATTCGTGACATCTCCCACCCAACCGCCCAGAACGATGATACTCGTCCCATCCTCAGACAGCACAGCCGTATGCCCCGACCTAGGCTCCACCTCCGTAACAGCCTGCCTTGTCGCCAGATCCGTCTTGACACCACTCGGCTGATCCACCGCCACAAACGCCCAACTCTCCTGAGGCAGCGAAAACAGCGCCACATTCGACATGTTGATAAACGCCTGCTGGGTGTGTCCGCCAAGGAGCAGGAAATCCTGCTGCTGGCTCTGCGGTCCTCCACTGGCGTTCATGGAGAATGTGGGCGTCAATCCCGTCATGGTGAATCCCGCCTCCGCGACAGGCGGTCCTCTGCTCGCGATCGAATCAATCCCGTACGTCCACTCCCCAGCACTCGGTCTCGCGAATTGCAGCATGGTATTCGAATACGCCGAGTCATTCACCCAGTTCGTCGCGGTCGTATCGCTTGAGAACGGACACATGCCTCCAAACAGATAATATCCAAACTCCCCATCATCCTGAGCCACAGATCCCGAAAAGGCCACTCCACTCGCCAGAAAGTTCGTCCCTGTGAGATTGGATCCCGCCGGTAGATCTCGCTCTGAAATGTCGTATTGCACCCACGACCCATTGCCAGGCGCACTGCTCGGATCCGGCGTGAACCTCCACAGCGCCGTGTCCTCCGCCCCGCTCGCGCAACTCCCAGCCACGACCGTGATATTCCCAAACTCATCGATCATAGGCGTATAAGGCACCAGCGTGTCATCTTTCAAAAACGGCAGACTGTCCGCGATGGTGGTGAGGGGTAAGTTCCCCGTGTCGAAGCCATTGCTGAGAGATATCGTCCGCAGCACGCCCTGGTTGAGGCCTTGCGAGGAGGGCTGGAAGAGGTATACGAAGGAGGAGTTGGGGGCGCGGAGGGCGCGGGTGGGGTTGTAGGGGAAGGTGTCGGCGAGGACGATGGTGGTGCATAGAGCCAGGAGGCTCCATGGGAGAGGCGTGGGTGTCATAAGTATACTGGAGGGAGGAGCTAGAAGGTGTTATAGCGGCATGCGATGGTGGTGGTGGTCGTAGCACTACACCATAGTCGAGTGTGGACTCATTCGTCGTGGTCACCATGTAGTAGTAGGACAGAGTGAGGACTCGAGGTGTAGGTAGGCGTGCACAGGGAATGACAGAGGCAGGTCGTCAAACAGAGTGAGTGTCGAAGCCACCCGAATGCGCGTCACGCCGTCAACAAAAACCCACTCCCTCTCGCTTCCACTTACTCACATCCACTTCCCCTTCACATGCACAAGCGAGCCACGACCAGCCACATCCGAGACCCTCCGTTGCGGCTCGCTATCATCAATCAATTGCGCAACACCGGTCCAACAAATCACACCCATCCAGCCACCATCGCCGAGAAGGCTGGTTCAATCAATGATTGGTGCGGGGCGTCACCACAGCAACGGGCAACGCGCAACGCACGAGGACCAATCGAGGCCTTGCAGCGGTGGCTGCGAACGCATGGAGCATCCTTGCGAGCACCTCGTGTCTGGAACGTCGCGTGCGGTGGAAGCGGGAAGACTTCGTTTGGAGTTGGATGCGTAGCGTTGAACGGCAGAAGAGAGTGGATGTGTATTGCACTGTACTGTACGGTAGGCCGTGTTCTGACAACGAGACATGCGACGCTGTACCCGCTGTCCCGGTGTTGTTATTATGATTCTTATTATTACTGTGAGAAACGGCTCGTTCGTCGCACGAGGTGAATGGTGGCTTCCGAGCCTTCTTGTTGGACGACGGTTGAAGGTAGAGCCATGGCGATGTTCATCGTCTCGATCCAGGCAATACAGCCTCAGTCGTGACTCTTGTTGGGATGTTGTTCGGTCTCGATGGTGGTGCTGTTTCTCGTGGGCTGAAGAATCGATGGCAGGACTCGAAACACCGCAGCAGCCATGAACGCCGACGACAATGTTCTGCTTGCTACATTCGCGGATGGCAGGTCTCGAAACAGGCCAGCCGTCAGCCCTGTACTCAAGTCACCCGACCTGGCTAGAGACGGTTGCTTTGATGGACTTTGATAAATGAATTTCAATCTACACACCCTCAGCAAAGAAACTATATGCAAGCAAAACGAACACTGTATGTCCCATCCTCCTCATCCTCCCAAATCAACTCAAACAAAACTCCAGCCAGGAGCTCCGAGGGTAACTAGAGCTCAACCGGCCTCCCAAACAACTCCACTGAAACACCCTGACGAGTTGGAAACATCTCCCTCTTGATTTTTGATACTTGCTTCCGATTTCATCACACCTCCAATGCATTGATGCGCTTCTTCATGAGCTCAAAGTTGCTGAAGAAAATCATGTTGATGATGCACGATCGAATCACCGAAACGCCTAGGCCTGGAATAACACCTTCGTCAGTATGGTACTTCAGTTTGCTGGAATGGAAGATGCTCACCTCTATACGATGTTGATTTGAAGAACTCGATGTCCGGTCTCGAAGCTGCATGTGGTCCCGCAGCGAGGAGTTTTTTCTGGTAGACAGTCTTGGCGACGTCAACTGGGTAGATCTGGACACAAATCGAGTCAGCACCAAAATTCGCACAATCAAAGAGTTAATGTTTGACATACGCAAGCCCAACTGACAATCCCACACAACCCACCCGCCACCACCACCGCGTACGGACTCGTCGAGCTCTTGCCCCTCGCATTCCCCATCAGCTGCTTCGCGCTCTCGTACGTGATGAAGTAGATGGATGTGCCGATGGTATCCCTCAGCAAATGCAGTCTATATCCAGCATACAATCCCTGCAGGCCTCGATCCCTCACGAGTCTCCTAGCCGTGGCCATTGACCCTCCACTCTTGAGGTCGGCTGCTGGGTTGTATTTGCTCGAATTCCTCAATGCTGCTTCTCTTGCTACTTTCCCTGCGAGCTGCTCGTTCAGCTTCGTCAATTCGAAGGGACATGATATGGTCGTGATGACAGCCCCTGCCACCGCCCCACTCAACCCAAAGCAGGCCACGGTGCTGAATGTCGGATAACTGCCCGGCGCATTGGCAATGACAAGCGGACTCTGGCCCGTCATCTGCGTGAACGTCTTGTCCAGCGCGTATTTCGTCCTCTGGTACAGACTGAACGAGATGGTCCGCACCAACGTCACGCTGAGCATTGGGGGTAACACGCCGCGCCAAAACGCCCGCAGTCCTTCCACTTTGTACGCATCTTTGATGGTATGCACGAAGCCCGTCTCATAGCTCTGCATGCGAGATTTGGCAAAGTCCAGGGGAAAGGCGAGGAAGGTGGAGAGGACGGAGGAGGACGAGGCGGAGATTTCGGTGCGGTATTTTTTGGCAAAGGCTTTTACGTCTTTGCTGGCTTGGAAGTGGAAGATGGAGCCGGTGCGGTTCGACGAGGGTGAGGAAGAAGAGGAGGCATCGTGGGCGGCGGTGGTTTTGGGTTGCTGGCGGTGGTCGTCTGGCACTGGCATCATGGGTCGAAGACGGGCGTCTTCAGGGCGTTCGATGGAGGTGCCTGTGGAGGCGCTCCATGAAGCCCGCTGTCGCCGGTGGTTGTATGTATCAGAGTGTAGTGTCCAGCCGTGGATTGTACGCCAGGCGGGAAGGAAATGTAGTTGATTGTATGGCCCCCGTCTTTCGCCGACACTGGATTCCCAACAAGTTGCGGCAGCCGGTCTGTCGTTTATTTCAGTGAATGCCTCCTGTACCGTCCTCCAGTGTCGCCCACAGAAGATGGTGACAGTAAGCGGGGGGTCAATGAGAGCTCCTGTGGACGTCCAGGATGCGGTGGAAAGTGCTTGGGTGAGGTCTCCAAGTGGGTCAGCTGGCTGGCTGCGATGACGATCGGGCGGTGATTGATTGACTGGGCGGAGGGCTGCTGTTTGGCGGCCTCGTCCCCTACAAGGCTCGCGAGGTGATGGGTGCGGGAGTACAGCAGTGCGGAGTGCAGCACCTCGACGCCACCGTTGCCTTGTTACCAAGGAAATGTGAAGGAGTGGTGGCACTGCCAGTGTACTTTGACGAGCGATGAGGTGGGAGAGCTGCTGCGAGCCAATTGACTTTCACCATGACCGCAGCCCGCCCCACTTGAGAAGCTTGTCTCCTATCGGCATGGTCGTTTTGGCGAGGGATAGCATGTGAAAGTGCCGTGTGGCATCAGTGCATTCGCTGGACAGATCTCCCTCCTATATAGCCTGTCGTCATTACATACGCTTCTATGCATTCTTCAAGATCATCCACAGTGCTGGCGGCTATGCCGGCTGCCGTCCCAAATCATCGTGCATGTATCTCAACGCATTGAGACAGCTACAGCTCCTATTCCCAGCGTCAGACCGCTCACTCAGGAATCCTGCCGATGTGTTATAGGCATATCATCCCAACACCCGCGGTCAACCCGAGTCCAACAAACGTCCAGAGCCATCTTCCAGTACCAATTACCGCCGCACGACTGGTGGTCGTCGATGATGGTGACTCCTTTGCCAGTGTTTGAGTCTGATCGCCCGAACTCGTCACGCAGACTGACCCGCAGGCGAAGCCCGTTGGACAGCACCCACCGCCATCACTAGCCGCACACGATGACCAGCCATTCGCACACGAGTCTGTTGTTGCAGTCACGGCAATCGTCAGTCCAGATGTTATGACTTCGGTGGAATCGGACGTTGGGCAGGATGTCGTATCGCAGTTGCGATCCACTCGACAGCACCCGCCAAGATAGACAGCTGAACACATGTAAAAGCCAGTTGGACAACCAGCTGTATTTGTTGGCGTGGTGGATGTCGTGATGGTCGTGTCGGCTGCCGAGATGGAGGTGTCTGATGTTGTAGCTCCACTGGTTGGCCGGAACGGAGCTGAAGCTGTCGCTGTCGTGGTTGTCGTGACATCCTTGCAGCCATCGCTCTGGCATGACTGCCCATTTCGACAGCACCCACCTCCATCCTCGGATGCACAGCTGAAGAAGCCGCTCGTACATGTTGAAGATGTGGAAGAAGATCCAGAGCTGGGAACAGGGGCGATGACAATCGTCGTTGGAGACACTACGGTCGTGGTCACGGTATTATCGTCGCCACTGATAGTGACGGTCGTGGTATAGCCGCTTGTGACGATGACCGTGGTGCCTCGATCGCTGGTCTCGGAAGACATTGTAGTCGGGTTTACAGTGCCTGTTGTGGCCGTGGCAGTAGGTAGAGTGGTCGTGACAGTCTGTGTGCCGTAAAAGACACATCCAGTATCCAAGCACCTCGCTCCTGGAACGCAGCATCCTCCAGTATCGCTGTCGGGGCAGCTGGTATAACCTCCAGCGGTATCGCAGCCTGCGACATTGTTCCCGCAAGTTGCACCGCTAGGACAGCATCCCACCCCGTTCGATGTGTTGACGCAAGTCTCGCCATTATTGCAACACAGGTCCGAGTTGATGTTGCTGCAAGAAACTGTATTTGCAGGACATTCGAAGTCGCGCGTGAACAAACCCCTCCCGAAGAGTGAGAAGCCTATTCTTTCGTGGTTTGTATGCGGTGCCAGCGGACTAAGAAGCAAGCAAGTGCTCGAGGAGTAGGTATACTCGGCCAGATCATCGTAAACGATGGGCCGGCGCATCCCATCTGACGTTTCAGACTCAGGCGCAAACTGCCAGTAATCAAGATAGAACTTCTCCCCAGGATCTTGACCCATCTTCTTCACAGCAGCCGGCTTATCCCATTGCAATCGCTCTTGCGCTTCGAGCCCTCTCTTGACATGCGCTTCATGCTCCGGGTAGTATTTCGCGGTTCGAGGAAGATTATGCGGCCACTGAAGCTCTTGGCCCTCAGCGCATTGGGACAGAGTGAGCGCGACAAGGCTCGCAGGCAATGCGAACAGCCTTGAGAGCTCTTTCATCTGATCGCGGTTCTCGAGACTCGAAGCTGGCGGATATGGTCGGTATGGTGGAGGTTGGAGTGGATCGCAATCCTGGTCTCAGTGTGCCACAAACAGATAACAATGGAAGAGAACAGCGGCAAACACTTACGGTCCAAGGTCTTACAATCGAGTGGCTGGTCGCTGCAGTGCGAAACTTGATGCTGCGCTGTTCCTGCAACAAGTGAGGCTGGGCTGGCGTCGGAACTGTCGGAGGTTTGTTGAAGCCTGAGGCATCAACTTCTCACGCATCTCTTCCGCCAATGTCAACATCTCCAGAAGACACGATCCCAGGCGACCAGAAGACGTGTTTCTTGAGCTACAATTGACTTTCTTGCTAAGTCTACTACTTGTTGAATGACGGCCCGGCTCCAAGTTTTTAAACCGTCCCGATGGTGTCAATACTGTAGCAACATCGGAGTGGACGGGATACACCCTTCAATCCGCTTTTCCTCCCAGTGTATCGTCCTGCATGGGCGGAGAAGACGGTCGAGAAGCACTTCATTGCTTCGTTGTAGTCTTATTTAGGACACCGAGGTGGTATGTCTGCTGAAGTAAGGTCGCTCACAGCTGCCCAATGCAGAAGTCGAGCAGCGAAGCTCGTGATGCGGATGGATCCGCCGCCATGTCGAACCTTGTTTGAGCCGCAAACACGCCCTGACGTGACGTCCCATGAAATTTTCCACGCCGAAGTCTTGCAATTGACAAGCCGCGCTCGTTCCTGCGACTCTTGCTGCTGGCCGGAAGGCGGAACGATCAATTCTCTGTCCCTGATCTTCCTTCGCAGGGTGTGTTTTTCTCTCGGCCAGATTCCGGCATTGGGAACACTAGATCCTCCCACGATAGGGCGAGATAACATGGATCATAGTCGGTGGGGACACCGATCACAAACGGCAATTTTTGGGAACCCGCTGACACGCCGCGATGGTATCATTCGGTGAGCGCACCTCGCTGCCCCAGGGTTTGCTTCGGTGATGGCCAGTGCAGACAAGGGAGTGTCCCAGTGAGATTGCCGGTGTTTCTTGCTTACCTCGCTCTTCCTCTCTTGCCTCCTGTTCGCTCACATAACAAACATCTGCCTGGCTCGCTACCATTGACTTTCGTTGCCTGAAGAGCGCCGGTGGCGGAATCGAAACAAGAAGTTTCTTGAATTCAAGTTTCGTATTTAAGACCTGCTCTTCTCACTCTACTCTACACTATCCACCACTCCAATCAACATGGCCTCAGCAACAAGAACATTTACACGAGCTCTACGCTCAGCACCGACCACTCACACCCTCCGATCAGCAACTGCTCGCCGCGTAGCAGCACAAGGTTTCCAACAACAAGCGCGCCGTGGCTACTCCAGCGAAGCACCCAAATTCTCCAGCAACAGCTCATACATCTGGGGAGGCGCCGCAGCTGCAGGTGTTCTAGGAGGCTTCTCGTACTTCGTCCTGAACGGCAATCACACAACCTTCGCGGAAGAGCCCAAGCAATTCAAACCGCAAACAGAAAACTACCAAGAAGTCTACAACGCCATCGCCCAACGCCTCATCGACGAGGACGACTACGATGACGGCTCCTATGGTCCAGTCGTCCTCCGTCTAGGCTGGCACGCCTCCGGCACCTACGACAAAGCAACAGGCACCGGCGGCAGCAACGGCGCAACGATGCGCTTCGCCCCCGAGTCGACCCACGGCGCCAACGCCGGCCTCAAAGCTGCCCGCGACTTCCTCGAACCCATCAAGAAGCAATTCCCCTGGATAACCTACTCCGACCTTTGGACGCTCGCAGCCGCCTGCGCAATCCAGGAAATGGGCGGTCCGGACATCGCTTGGCGTCCTGGCCGCGCAGACCGCGACGTCTCCTTCTGCACACCGGATGGCCGCCTCCCCGATGCATCCAAAGAGCAGAACCACCTCCGCGCCATCTTCGGCCGCATGGGCTTCAACGATCAAGAAATCGTCGCTCTCTCCGGCGCTCACGCCCTCGGTCGCTGCCACAGCGATCGCTCTGGCTTCGACGGCCCCTGGACATTCTCACCCATAACCCTCACAAACGACTTCTTCAAACTCCTCGTGGAAGAGGAGTGGCAGTGGAAGCAATGGAAGGGACCCAAGCAGTACGAAGACAAGACGACCAAAACCTTGATGATGCTGCCCACGGATATGGCTCTCGTGAAGGACAGCGTCTTCATGCCGTGGGTGAAGACGTATGCGGATGATTGTGACAAGTTCTTTGAGGATTTCAGTAAAGTTGTCGTGAAGCTTTTTGAGTTGGGTGTGCCGTTTCAGAGCAGCGAGAAGGAGAGGATTGTGTTTAAGAAGAGCGAGTAGAGTATGTGTGGAGGAAATGTATTATTTGTGAGGGCTGATTTGGGGTTTAGCGAGGTGCTTTTGCTTTTGTGGGAACTTGGTTAGAGGATAGAATGGCGAGGAACTGTATGTCTAGATGCTGCAGTTTTTATCATATTATAAGACTTTAGCTTCATCTTCATGCACCTAGCTCATGCATTGACCAGACGACGCCGCGGATTGGCTCGCTCCTCAGAAGAAGACCCGGCACTCCAGACTGCGCTCCTTGGAGGTGCTGATGAAGGTGGTTGCGAATAGGCATGCTACGGCAGAGGCCGAGGTTGAGAGGGATGAGAATGGTTGTGGCGGTCTTGATGTTGACTAGGGAAGGCAGGCATTCGAACTGGATATTTCGCTTTCACACGATGCCTACAGACGCCTGTCCATGTCTACAATACTCTCACTCTGTTTTAATCCAGAATCCGCCCCAGACTCGTCTTTCATCCCTTCTTCGTCGAACGCACAACACCCATGGGCCTGTCCCACAGCTGCATAGTACTGCATATCCCTCCATATCCTGTGTGTTTCTAATTTCCACGTCATCTTCTGAAGCAGAACCATCCTCTCAACCGCCAGACAAGCCTACCCCAACGCCCTAGCCCGTCCGTGCCATCGTCCTCAGACATGCTCGCTGCCCGCTCCTCCACAGGCGTGGCAGCCAGAAGTCGATCAACAAGATCTCCCAACGTGACTCCCGCGTCAAACGTTCCCTGTCTCCGCCAACTTCTCGGGCTCAGCGGAAAGCCCGTCCAAGCCTCCAAAACCGCCGGATCCGCCTGCGTGACGAGTGTACGACGCCAGGACTCCTCCACCGCTCCCTCGTTCCCTCCCACCAGTCGACGCGTCGTGAGGTCGAGATCGTCTGCATAGCAAAGGTCGTACCAGATCTCTAGTGTGCGAATGAGCGAGAGACCGTCACCTCCCCGGTGCGAGCGACCGTATCCCGACGAGTGGGCTTTGTAGGAGAAACCGGAGTCTTGCTCGCCGAAGAGGACTAGGTCTTCGAGGAGGGGGCGCAGGCGTGGGTTCGCGTCGTGGATGAAGTCGCCGACGATAGGGGTTGGGGTCTGGAGGAACATGGCGTGTTGGAGGCTCGGGAAATCGTTGATGGTGGCGTTGAAGATGCGGTTGACGCGACGAACACCGAATAGTTGGCGGGCGGAGAGGTTGGTGAGGATGTGCTCCATGAGCTCGGAGATAAGGAAGACCTTTGTCGCGGTCGCTCCTGGTGATGGTGGTGGCGATGGGGCGCTTCGGTGGTGTTAGTCGTGTTTGCCTGCCGATGGTAGTGTTTCGAGACTCACTCGACGTTCGCATCCCCCGTGCTCGCACTGCTTCCGTTGTCTGCCATAGCTACTGATGTGCCTAGCCCTTGATCTCGTTGGAGAGAGCGAGGGGAAGAATGGTTGATGTGTTGTTGTGAGCGTGACTAGCAAGGCCGGCGGAGGAGACACAAAGTTCTGGAGCGCTCCAGGTCAACAATGAGGCGATGACGTGAACTTTGAAAGACTTACCCGTACACCTGAGTGAGCCACTGCAACATCTCAGCAGCGATCTGGGAAGAGAGGCTAGAGTCCAAGGACTAGGCGCAGATCTGGATACGCAGCCTGGGGCTTGTTGAATATGCTCGGACAAGGGGCGCGAAGCGATACTGAAGGCTGAAAGAAACAAGAGCTAGGAGTACAACAGAAACACTGCCCAGCAAACCACCCTCCATCCAGCTTGACCTTCCCGCCTGGAAGGGGCATAAGGCAATTCGCATTCTCTGAAATGCTTTCCCCGAGAGCCAACGAGTTGAGTCGCGCGATTGACGAATCGCTTCCATTCAAGGAGTACTTGGGAGCAGCAGACAACACGAAGGCAAGGCCTCGCCTAGATATCCGCGTCAGGGAGTTTTAGACTGCTGGAAGACCATAAAGTCGTGAAGGAGCCAGATCTGAGGAGTGCTGTATGGATTCGAAGCCCGGGCATTCTCGATGAAAGCTTTGGCTTGTGCAGTAGAGGATTCAGGGGCATGTCGCCGTTGGTCGCAGAGTCACAGATGGCGTTTGGGACTGAGATTATACGGGATGGTCATTTTCATATAATGACAAACGCTTCTTCTTATTGTTCTGTGGCAAACCAAGTCCTTCAATGGGCTCTCCATGTATCGACGACAATGGGCCTCAATTTGCTCTGGGCTGCCACTACTGACTTACCTCAAGTTTGCCGTTCTACTATAACGGCTGGCTGTGGCGGAGAGAAAGATGTGTGTGCTGTGGAGGCGACCGAATATTGAGGAAAAGAAATGTTCGATAGCAGCTTGGACTGATACAATTTGAATTTGAAAGCCTAACTTGAGGAAACAGGTGAAGAAGAGTACATGTTGAGTTGCATAGTGTGAGTAGCACGCTACTTCCTGATACTAGCCACACTCGACTATCATTCAGATCGCTCTAACTCTCAAGGACTTCTGCCTGTCTCTCGAGCTCAACGCAAAGCATATCCTCAAGTCTGTCAGCAACCTCGCTCAGAGTAACAAGGTTCCATGGCTGCTGATCACCAGGAGCCCAATCTTGCATGCGGATGGGCTCCTCGAGCTTGAGGACGGTCGCATTGCTTGGGTCGAGGCCAATCTCGAAGTGTCCGGCCGGAGCAGGCCACATCAGCATGGCCTTGCGCCACGACTTCTGGTCCCACAATCCACCCTTCTTGAAATTGCGGTACTGGACAGTCTTCATCTTGCCCTTTGGCCTCCGCCGCCCAGCGCTCCTCGCCTTGTCACCCGGCCGCCGCTGTTTCTTTGCCACTTCGAACAGAACCGTAGTACTGCCCGGCGAGAGACCGTGATCGTTTTTGTGTGAGCGAAACTTGACGCCACGGACGTCCTTGACGCTCTTTCTCGCAGTCGCGAAGACTAGCTCGTGGAGCAGGGGGTTGAAATTCGATTCGTCTGGGCCGTCTGTGATTGATGTATCACCCATGAGGAACATGGCTCGCTGGAGCTTGACAGAGCCTTCGATAGTGCTTTTGAAAGCTTTGCACGTGCGTTGCGTGCCGAAGAGCTGGCGAGCGGAAAGATTGAGCAGGACGGTTTCCATCAGCTCAGTGGTCGAGAAGACTTTCGCCGCGGCTTGGCCTTTTGACTTCGGTGGTCTAAATCTTTGGTTAGTATACTCGTGCGCATAGAACAATAAGCAATGATAACATACTCGGCTACAGCTGTCACCTGAGTCGCTGCTTGTTGTGGGGTTGCCATGTTCGGTGATGTTTGGTGGTGGAGATGGTCGGCTGATATTCAGTGCGTTGTTGTATGAGGCAGAAGTGGCTTTCGAGTCGAGCAATATATAGGGTCTACGTGCGAACAGAAGGGGAAGTTGCGGATGACGCAATGCGCCAAGCATCACATGCAAAGCTGATTGAGAGACAGCACGTGCTCGGCGTTGTGAAGTGGGCTTGATTACAAGAGAAAGATCAAACACATGCTCGATTAACACGGAGAAAGCAACCCCTTCACTACACCCTCGCCTTGGGCAAAGATACTATTTGCTGCGAGAGCCTGATGATGATAGGAGCTCAGGGAAATCATGCCGAGAAGCTCGACGATATTCAGGCCTCTGGCGGCTTGGTTGACTGCCTCTTACTACACTCTGCTTGCGTGAGCGTAATACGTTCAGACTTACAGTACATGTCATAGCAGGTGGTGCTTGCATAGTGATGCTAGACTCTGTTGTTGTGCCATTCGCGAGCAGGATGAAAGTAGCGTAGACAAACAAGGGAAGAGAAGGAAGAAAGACAATCGTGGCAGGAGCATTGGTGTTAGCGTGTTGTGGTGGCGACGCACGTTACTAGGCTCTCCTGGACAAGGCTCGCAAAGAAACGGGTTTGCACACAGGAAATCGGTAAGGTTAGATATGAAGAATCTGGGCACGGCAGTTGTTGAGAGAGTCTGTGACTAGAGTGAAAGAGCGCGCTTTCAATCTAAAGTCTAGAAAGAGTGGACTCAGAAGGACAAGAATTTTCTTGAAAGAGCAACGAGCCTGTTCTGGCCTGCTTACACAAATTACAACACATGCATCAATACGAGATGACTCCCAGGCTCCTCGGTGCCACCAAATATCCTTCGTTTCCGAAACAAAACTCGAGATCAGACAACTCTCAACACTCCCAAAGATCGGATCGCCTTGTTCGCCACCAAATGTCTTCGCCAGCGAGCGGGAACTCGCTCCTTGGAGCCGACCTACGAGAGCGTCAGCATTGATCGCGAACTCGCCTCCAGCAGAACTGCATACCCAAATCTTCGAGCACACTTACCCCCTTTAAGCCGACCACTCAACCTCCCGCATGACTTCTCCCTCTTCGCGTCTAATTAAACCCCCATCACACTCTGGTGTACCAGGCTCGCAGACGGAAGAGCCGAAGCAGTGGCCCATGTAGCACTGTGCGCAGAAAACGTCGCATTGCGCGGTCGCAGATGCAACCCAGAAGGCGGCAAAGAAGAAAACGAGCTTGATGATGGAAAGCATGGTTGGAGGCTGAATGGAATCTGCTGCGGTGATGTGGGTTTGAGAGTCGATGTTGATGTTGGAGTGATAGAGCGAGGAGAAGAGGTCTTTACATTTGTTTGACAGTGCTCTCCGACCGTGATCCTGGAATAGCCTGGATGGAAGAGCTCACGCTCGCATGGAAACGTCCTCGCGAGAGCGAGGCCATACGACCTTTAAAATGTTGGGCAAATTCGAGCTCTGTCCAGCGAAGAAAGGTCCATGATTTCCGTCAAAGGCAAGAAAGCTGGCCGACCGAATAACATGACCATCATCAAGGAACGAAAGCTCAAACAGTTATAGCATTCAACGATGCGGCCATGGATCCCCTCGTGCTAGCCTTCGCATCGAATCCGAACACGGCATTTCGGGGATATCGAAAGGCTCGACTTGCCCGAGTATCACGATCGACCGGGTCGATCAAGCACCGACAAGCAACGACGACGAGAAAGCTTGTTTGAATTGCTTGCATATGTGCTTGGGATCACCGGATCGTTCCCATGCGCGCGAACATGGTGAAAGCATGGCCGCGGTGTCAGGCTACGCTAAGTCAAACTTTCACACGAGGAGGGCACATCTAACTCCTATCAGGATCAGGATTGTTGCCCCAGACCCTCTCATCAAGTCCCCTTGCGATCATCTGCGTTCCAGCCTTGGGCTCCAACTCCAATACAACAATCTCATTCGACTGCTGTCCCCAAGCCCTCTTCAAAACAGGGGCCGGGAGATATAGCGACTGCTGCGGTCCCACGATCCAGTACCTCCCCAGATTGAAACCGTTCACCCAGACTTGGCCTTTGATGCCATTAGGGATTGAGATAAAGGTATCGCACGTGGGATCGTTGCTTCGACAGTTTGTGCGGAAGGTCCCAGAATAGAATACTGGAACGGAGGAAGAGTTTGTTGGATGAGGAAACTGGGATTGGCTCCAACCAGGCCAGCCATGCCAACCGTGATTCTGTGCACTTGGAGCGGTCTCGAGAGGAAGCTTGTAGGTGTTCCAGCCTTGCAAGGTCTTACCGTCAATGGTGACGCTTCCATTGATTCCTCTGGATGCGTCGAGAAGCTGGGGATATCCGAAGTCTGTTCGGCCCATGTTCTCGACCAGGAGCTGCAACTTGTCGCCGCGTTGGAGATTTACGGTCACTTGGTTCGGCGTGGAGTAGATACTGTCCATGACGCCCTTGCGTTGACCGTTGACGTAGATCAGTACGCGGTCACGAGGTCTGTCACCAGGTCGGACAAGGCCTTGGATCTGTTCGGTGGCTTGGTGCTCGTACAGAAGGAAGCCATAGCTCTGACCCAGAGCCTCCATGGTTTTCGGGTCCTGCGAGTACGTGGACTTACCGAGGATGCTTCCATCAAACAAGCTGGCAATCGGCTTCAGTTGCACGTCGGGCACCTTCATCCTCGGCAGGTTCTTTGGACTTTGTGGGATGCGCTCGCCCTGAGGCACATATTTCTGGATTACGGTTTTCAGTCCATCGTACAGCTCGATTGTACGACCACTCTCGTCCAGAGGCGAACCGTAGTCGTAGCTGGAGGTCACTGGCTGGAGATAATCATCTGGATACACAGCTCCGTTCTCAAAGCCAAAGTTCGTACCACCATGGAACATGTAAAGGCTGAACGAAGCGTTGTTCGATAGGATGTAGTCGATGTCGTCGTAGACACTCTGGTAGCTTTGACGGCCTCCAGGTCCAGTGTATTGATAGGTATAGTTTGAAGCCCAGCTATCGATCCAAGTCGTGTAGTATTCTCCGTCGAGCAAAGGTCCTAGAGAGGTCGGATCTGTAACATACTGTGCCCTTGCCTCGAATCCCACCTCTGGCGGTCCATCGATCTCAGCGAGCACCCCGTGGATTTGACCGGCTGCAACGGCTGACGATCCACCATCGTTGGTAAACAGCACTAGATCAAATGCCTCGCGCATGATGTCTGCTAGTTTGGAGGTATAGCTATGGGAATCGGCGAACGATCCATATTCGTTTTCGACCTGAGCCATGAGGATCGGTCCTCCTTCAGTGATCTGCTGTTGTTTTATCTCCTGACCAAGACGAACAAGATAGTTGCGGCTGGCGTCCAAGAACGGCTCATTGTCACTCCGAATGGACATCCCAGGGATCTCCATCAGCCATGACGGTAAGCCTCCCCAGTCCCGCTCGCCACAAATGTAACTCCCAGGGCGGAGCACAGCATACATGCCCGCTTCTTGGACCAATCTGTACCATTCCGCGATGTTGTTGCGAGCTTCAAAATTCCACTGACCAGGCGATGGTTCGAGCAGATTCCAATAGACATAACCGAAAATTGTGTTCAAACCCATTGCTTTGGCCTTGGAGATGCGGTCAGACCAGTATGCTGGATGCACACGCTGAGGGTCGATCTGCCCGCCTCGGATCTGGAATGGCTTTCCATGGAGGAGGAAGGAATCATTGTTGTAGGTAAAAGCGGGTTGATGAGGCGATGTTGGAGATGGGATTGCTGATGCGGCGGAAGCGAGTAATGCCAGCAGTAGGAGACGCATGTTCGCTATCATCGACGAGGCGTAGGGACAAGCCTTTGCTGGGTTTTAGAAAAGGTGCATGCCGTGATGCTTGTCCTTGTTGACTTCATCGAAGGATTCCGGGTTGCATCGCCGTATGAGGGGTGTCACATCGCACTCGTACATGTCGTTGTTCCAAGATGGAGAGATCGACAGCGTACCTGAACTCCCCCTCGCGAAGTGGATGTGGAGGGTCCGATGGAGCGGCGATTGAGGTGCTCCTTCTTGCATGGAGACGACTCTTGCGGGCTCGTTTCTTCCGGTCTGCTCTGGATGCTGCCATGCCTGGACTTGTCGATTGTCGATAATCTGCAGGGCATGTATTCTGTGTTCCATGGCATAGTACAGTGGCCTAGATGTAGTCGCATGTTTCATATTACTAATCTTGTTGATCCTTCCAACGGCCAGTGTTGTTGTGGTCCCGACAGCGAGAGCAGCCGACATCATCTGGTCACGACCATCATCCCTTCAACAATCCAGCCTACGAACGTGCCCTCATCCATCGGCTTGGAATACCTTCGCGCTAGATGACCTTGCTAGTCATGCCTCTGAAGCATCTGAACCAGATGACCGTCCGCGGTGTGCGAGCCAAGAAGAGGCGTGAACTCTGCCAGGTCCAGACACGTGCTGGGAATGCGAAAGTTCGGTGTACATTATGCTTGGCAGAAGCCACTCCAGGTCTGCCAGCTGAGGAGCACGGCATGTCTTCATCCTGGGACTGAGCGCAAATACTCGCCGGAAGCTGCAAAAAACAATTCGTGGAGTATACGAAGTTGTGTGTTGACAATGTGGGAGTGCGTCAGACTGGTCGACCTGACTTATCCTCCATCAGGCTACGAACCAAAAGTCCTGGCGGAGGACCCTGATAGTCTAATAGACTATTGTGGCGTATGGAGGAGGCGCCGACCGTAGTGTACCCCGGCCAGAGGAGGCTGATATCAGGCCATGCTGACAGGCGAGCACAGGCGAGACAAGTACTAGTGCTGAAGGTCCTATTCGCCTTGTCTTTCGAGCTTAAGCGCCCATGTACTACCTACAGTGTTATGCCAAGATGAGGGCTTCGTGTTGTAGCAAGTTCATCCTGGACAGCAAGCCATGGCTGAGAGGGACCAAGCTGAACAACATCGAGACTCGCTCCGTGAAGTTCTGAGTGGCAGTACTGTACTGGACATGGAAGTTCTGGATGTCGGACGTCGACAAGGTCCGTCATATAAATGACCATGTCAACCACGGCTGCGATTGTACCTACAACGACACCTCAACATCACAGAAGCAACACGTGATTCTTGGACTTTTTGTTCATGGGATCATTGGGCCTCGTCCCCATTGTCCATGCGAACTCTCTTCATGATGCTCCAAACGAGCGGGATACTTCTCCAGTCTGCGGAGTTGCTGGACTGAAGATACTACACCTCTTGGGTAAGTTTCTCATATGCAAGGCATGGCAAACGCTTATGCTCGACAGTTGCCTCGCCTTTTGCAAGAAGAAGAGCTCTTGAAAGAGCTACGGAGTTGGCAACGGTCAATGCTGGCTCTTCTCCAGTGCTGCCACCTCCAACTTTGTCTCTAACGCGAAGAGCACCTACTCCTTCTTCGATGTCACTTGCAACTTTGCCACACCGACGATGACGTTCCGACAACGTCCAGTCTCCACCGCTACCACGCCTTCGAACCCGGCTGATTCCCCTGCTCCACGATCTGCCAGTCCCATTCCAGAGAACAGCCCAGATCTAGTAATTCCCAGTGACTGGCAAGCGCCCATGAACCCTCCTGCATTCGTGGAGTCATACACATACAGCGAAGGGCCATTGCCAACGGCTATCGCTGAGGGAACACCTCCGAACTACGTTGGACTTCCAGCGACTACCCAAGGCCTCCCAGCCTTACCATCATGTAACATCGACCCGAACGACTCCTCCAAGCAGTTCAATCTTGCTGGCTCCAACTACAATCCTGTTCTGGCTTCTGGGACGACTGCTCTAGTCCCCATGACTGCTCCAACATCAGAAGCTCATGCTAGATCGATGGGATGGCCAGGCGAACCCATCATCCCGCAATTCTACTTTCAAAAGCCTAGTGGTGCCCCAGCAGGGTGAGTATTCAGTCTACCGTAGATCAACCGCGGACTAATGTGTCTACTCCAGTATATATGACCTTGTAATGGCCGGCTCGCCCCCGAGATACGTGGCTAAGGTAGGCACCGGCGTGGTTCTGACCGACTCTTCCACTGGCACTGCTGGAGCCACACGCGGCGGCAAGAAGATGTACACAAGCGTCTTCCAAGTGAGCTGCATTGGTCGTGTCACGGCCATCCAAGGAACTCAGCAGTTTGCGTGGGACACCACAGGCGGCCCACTCACCTTCGCGGCGGGAAACTCGAACAAGTCGATGGTCGCCACGCCTTACCGAGCTGTGGCACCGAAGCCTGTCCGTCGTACCATTTCACTTTCCAATAGCTCGATGGTGGGCTTGCCCCTGGAACACCATGATCTTGCTCGACGAAGTATTTACAATTCTGGAGCTGCTCCTCGATGCCCAGCCATCCCCGATCGACTGGTTGCAAAAAAGAAGTGGGACGCTCCCGTCTTCACAGATATCACAAACGCCGTTGGGTAAGCATCAACCATAGGGCGTTGTTATACCCTTTTCTAACATCGCCACGCAGGTGCTTTGCTATAGAAGCCATCGGCGAGGCGCTTTTCGGCGACTTTTTCCCACCTCCTAACAACATGGACGAGTGCTGTGAAGCACAAGGTATGTCCATGAAGTAGTTTTGTACCGAGATTTGCTGACAGTAGAGCAGGGCAATGCTTTGCACACTGCCAAAATGGCTATTTCGAGCAATGCAACAACAATGTAGACAACTGCATGTCCGAGAGCTGTCAAATTTTCAAGGTATGTAAAAAGTCGCGAAACAAATTTACGCAATATATGCTAATTGGCGACAGGAGCACTGGTGGTTGTACCTGGTATGTGAACGAACCATCACTCGATAGCTGAGCCTGACTGACCGCTCTGAAAAGTTCTACGGCATTTGCAAACTATCTGCAATCGCATACTCGGAATTGACCAAGACGGTGTACGGACGGATTTCGTGGTTGTCGGATAGCGTGATTTACTGCACCTGCGACTGTCCGACAGGCGAAGGCCTCTGCAACAATGCAGGTGAGTGTCTGACTTGCAAGAACCTCTTCGTCACGGATATCAAAAACTGCGGAAAATGTGGACGTACTTGTCAAGAGAACTCCAGATGGTATGTCCTCCTGCACAGTTTTATCTCGTTAAAGTGCGTGGCTGACGGTTCCTCAGTTCCGGTGGGACCTGTACTTGTCTCAAAGACAAGTGCGGCGACAAGTGCTTGAGTCTGCTAGACAATCCTTATACCTGTGGCCCATGTGGTAAGTCATCGCGAATTCATGCCTCAATTCACGATTAACGATCGCAACAGGCAACGTCTGCCAATCTGAATACTGTTGGCAAGGCAAATGCTACGGTCCACCTCCCTGCAACTTCCACGGAATCGAAAATCACGACTTCAGCGACCAGAAAAATGGCGGTGACAATAGCTGGGTATTCTCCAGCGATATCACAGACCCAAACCCATCGGTCTGGCTGGATTCCGGCTCCAAGGCAAATCTATTCCTTCGCTTCCCTACCAATCAGGGGGCGTACTATGCTCAATTCGAGAAGGAAGTCGAGATCTGTACTGGCAAGAACTACAACTTCAAGTGGAGTAATTACCGTGACGGCGGCAGCGATACTTGTACCATCAGCATGTGGGTTGGAGATCGCAAAGTCGGCAGTCAAACCTTGGGAGCTTGGAACGACGACAGAAATGGCCCCTTGCAAACGGATGATAGGCCGCAGTACGAGCCAACAGTCAGTGTGCCGGCGTTTTCCTTCCGAGATGCGGAGGCCGGCTCAGGAGTGAGGAGGAATGGATTGAGCTTGTACGCGAAGGTGAAGGGCGTGGTGAGCTGTGATGGGAACTGCGGCACCAAGTGCTCGACCCAACCTGGTGGCTTTGATTACTATACCACGGTGAGGTTTGGTGATGTACAGATGAGTACGTGATTGTTATGCAAGTCTGAATGAAATACAACCAGTCTCGATAAATTGATGCCTTATGGAAGGATTCAGGCATCAGCGCAGCCCGGCAGACGACGCAGCCGGGCGATCAGCCAGCCACAGCCGTTTACAAATGACGATGACATGCGCTTTTGATATCTTTCCGCTGACCGGTCCAGTTGAGCCTCATCGTGAAAAGCCGCCATATATAGCCGGCTCCTTGCACGCTAATTTCTACCTGCAGATATGAGCTATTGTCTCAATGACAACGAGGAGGAAGCCGACGCAGGCGGAATGGGACGGACTCCAACCTGAAATCGTCCGACAATACACCACGGAAGGTCGAACGGTTAGATGGATTGTTGAGGACCTTAACAATCGTGGCCTAGCCATAACGTGGGTTGGTTCGACCTCTGGCCATAGTGTATGCTTACATTTCCTAGCAAAAAGATGCTCTGGGATCGATTCAGGATGTGGCGGGTTCCTCGCAAGTACAATGCAAAACAAGTCGGCAACAGTCGTCCGGCATCGGCACTGGTAATCAGTCCCCAGAGAGCGATGACTACCTCGCCAGAGCGTCAATCATTCTTCACGGCCATGACGAATGTGGGCGATTGGTTTCGGAGCATCGTCGAAGCAGAAACATGGAGGCCTTGGGCAAGCGAGCGTAGGATCGACATGCAGAGGCTGGTGTCCAGAGCCCACATGGCCATCGATAGCGAGAGCTACGATACCAAAGCGAGGCTGCATGAGCTGCATGGCATCGAGGACCAATCTCGAGAACTCGTGGCTGGCACGAGCAACGCCAAGATGCACCCGAGAGTGCTGACTGCGTTGATGCGGCTGTGGATAGCCGACTGGCAGACGACGCCTTGGAAGGAACAAATGCTGAAAGTGGTAAAAGGTATGGTCTGCATAACGTCTGAGCAGTTGCAACGAGCCTGTCATCCCGTTGCTGAGCTCTGAAAACTTGTCAGCAGCCACCATGAGCCTAATGAGGTAATATCTGCTTTCTTTGAACAGTTTCAAAAACGATGGATCGATCGCGTTATCGACGAAGATGCAGACTTCGCTGTCCGGGACCAGATATACGGCACTCGAGTCTTGGCCTCGATTGGAAGACCAGGCAAAGCGGCAGAACTACTCCAGCAGACCGACGTGCGGCGTGAAGTGACTGGTCATACACTTGCCGACTTCTATAGTACTCGGGGGTACGCCTATCTACAAGACAAGCACTTTCAAGAAGCTATACCGGACCTCCAGACCGCAATCAAGACATTCCAAGGGATTGGTGAAGAAGATAGCGAAGGCGCAGAGTACGCACACTTCTGCCTGGCAATGTGCTATGAGGGCATCGGAGAAGTGGGATCGCAGGAGTACCACCTCAAGGCCGCCTTGTGCGCATGGGAGTCCAACGCTGTGCTGCAAAAGAATCAAGGAGCCATCAAGATCGTACTGGACCTTCACAGAGTCTATGAAGAACAGGGAAAGCAAAAAGAAATGCAACAACTGAAGGAGAGATATCATTCCTACTTTGAAGAAGTTCCGGCTGAGCCAAGCTGAAAAGCTACACCAGAGACTCGTTTCCGCCTCGTGTTCGCTTGCGTATGCACGGTACATGTTAGCGTCACATGTGGCACAGGTTCTGGAACCCACGCTGAAAGGGAGACCGATCTTGCCCGTCGAAACCGGAGTCCTGCTATTGGTGGTCAGTGGCACGATTACTTTCCAGGCCACCAGGCTTCGTTGTGAACGATCCGAGCGTGCCGCAGTGCCCTCGCTGGCGACTCTATATCATCTGCACCTATGGCATATTCCGTTTTGGAAGCAGAAACCATCAACACGATAATATATGTCTGACCAAAACGCGAGCACCACGACTCCGGTTCGCGAACTGCCCATTGTACTCAACAACCCTCCAGCGACTCGCGACTGGGAGACGTATCGCCCCTTTATTGTCGACCAATACATTACACAGCAACGAACGGCACGCTGGATCGTGCAAGAGTTGAAGAGGCGTGGCTTCAACGCATCGTTAGTGCAGTCGACGTGCGATAATTAACCATAGCAATGCTCACGCAAACACAGTGAGAAGATGTTGTACGATAGACTGAGAGTCTGGAACATTCGGAAGAATGTCAGAAGACCAAGCGAGCTAGGCGAGAGTGCTCGCATGTCGACAGTAGACTCAGAAGATGCCACGACAAATGCAGATGGCTTGACACCTATCTGAGACCACGTCTGCTGGCAACGTCGCCATCAGAATCTTAACCATATCGCACATCCCCACTGCCTTCCCTGAACCAGTCGTCATTAGCAAGACCTTCCTCGACCGAAGCATAGTTGATGATGGTGCTTTTAGTCGTGGTGTAGGCATGGTACGCATCTGCAATCAGGATATTAGCAGTTTGTTCACTGTTGCTCAAGCAGTGTTTACTCACCGACACCGTTCTCACTACCAACACCAGAGCTTCCAACTCCTCCCCACGGGCTACTAGGGTCGTTGCGATGATGTGTGTTGACTGCATCAAGTCAGCAATTCCAAGTACCAACAGCCAACGGAAAGGGTACTCACTCCAGCATATTCCCGACTCGATACCATCCGACAAACGATACGCCTGCGGAAGATCCGACGTCCACACCGCAGCCCCTAGACCAAATTCGCTATCATTCGCGAGTCGTAGAGCTTCTTCCTCTCCGTCGAACCCAACAACCACAATCACTGGTCCGAAGGCTTCCTCCTTCCAGATTCGTGTATCGAAAATCTTCGTTCCGGGCCCATCTGCTAGTACAGTTGGAGGGAAGAAGTAGCCTTTCGATAGATCAAAGCCGTCGAGAGGTGATTGGCCTGACATCCTCTTGCCACCTGTAAAGACAGATGCCCCCTTTTGGACTGCGTCGTCCACCAAGGCGGTCACATTCTGAAGTTGCTTGCCTGATATCAGAGGTCCCATCATCGAATCTGCGTTCTCGGGTGAGCCTATTCTCCTTCCTATAGAACTGGCCTTGGCTGTGAGCTTCTCAACGCATTCAAGCAGAACGGTGTTCTCCACGATGATCCTCGTCGCTGCGATGCATGTCTGTCCACTCGCCATGAATGAGCCGAAAGCCACACCGTTCACGGCAAGGTCGACGTTCGCTTCCTTTGTGACTATCACCGGTGCCTTGCCGCCTAGCTCAGCCGTGAACTTAGCCAGGTTTCCTCCAGCGATGGCGCCGATCGCTCGTCCTGACGGCGTACCCCCAGTGACATCCACCTTTCTCACCAGCGGATGAGATACAAGCGCTTTGCCCGTTGTGGCACCGTAGCCTGGCAAGACTGAGAATACACCGTCAGGCAGCCCGGCCTCTTTCATGAGCTTCCCCAACAGAATCGACGTTAAAGGGGTCAGCTCTGAAGGCTTCAAGATGACACTGTTCCCCGCCGCCAAAGCAGGAGCAATCTTCTTAACAGCGATGAGCAGAGGATGATTAAACGGCGTGATCTGCACCACGACGCCAAGAGGCTTGCGGTCGATCCAGTTATGAAGCTTGCCAGTCGTAGGCAGCACAGGCCGCTCTTCGGTGCGAATAAGCGAGGCGTAGTATTTGAACCATTTCGTCAGCGAGGGGACTTGTGCTCGCATTTCTCGAATCGCTCGTCCTGTCTGTTGGGCTTCGAGGTCGATTAGAGTGGGTAAATTGGCTTGTAGAAGGGCCGCTATGGCTTCGAGTGTGTCGGCTCGTTTGTGGCGATCAACTCTTGACCAGACGCCGGATTTGAAGGCATTATGGGCCAGTTCGACCGTTCGGGCTACATCTTCTTCGGAAGCGGCATGGCAGCTACGGTAAGTCAGCTCTACTTAGCCGTGTGAATTGTGTCGTGATCATACTGAGCAATGACTTCACCGTTGGCCGGGTTCTCGATGGGGATCCTGGTTTCAAGTCACTCAGAGGCCATCCAAGGAAGACGACGGACTTGCTTACGCACAACTCCGCAGTCCCGGGCTGTTCTTGTCCGTCGATCCAGAGATTGTAGACGGGGTAAGTCATCTTCAAAACTTGCGGTGATGTCGATTGAGGACAAGGATTTGAGAAGAGAAGTGAAGAGCAATATGGTGGGGAGGTGAAGCGGGATGCCGATAACGATAGGCCAACTACCCGGCTAGCGTCCCAGCCTCCTCCTTCTTTTCTTGTGCCCCATCATCCCTTTTCCATCTCTCTTCCATCCAACAGGCTATGACTAAATCATCTTCTACTTAAGTAACAGTGACAGTGGCAGATCCCGAGCTCTGATATCCCTCCACCGCAAGAATCTGATAATTGAATGTACCCAGATCCAATCCCAACGAAGCCCACGCGTCAAAGTGATTCGCAGTGGTCACAGTGCCGGAAGTCCTCTTCGAATCCCTGACAGACCAGTACTGAGTGAAAGTCGCTGTGCCCTCAATCGACGGAGCATTGGTGCGGGTCGCGGTGTAGATGGTATACGATCCTCCGTCGCTTTGCACGGTGCCGACTTTGGTTCCGGCGGAGCCAGGATTGTACGTCCCATAGGACTCGACGATGTAGTACTCGACTAATGGACTGGTGGACCAGCCATAGACGGTCAGGTAGCTGTTTCCGTCGGGATTGTAGTCGGCGGAGTAGGTGATGGCCCTGATGTTGTCAGTACAAACGTAACAACACTGGCTCGTCTTCACGAACCTGTCACTTCCAGTCTGCCAGCCTTTGCCGCCGACGAAGTTGGAACTGCCACTGGACCAATCTACGCTGTACTCTCCAGCATCGCCGTTGGTGTAGGTGACGGCACTTCCATCGGTCCAGAATGAGTAGTAGTAGCCACCAGAAGTGCCTGTCTCACTGGAGGTGATCGACTGGCGCTTTTGCACATCGGTTGGATGAGCAGAGACGCTGAGCAGAGAAACGGATGCTAGTGCGAGATTCTTGAGCGAGAGCATCATTGTGGTGGTGTGAGCTGGTCTATGATTGAAGTGAAAAGGAAGTATTTTAGAGCAGAGACTAAATTGGTTGCTTGCAAAAAGAGGACATCGTGAAGGGCACTTGCATCCTTCTTGAGTGCCGAAGAGGCTTCTGGCTTCGTTGTTTCGACTTCTCGCCAGATATATTAAACCCACTTTTTCTGCCACTTCGCTTACAACACAAATGTTGCAGCCGCGCCCAGCATGTTGCGTCTTGCACCTCACTGAACATGGGTCTTAAGGCCATTCACGACCACCCGTGGACATATCGACCGGCTCATTCGTCAACAAGGAGACAGGAGTAGCAAAGCCTGCTTTAGGGATATGCTCGCTGGCGGTCTTCTTGTGGTGAGGTCTCGCTGCGACCCGTCGCGACTCGACGGCTCATGCTTCACTGCAGCTCTCAATACTGACTCTTTATATCGGGGCTGAAACTTGAGAGCATCCTACGTACCTCTGAATGTCAGCTTTAGCGACCCATTGATCTCCAACGCAGCTTTTAGGCGAGCTGGCTGAGTAGGAGCAGCGAGAAGAGACCCCTGCATTTCTTCCTATTCCTGAACCAATGGAACCGTAACAACAGACCAGATACCAGTCGCGGAGCTCGAGCAAAACGAATGCGCAGCATGGTTCGCATCCTTTTCGGGCTTCGTTCGACCTTTAAACCCGCTTCAGCTGACAAGATCAGGTCAATCAATCTCAAACGAATGATATAAAGACGTCGTAACACTGTTGAGATCATACACTTTTGTTGGTGTCCAACGACACAACACCGAGTATAGTTTGAACTATCACCACCGATGCTCAACACATAACGCTCAGAAGCACCCAACTCTTGGGACCAACGCTAGGATACCGATTCTCTGACGTTGATCCTCATTGAGCACGGGGTTGAGGCTGAAGCCCTCTCACTCAATAGATCCTTCGGGACTTCGACAGCAACCATAAAGTGCAATCAGTCGCCTCGTTCAAAGGAGTCATCGGGGAAGCGTTTCTTTCTCATGCAACCATTCGAGCTTGCTCTACCGGAAGGTCGCAAAACTACGGGGTTGATCCACTTTCCAGCACAGAGCAGCCGTAAGAGAATCAGTACGCCCTCAATCGTCACTCTTCATGGCGGGACGTACACAGCATCTTACTTCAATGTGGACGATGAACATAGTATTGGCAATATCGCCAAGGCCCTCGGTGCGCCTGTTGTCTGCGTAACTCGGCCAGGCTACGGAGACAGTAGCGTGCAGCCTCGAGATAGCGACGAGACCTGGATCCACCAGCAAGGCCGCTTCTTCCACGAGACAATCTTGCCCGCCATCTGGCAGGAGTATGGAGGCGCCAAAACAAACTCGACGAGCATTGTGCTCCTTGGTCATAGCGTTGGTGGCGGTGTAGTGATTGCCACAGCAGCTCGTTACAGTACAGAAAATTCCCCCAAATATCCCTTGAGTGGACTGGTGACCAGTGGTATCAGCTCGACCGTGTCCAAAGCTTTGGCGCAGCAACAAGAACCTGGAGGCAACGTTGAAGAGGCGCAAAAGGTCGAGAACAAGTCGACTCAAAACGATGGAACGTTCCTCTGGCCCATAGCGATGAAGGACCAGCTCTTGTTATGTTCCAACATGAACTTATGTTCCCCGTCGATCTTGGAGGCAAGCGAGTCTTTGAACGCTCCCATTCCAGCTCCAGAAACGCTCGATGTTCAAAAGCAGTGGTTTGAGTACTGGCGTGAGCTCGCGGCGGAAGTCAAAGTTCCGCATATGAATACCATGCCGGAGTATGACTGGCTCTGGGAGGTGAACAGGGAGATCATGGAGGATTTTGGGAGGGCTTTCGAGAGCTGTCCTAGGATGGAGATCAGCATTTTACCGGAGGCGCCGCATTGTATCGAGTTGAGTCGGCAGAGTGAAGCTTGGTACTTCAGGTCATTTGGATTCGCGATGGAATGTGCTGGTGCTTTCGACTTGAAGAAGGGCAGGTCAGGCCAAGTCAGCAAGTAAAGTCTCGATACGACCGATGCTTGGTGCCCAACGACGATCCTCGCAGGTCTGATCATTGACGATCTGCACGCGGTGTCCATGGCTTCGACAAGCACGTGGAAACCACGTTTTCAACTGCGTGTCCTTTTGGCCATGTCACAGATGTCCCATGGATTGGATGTGCACGTCGATGAAGATCGATGCCCTTACTTTGAGTATCGACACAGGTATCTGATCCTAGGCAGTATCTAGAGACGGCCATTGAATCTGAACGTCGAACTTCAAGTTTCCCCTTCTGCGAAGATGCCCCAGGTGTCTGCAAGACAAGCCAAAAGTGTAGGCCGATTCCCCAGCCTTGTTTCCCGTCGGCAATGTATATACGGTAGGAAAGACGCTGCAGATCTGAACATCGCCATACCTCTCCACTTCGGCATCTAACAATGGGTGTGTAAGTGACAGTGCTTTGCCAACTGGATAACCAACCGCACAATGCCTTCTGAATGGAGTTGCCAACAAGGCTGTGTACTCTTTGCCCTAGAGAGCAGTTCGAGTTGTCCAGTGAGTCCCTGATCGGAGCTGGACTCAAACATCTGCTAGGAACCACATTCGTCCGTCGTTGCGACGACGATGTTGGTGGAGTGAGGTCTCTTTGCTTTTCGAACAAGCCTGGAGCTATTCCCTTTACGAACTCTGCCGACGCTGTGGAGGAAAGCATGGCGGTCTTGGTGCCACGAACACCGACATCCAAAGTGGCCACGGTTCAGAGAATTGGACGTTTCTTCCCAAGGCCAAAGAGACAGGAATGTGTCGCGACTATTCAGCTTTGGCATCGATACCTGGAGATGTCGCCTGGAACCAAAACCTCCTCACTCTCCACGTCTCCACGGGAACGCAGCTGATCTCGAGCATTTGCGATGAAGCATTCTGTTATGCAATAAATGCCCAGCCGGTTGCTGTCCATCTCGGACAATGACTTGGCGCTCACGATCTCTTTACTGTAATCGCTTTCCGCGGGCTTTTAAAGTAAGCCACTATGATGAGGCCCAGAAATGCAAAGCAAGAACTCCGCATAGGCGCTCCAAAGAACCGTCTTGAGGCGCTTGACAAGATGGCATTCGCGGTAAAGTGTGGTGGTATATCATGTTGATGATGCCCTGTTTCCGGGGATCCGCTCTCGTCTGACGGTTAAGTCGTGTTCGACATGCTTTCTCTTATATCCCTCGCGTTGCTGGCCAGCACTACCTACGGCAGCGATCTCGTTGCAGAGGGTCTGCCAAAGCCAGAGATCCAGGCTCGTCAAGTCCAAGATGGCCGCTTCACCTTCTACGAGATGCCCACGCCTCTTGCTGGACCTTGCGATTTGGCGTACAATCCCGTCGATGGCAACCTCTACGGCGAGCAGCAGTTGATCAATCAGCTCTTCATGATCAATCCCAGGACTGGTCGTGTTACTGAGTACCCCATCCCTTTCACCACGGGTGCTTCCAATGCCACCCTTCCTACTCTGCTGCCTTCACCGGTGGGCGATCGTCTTGCTCTCTCTTGTGCCATTCGCGATGGTGCCGACGGCAATATGTGAGTGATGCCAATGATCCTTCTCCAATCGTCAATCGGAAACTGACACCGTGATCCCAGCTACGCTAGCAATGGCCTCAGGAATCAACTTGTCCAGCTCAACACCCGCACCAAGAGAATCAGGATCTTCCAAAACCCACCCAACCCATTAGGAAACCTCTTCCCCTTCAACGACCTTTACACCGACAAGACCGGGATGTGGGTAACTCAAACCACAGGCAACCTCCTGCAGTACTTCCGCTACCGCACCGAGACATTCGAAAACTACGTGATGCCAACACCTCTCGTCCTCCCACTAGGAGTCTTCGTCGCCTCGGACGGCATCGTCTATGGCTGCGAAGTCCTCGGCAACGCCATCTTCACCTTCGATCCCAAGACTAAGACCTTCCGCGAGTACGCCCTTCCACTGCCTCTCCAGACCCCCGCCGTCGTCCGCTCCGAGAAGAACGGCTGGGTCTACTTCACCCTCCTCACTGGCCGTGGCATGGGCCGCATCAACATGCGCAGCAAGAAGATCGAGCTCTACCCTGTCACCATCCTTCCCGGCTTCGGCTCCGTCACGACAGGACCTACAGACAACGGCCGCGGCGGCGTGTGGATGAGTTTCTTCGCCAACACGGATGCCTTTGCGAGGTTCGACGATAGGACGTTGACGTACTCGTATGTGAGGATTCCGGATGCATTTGATAGGTTTCTCGAGGAGGTGCCCGGGTTGAATTTGGACCTGCCGACGGCGGCGAACATTGCAGTGAACTATAAGCCTGGAGAGGCGCTTTGGTTTGGCAGTTTTACGAGAAATGTAGTGGGGAGGTATTCGTTGCGGAGGGGCGAGTAAACCGTGAACTGTCAAGCTCGTGACGATGCTTAATCTGTTGGGTCTGGCCTTCTGTTAGCACAAAGTTCAATCAAGTTGTCACTCGCAGTCGCTTTCTCTATATCGATGCCGTCACATGACTCTTGTATACTTGTGGATGTGAGATATTTGCACAAAACGCCTAGTACCCATCTCAGGTATATCTTCTTCACAACCGCTCTTCACGCAGCAAGGAAAAACAAGCTTCATGTTCGCTGTCGCCGTTCCTGAAAAATCGAGAGTTACCTGAACTCCCCTTTCAGAATTACCAGCACTTTCTCTTCTAATAATACAAACATACACAACTGGATCCCCAAACATTTAGAGGCTCAGAGCATCCTCTACGCTCTTGACAATATCGAGCTCAGGCTTGTTCGTGGGCTCTGCGGTCGACTTGCACTTGCCGCTCTCGTCCTTGACGCATTGGACGTCCGCTGGGCTGCGGGCTGGGAGCTATGCTGCTGTCAGAACTCCTCTTGTTCGGACAAGGGTCTATTGACCTACTTCGCTGGTAAGGTTGGTCAGGGTGCTGGTGTCGAACTGGCGGGCTGCGATCTGAACGAGGCTGGTCAGCTCCTTCGTAAGGTCCTCCGTCTGGCGTGCGGATAGGCTTTTGGTGAGTTCGTCCAGGATCTCGGTTTGACGGGCCGAGAGGCTCTTGGTCAAATCGTCAACGACTTCGGTCTGGCGGGTTGGGAGGCTCTTGGTGAGCTCGTCAACGACCTCAGTCTGGCGGGCGGAGAGGCTCTTCGTAAGCTCATCAACGACCTCCGTCTGGCGGACAGGCAAGCTCTTGGTCAGTTCGTCGACGATCTCGGTTTGTCGGGCGGGGAGGGACTTGGTCAACTCGTCAACAATCTCTGTCTGGCGGGCGGAGAGGCTCTTGGTGAGCTCGTCGACGAGCTCGGTCTGGCGGGTGGGCAGGGACTTGGTGAGCTCGTCCAGAATCTCAGTCTGGCGCTTGCCCAGGCCAAGGCTGCTCAGGAGGCCAGTCGCTGAGCTGGTGTTCTGGCGCTTCTCGAGGCCAAGCTCCTTAAGCAGACCCGTTACCTCGCTGACGTCCTGGCGTGTGCGGAGGCCGAGACCACTGGGAAGATCGGTGACGGAGCTGGCATCCTGGCGCTTTCCAAGATCGAGGCTCTCCAGAGCCTCCTCGACAGGGGTGGACGAGACCTGGCGCTCCTTCACTGGAAGGCTGCTGGTGTTGAGAAGATCCGTGACAGTCGAGGTATCGACTTGGCGTTCCTTGACAGGCAAACTGCTCGTGTTGAGAAGATCCGTGACGGTGGACGTGTCGACCTGGCGAGGAACTGGTGGTTGCGTGAACTCCACCGGGGCCTGCAAGGCTGTCAGCAATAGCTCGTTTGGTACGGTTGGGATTCGCAAGCGCTTACAGCGATGGCCGCACCTGCGAGCGACGCAATCAAGACTGAGTTGACGCGCATGGTTGTGGGTGTCGTCGAGACTGTGAATGTACTGTCCAAGTACGTGGGTGCGACTAAGCGCTGTGAAAGAGTGTGAGCGAAACGAGTGAGTGCCGGCGCTTGGCAAAAGAATGTGATGTCTCGACAAACAGCAAGACAGGATGGTGGTGCAAGAAAGGCTGAGTCGAAGGGCCAAACGTGGAAAGAGCACGAAGGAGCACTTAACTGAGCGGCGGATCAGGAGGCTCGACGGGGAGTGTGGGTTTGGTCGACGTTCATGACGGCTGGACGAGGGCCACGATCCGCGAGTCGCTATGGCACCATTGCTGCACATGCCACTCCGCCGACGTCAAACACGGCCGCGTTCATCTCTGGGTGTGGTGATGTTCCAGCACGACACAAACGGTCGCGATGGTACGGGAAGGTTGTGATGCTGATCTTTGGCGATGCAATCAAACGGTCGGCTCGAGCGAAGTTTGGGAAAGACGTTGGAGATGGCACATGCCGTCCGATGTTGGAGATCCCTTCAAGCGAGCTGCCAAGTCTGATTGCTATCGACAGTCGACATTGATAGCGAGAGTTGCACGCATATTCCTCGTGTTGCGTCTCTTGTTCAGTGAAGTCGGGAGCCTTTCAGCGCTGAGCAAAGGTGATGTGTTCCCAGGGCCAAATTTAGCACAGCAGCAAAGGAATCAGGGGAACGGGACAAGATTGAGTTGCGGCTCTGCCCGCTTGATCTGTTTGAGAGTTTCATATGGAAAGGAGATGGACTGTGCTTGGTCGGAGGGTTTGGTGTGGCCAATTGTGTGTAGAATAGAAAAAACCCTCTAGCTCGAATTTGGAGACGTACCTGACTATCTCTCCGTTTGCTTTGTGAGGGACACGGTAAAGAGCGCGTGCTAACGACCAGGATAGCCAAGTCCCACAGCGGTAGGGAAATCACACCCTGAGCAGGTTGCTGAGTGATACCAACCTCCTCACAGTCATATCGCAGGGAATCAAGATGCCTCTTGAGCAGATGCGTCTGGAGAAGGCGGGCTTTCTCGAGGCAGACGATTCAGACCGAAGCGTCTGGGCAGCACTTCGCGGTCCCCATAGCGAACATCAACGCCAGACTCGGCAATACGTTCTCCTTGCGGTAAACGTCACAATTCTGATATTATCGCTGCTCGTCAATATTTGGACGTGGGCGAGAGTCGAGCCGAAATGCATTCGAGAGACCGACATGCAAGATGCCCATAGCGCCATCCAGTATGAACAGCGAGTGTTCACGGGGGCTTTGGTATACGACCCAGAGACAAAGCGAGCCATCAGGAAGCAGGATGCCGAGCATGAATACTTTGGGCCCCCATCGGAAGAGCTCGACGCCGCCTGGCATAAGCTGCTGCATGGTAAGCTCTCCCTCCAGACCATGTCATGATTATTGGCCTTGACGCGACCATAGGCGAATTCCCCGTGATGAGGCCCGAGGAAGCAGCGCAGTTCGAGCCAGAACTGACGCGGATTCCTAAGACCAAGGAATTTCACTTCGAGTGAGTCTTGCTCTTGTTCACGTTATCCTTAGGTATTGACGTTTCCTCTTCCAGACCAGACATGTTCCATACTCTTCATTGCCTCAATGCCGTCCGACTCGAAGCATCGAAATCGTTGTATAACATCTCGGGGGGACACAGTCATGGCAGTGTCCCAGGTATCAGCCTGCCGGAAGGGTGGGACTTGGCTCATATGGAGCATTGTATGGATCGGATACGGCAGTCAATCATGTGCCATGGAGACCTGACACCCTCGCCGCTGTATTACTGGCCTGGCTTCAAGATTGCGCTTGGAAGGACTGCAGCGCATACTTGTCGCAGGTGGCAGCCTATGCGCGACTGGATGGATAAGCGTGGCAGCGAAGGGCCGTTGCTGGATCCATTGTAGGCTGAGAGAGGCTTGTATGCCCGAATGTCATGGTGCTGTGGTGTGAACATCATCAAGGGGAGTAGGAGCCGGAAAGAGTTGAAAGAGGAGAGCTGTGTGAGATTCACCGCCTCGGCAGACCTTCCACACAGCAAGGATGCAGCAGACGTCGATTCTGTTGAGCCTTCCTACCCCCTTCACTACACCGACACTGGACAAGGCTGCAAACAATTCAATATCTGGTAGCCTGATGCCGTCGAGCAATACCATGGCACAGGACTTGAGTGAGAAAGAAGGCTTCGCTGATGCTGTCAACACGATATCCCGCTTCTTGGCAAACGAACAGATCTCGGACCTACATACATGCCCTCCGGTGGACTGCATAGTGATCTGTGTATCTGCTCTGGTTTTCCAAGGGGAGAGACTGTTCAGAGCTTTGGAAACACGGCCTTCATTGGCCAAATCGCTTGTCTTGGTTGGCGGGATCGGTCATAGTACGAAGCTGTTATACGAAGCGATTGGCCGGCATGACAAGTACAAATACCTCCGCGACGACATCGAAGGCTTGCCCGAGGCCAGGGTGATGGAGACTATATTGAAGCGGCATTTCGACCTGAAGAAGATTCAATTTGAAGGTTGTCAAATTCTCATCGAAGACAAATCGACCAATTGCGGGAGCAATGCCATTGAGACCCGCAAAGTCCTCGAAGACGCCAATGTTCCTTCCCCGGCGTCTGTGCTCCTCATCCAAGACCCCACGATGTCACTGAGATCTCCTGCCAGCTTCCAGAAGACATACGAAGATCATGTCAATCCACCAAGGTTTCTTTGCTGCCCCTTCTTCGTGCCGACCGTGCTTTCTTCTCCATCTGGCCTGCAATTCGCAAACGACATCCCTCACGACTGGCTCTGGTCGACGGATCGTTTCCTCGAGCTCATCCTTGGAGAAATACCTCGCCTGCGGGACGACAAGCAGGGCTATGGTCCAACCGGCAAGGGTTTCATACCGCATGTCGATATCCCTGACCAGGTCGAGCGGAGCTGGAGGCTCTTGAATACTCATGCTGAAGAAAATACGTCCGGCAGGACATTCTAAGGCACCCCATTGTAGATTCTATCACCTGGATTCGGCGGCTGGAGGTAGTCTTCTGGCACATCATCAGGCAACTGACGATCTTCTGCCCATTTTCGAATGTCGTCGTAATTGCGGCAGACGTGGTTGGTGTTGAAGTCAACGAAAGCCTTCGGGTATTCGTCGCCTTCGTTCTTGTACCAGACTTGGCCAAGAACTCCAATGTCAACGGTGCACATCAATTGTTGCCGGATGATGTCGAGGCAATGGGCTGGGAAGCGTGTCAGCATGGAGTCAACTTTCTCCCATCGATCGATGTTCACTCACAGACATGCTTCTTAAGAATGTGGTCTTTGTTTTTGAAGGCGCCTTCGCCCTTCTCGCGGTAGTAATCGATATTGTAATAAAGGCCTTGGCGAAGAAGGTTGAGACAGTGCAGTTGATGCAGACCTTCTACGTTCGCCGGAAAGCCACCACCATACTTCTCATTCACTTGGACTTGATCAGGTGCGAGGCCAACACGCTTCCCAATCTCTGCCGGTATGAGCACACTTCGGTCTGGCCAAACATTAGCGATGGGTCTGTCAAACGACAAGATGACGGCTCACAATTCACGCCCAATGCTTCCCACGCAGCATCGACCTCTGCGCTGGCAGCCTGACGGTAGATGTTCTCATTCAGAAAGGATCCGTTGAAATGCTGCGTGTGGTAGGTGATGTCGAGGTCTTTTGCAATTGGCGATGGCGCCGAAGATTGCTTCAGACAGGATAGGGTGCTGGGCTTTTCCCAGCATTGGACGACGATGATGGCAACGCCAACAGAGACACCGATGGTCAAGCCAACCAAGCAGCATCCTAGCACGACCCATCTGATGTTTGCGCTTAAAAGAGGTCGCTTCCGCTGTCTGTTCAAGGAGAGCAGCTTTTCAGACTCATCAAAGCCGTCTTCAGAGCTCGCTGAGCTGCCGTCCAAGAGTGGTATAGCGGCCATGTCTGAACGTGGTGTTGGAACGAGAGAATACTGAGACGGCGCGAGAGCAAGAAACGTCAGTCCTCAGAAGAAATCGACTCTCTGATCGAACCTTCGACCACCAAGTTTCTAAATTTACAAGTACAAGCTACCGGATCAACTGGCATTGCGACATCTCACGTTTGGCAACGGCATACCAACAAAGAGGGGCTCTAGAATCGGTCGTACACCCTCACAGCCACATGGTGTGCGTTCGGGCGCGCCATGCATTGGATTCAATACGAGGCGTCGAAGCTACTGCGAAGCTCAGAGCTCAGGAGAGCTGAAATTCTCTGTGTCTTGCTGACGTTACTCCATACATTTCTCCACGATCTGGTCCCGCCACCATCGCCTATTCGATACCATCTGGAATTGGTCATAGTCCAATACGAACTTGATCATGGGAACACACGTGTTACGAGGTTGACCATTCACACCATCTCGTCCAGAGTCCACCGACTGGCCCGAGCAGCTGCGAATGTTGGGCTGATGCATGTCTGTAATCAAGCGTGGAACGAGACGAGGAATGATGCCATGGAACTCTCTTCGGTCACATCAGCTCACACTATTCCAAGCCATGGTGACATGCTTTCCGTGGTCGATGATGGAAGCGGGACAGAAGTGTCACGAACATAAGAAGGTATTTCCCCCAAGCTGGGACCAGTCTTTCAGCACAGCAGCTCTGTGAAAGACATTATTGTCCGAAACAGCTACTTCATCAATCAAATAAATTCTCAATCAAATCGATCCCAAGATGAAGACCTTCTACGCCCTCCTCGCTCTGGCGCTCTCGATGGGTATCATGGCCGCCCCAGTCGCTGAGCCAGAAGCAGAGGCACAGCCTGAAGCTGTCAACTATGGGAAGTAAGTGCACACAACGCTCTTAATGCCCACTCAATATTGACCCATGCTTACCCCGACCGCAGTTACGGAAAGTTCGTTTGATCAACTGCTCCTCATAGGACGATTTAGCTGACTTGTCAATGAAAGATATGGAAACTACGGCTCGTATGTTAGCCCCGAAAATGCTCTCCGTCGATCAAAAGGTGATACTGACGAAATGTGGCAGTTATGCACCGCCGCCACCGCCCTCGGGCTACGGCAAGGCACGTGGAGTTACCTAGGCCTCTAGAAGGCTAGAATACGAGCTAACAACGAGCCAGTACAATAATTACGGTTCCTACAAGCGTGTGGCAGAGGCAGAGGCTGCACCTGAGGCGGCTGCGTAGGAGTAAAGGGGTGAAATTGGCGACAGGGGTCATATTGGATATCAAAACCATGTGAAACTTGGTAGATCATTTACTCGACTTTCATACCTCCTGTGTCTTCGTTTACAACTCCCATGATGGAAGACATTTCCGGCGAGACCGAATAATGGGTAGGTCATGTCCGGGGCAGTTCGGCTTTTTGAGCCATCATCTCCCCACCCTAACGAATGCCACGCAAGTCATTCAATCAACGTCTTCTAGAAAGCCCCGACGATTGTAAAGAAAATCCCCCATGCTGTGACTTTGACCCTGCATTCGTTACAAGAACTGTGGCTGACGCCGCAGAGGTCTCGACGCTGACCTGCTCTTCACGTTCAACATGAGGATGCTGGCGTTCTCTTCTGACTTTGACACATGCCAACACCAGTTCCCTTGGCCATCATACCACTCCCTATGACATGATCAATCCTCGGCATCATGAGACTTGAATGATGGCCTCAGCCTCGGATCCGGACAGGGAAATGAGAACGCTGGCCGGTCCTCTCAATGTCAAGTCAACTATAGCCCACGTGTTCGGTATGGTAACACTTCAAGAGCGCCATGCATAATGCATCAACAGGCACGAGGTGAAGTTCAGCAGCGGGTAGAGCGAGAGGCTTGGCGCTAATGAAGCAATAGGAACGGGCCCAGCGGAAACATTCACTCACATTTGCTGCTGATGATGGCCAGAGCGTCATCGTGGCAATAAAAAGAACCATTCTACTAGAAGGTCGTCCAGAATCTGAATCACAACAAGGAGAACCATGCGCGGTTGGGTCTTGCTCTTGTTCTCGAGATGAAATTCGAGGCTTTCGAGCAGCTGCGATTTATGTATAGCTTCAACAAGCTTTTAGGTGGCGTTCACAGCTTCAGCTGAAGACTGGCTACAGCGGTCGAGAATCTGCAGTTGAAGGCGGACTATATGTTCAATTTTCTAGAGGGGAACTCTACTCACTGGTGGAGGTTGCATGTTAGTTCTGTATGGATTCAAGCAAGCCAAGAAGCGTTTCATTGTGTGTTGTTTGAAAAGTAGAAGCAGGAATTCTCTCATAGAGCCAGCTTCGCAGTCACACGATGAGTAAGTCTCTTCACTCCAAGTGTATGCGATGCTACTCCATTCCAGGATACAATCCACGCCCCGGCGGCCTCTGCCCTCCAACACCTGACTTCTCGGTCTCCGCTGCGGGCACATGAGGCACAGCAACTGCCCTGATCTCTCCTTCCTGCGCAGTACGCTCGACGATACCGATCTCCTCCAATGCCCGCCGGCTGCGATACTTGAATCGAAAGAGATAGGTGTCTCTCTCGCCTCCGACGTACTCGTACGGTGGTCTCGCGCAAGGCTCTTGCAGGGCCGTGCCTGAGTCAGCCAGGACAGCGTGCGAGAGACCCTTCTCTTTCAATGCTTCTGCAGTGACACGAGGTGGCAGGATCCAGAGGACGTCTGATGGACCTTGGACTGGAGCGCCGTAGTTGAATTTGGCGTGCCTCAGTCGGACCCAGATGCTACCGAGCTGCTCGTTGGTGTATTCGGAGAGGTCGCTACCGTCGACGTTGGCAGTCAGATGATGGAAGGACATCGGAACGAGGACTTTTTCGTTACTCAGTCCAAGGATGTCGTTGAGCTGTCCAGGAGGGGAGAGGATCATGTCGTGGGTTTCGTGTCCGTCGATGATGAAGTTCGCGACAACAAAGTTTCCGAGCAGCGGCATCCAGCCTGGCAAACGGATCTGGATTGCGAAGGGTCCGCTGTGGATCTCGACAAGCACACTGCGAGAGCTCTCTGTTCGGGTGGCGGCATCATCAGGGTATTCTGGCATCTCAAATCCACCCTGTACGATGGTGATGTGGAGGCCGTCTAGCGTTGGCATGCTGAATTTCTGGCTGGTGCTTTGGAACCGTGATCAACAGAGGAGGGCTGGCATTAATAAGTATGGCTTGCTATGTGAATGCTGGCCAGGTCAATTGTTTGACAACTTAAATCCCGTCTCGATCGGTATCATTGCTTCTTCAGGTACTGTGGCATCTCTTTGCTGTAGCCAAGCAATTTCGCCAGGGCAGACAAGGCGCCTTCCATATGCCATGGAACCCACCAGCGCAACGGACCTAGGAAGCTTAAGCTTGGAAATATCACTCCGGCCGAATTTGTGTCATGTCTAGAAAGATCGGTCAGCGACAGTGTGCAACTCATGTGAATATAGTCACGTACTGCATGAGCATCACCTGGAGCAAGTCTGGCGACTTTTTGGTCTCAAACATGTCGTGCATATAGAGGAAGAGCTGTTGAAAGAACTCCGTGCTCAGTGGCTTCGGCGTTCCAGTAGGATGTCCCCAAGCCAGAATTACAATGTCTTCTTCGCAAGCTACTGGCCACGGCGTATGAGGCAGCATGGGTGGGACTTCGAAGGGTGCCATCTCCGGAGTGAGGATATGGTCTTTTTGATCCCAACCTGCTGTGACGCCAAATTTCCCTTGGAGCACTTTGAAACACTCGGTTTGATCGAAATGTACATGCAGAGGCGGTACCTAACCCCAACGTCAGCGAGCAGGTAGGAAGGAGGCCTTGCTCGAGGCGTACGATGGGATGTTTCTTGCCGAGGGCGGACAACGGATGTTTTGCGGGCATTCTGATGCGAACGAGAAACCTTTGCTCGTTATCAGCCATGCGTGGTAAATGCTGTTGAACCCAACTTACGTTGCATCAAGATCTTGCCCATCTAAGAATTCACCAATCAAGGACCCGCCGAACAAGGTGTACGGTCCACCAAGGACGGTGCGCTCTTTCTTGAAGTCGATTTCACCCATCTTGGTCGACTGGACGATGTCTGTCCACCGTCACTTGCGGGCACAGCGCAGCTTTTGAATCGCGGCTGGACTTTCGGCTCCGTAAATGTTGAGGCTAGTGATTTCAGCTGAGGGCATGGATATAGCAGTGCCGCTGCATTTCCTTAGAACTATTGGGCCAGCTGTACGCAGCCGCGATTGACAAGATGCGAAAGCGAAGATCTACAGCATTGTCGCTTGCTGATAATGATTAGTAGCATTACTCTCAGAATTGCCAAACCGAGAATGGTAAAAGACTGGAGATCTTGTCACTGAATCTGACTGGAGTGAGAAGTACTGGGGAAACGCGGACGAGATTGCCATTCCTGTGATGCAGATGGACCAACTTGCGCAGTGCCGGACATAAGCGTGCAAAGAGCTGACGAATGCTGATGGCATTTATTGAAATAGATAAAAAGAAGAGGAAGAAGGAGCGAGACAACCTGGAGAAGAATACCTCTTCAGCTGCGAGGAGAAGTATTCCGTAGCTGAAGTAAGCGTGGTCGGTATTCATACAGGGCACCGTAGTTCAAACAAGTTCGAAGCTCCTTTCTTGATGAGCATGCTGCCATGACTGTACATACACAAGACGGCTCCAGAGCTGGTGCAAATCTCAGTGCGTCGCATGTGACCTGGCAATCGCTACGAAGATCTCATACCTTTTACAAGTAGCCCTACAGCCTTGCCGCTAGGCTCTCGCGGTGATGCCTGCTTCGCTTTCGCAATGAGCAGCTGTGAATGAATGGCCAACATGGAAGATAAACAGGACATGTCTTTCATCGAGACATGTGCTCCGTGAAATACCTGTCTTGAGCCCAGTTCACATGCCACACAACTGACAAAGCCCTCATGGCTACACCAACAACTCAGATCATGCCACTGGCTACGTTCGAGATTCACTCGGGACACCTGTGCTATGGTGCATTGCACAACATCTATCACGGAGCATCATCCGACAAGGTGGGAGGTCTCCCTTTACCCCAAGAGCCCATTCCTGGTGGCACAATTCGACGCCATGAAGCCGCCTTTAATTTGCCTGCTCTCATCGGGACCTGGAATATATACGCCTTGATCGGCAAGTATGGAGACAATATGCAGATAGTGGCATACTTCGCATCACACCACAGCCTCGATCCAGCCTTCGAAGTAGACAAGATCCTTCGAGTTTCGGGTTCCCCTTATGAGCGAGACAGTGGGAGCACTTTCAAAGATAATGACACTGCTCGCGAAGGCGTTTTTGTCATCAATCGTTATGATTGGGGTTGGATTGACAGTCGTGGCGGAGAGGAGGTTCAAGAAGCGGAAGTGCCTATCGACCTGCCATACCACTTTTCAACCATCGGACTTGTCGACTTTGACACGGCCAAGGACTTTGTCAGTCGCCTGAAGTTCCATCGAGCAGACCAACGAGACATGGTCGGCGAAGACGGTCGCGGTGTCTGGTTGACCATAAGAGATGCTGAATACCAGTTTGGACGCTTCGGGTTTGATCAGTAAAAGAAACACGCAAGAAGCTTCCTGTTCTTCGGAAGTCATACTAATTTTACGACAATGCAATTTGAAGGCGAAGGCCAACAAACGCTTCGGAGATTCGAGACTCCTGTACAGCGGTTTCACAGGCAGTTACGAGATGGATTCGACTTCTCGCAGCGACATCGCGTGAAGACATTGTTCGCGGACGAGAAACCCGGAGACGCTGAACTGCTCGGGCCATATGCCTCTGGCGAATACGTCTTGTCAAGAGCGGATGTCGATGCCGTCAAAGATCATCTATCGCAGGACCCATTGCAGCCAGAGAGTGATCCGTTCCTAAATCTCAACGAGGGAGATACTTCTGTCAAGGAAGGCCTTGAAAAGTGGTGGTCTGCCAGCGTCGACTTGACCAACCAAATTCTTTTGAGCTTTCTCGAGTATAGCATCGTGCCTTATCTGCACGAGCATCCCCATGAGAGTCCGGCGACCGCCACGCGCCTGCTCTTCCCAGATGGATCCAACGACCCACAACCAGGTAAAGAGTACAATTTTACTCTGGCAGAAGATCTCAAGAGCCGCTTCCTCGGAAACGAAAACAACGCATCTTCCTCGAGCACCGCAACATCGGATCCGGAGCATGCACCCGTCAAGGCTCGGATGCGAATCTTCTTGGAAGACAGAAGGGTTCACCCAGAGGAGGATTTCCTAGAGAGCGTCTGTCGTGTTCTAGCTTTCATCGTGAAGGACTTGATGGAAATGGCGAAAAGATCCTCTGTTGACAATGAAAGATTTGGGCATATCGTACCGAGCGATGTGTTCCTTGCGGTCATGAACGATACTTCATGGTATCAGCACAATCTGTCCCGGTCGAGAGCTTTCTGGTGTTTATAATTCCCAGAAAACTTGTTCATCGTAGTGGGCCAACTTTGCATGCTTTCAGTCATATCTCTTCGATTTGCGAGCTTCCTGTACATATAGTACTCCGAACTTATCCCTTTTGAAGTAATCGTACGCCATATTGGTCTGGGCTCAACGAACGTGTTGTGCAGGAGATTGAGCCTCTTCTGCTCGTTGTTGATGCGGATTGGAACCAGCCCGTCGAGCCTGCATTCAAGTTGAGCATTCAGTTCAGGTCTGAGAGTAAGAATGAAGGGAGGGATTGTTTATCGCGACTTGAAGCACGTCACAGCGTTGACAACATGTGACCTTCCGATTCGTCTTTCCATTGGGCCGACGCCTGCCGTTGGCGGATCAGTGGCTGGGGTTCTGGAGACTCCATCGATCCCCCGTGGAGCAATGCTGGAGATCTCTCGGCCATCATCTAAGACACAATAATTACCCACTGCGAGTTTCGTCCGTCGACGCGATATCGCCGGCATCCAGGAGGATCCATACAGGCATGACATTGGCGTAAGGTTTAGTATAAGAAGTCAAGGTGCACCGCCAATATCTATTGCGATAAGTCGCTCCTCCAAGCTCTCCAACAGCGTCGGACCAGGAATTGACGGGGCGACGCACAACGACTCGACATCGAACTGCGAGGACGAAATAGCGAAATGCCGACCAAATCCTCCTTTGCAGATGTCGAGATTCCGGATGTTGATCTCTGGACCTTCCTCTTCGAGCGAAGTAACAAGGGATTTGCAGACGACCAGGGTGAGTTCCAATGCTGTATTTGAGACGAGCACCACACTGACAAGCACAGTGATTTATCGGGCGTGTACTGGCGATCGCAAATACACGTTCACGGATGTCTTACACAAAGCCACAGCTTTCGGCGAAGGCTTGCAGCAAGCATGGGATTGGCAACAGAACGATGTCCTGAATATCTATGCTCCCAACGACATTGACGTCGGGCCAGTAATCTTTGGAACTTTCTACGCAGGAGGCATCGTGTCGCCTGCGAACCCCGGCTATTCTCCCGATGAACTTGCTTTCCAACTCTCGAATTCCGGCAGCAAAGCCATCGTCACCACGAAGTCGTTCTTATCAGCTGCGCTGAAGGCTGCGGCGAAGGCCAACATCCCCAAATTTCGAATCCTTGTATTAGGCGCAGACGTATATGACAGTGGGCAGTTCAAGCATTGGACACAGTTGAAGAAGACTTCGGGTAACTATCCAAGAAGAAAGCCGGCGAGTCCGTCCACTGACCTGGCTTTTCTGGTCTACTCCTCGGGCACGACCGGTCTTCCCAAGGGAGTGATGCTGTCTCACAGTAATGTCATTGCAGACCTCTGTCAGATTCGCGGCTCTGTTGGAACCTATTACAACTCAGACAAGGACAAGATTTTAGGCGTCCTTCCGTTCTTCCACATCTACGGTCTGACGGGCCTGGTTCACCAACCGCTCCACCGAGGGATCGAACTGGTGGTTATGCCAGGTTTCGATCTGAAGCTCTTCCTCGAAAGCATACAAAAACACAAGATCACATTCATCTATGTCGCCCCGCCTGTCATCGTTCGCCTGGCCAGAGACGAGATCGTCAAGAATTATGATCTCAGCAGTGTCAAGATGATCACATCTGGTGCCGCTCCACTCACACAGGAACTGGTCGACACGGTATACAAGAAGCTCAACATCAAGATCAACCAAGCCTATGGCCTTTCTGAGACCTCGCCAATGACCCACACCCAGCCGTGGGATGAGTGGTATAGCTCAGTAGGCAGCGTGGGCAAAATCTTTCCCAACATGACGGCGAAGTACATGTCTGAAGATGGTCAAGAGCTTCCGCCAGGACAAGCAGGAGAACTTTGGATGGCTGGACCAAATGTCTTCCAAGGTTACTGGAAGAATCAGACGGCCACTGATAACGCCATCACTGTAGCGGATGGAACCCGGTATTTCAAAACTGGCGACGTCGGATTCCAGGACGAGAAGCATAATTTCTACATTACGGATAGAGTCAAGGAGCTGATCAAGTACAAGGGCTTTCAAGTTGCTCCTGCAGAAGTAAGTCGTCCAGTCCTTGTTAAGGGGAGGGCAGAAGGCTAACGAGTTGTGCAGCTTGAGGGAAAGCTCATGGACCATCCCTTGGTCAACGATATCGCAGTAATTGGCGTCGAAGATCCCGAACAGCACACTGAAGTACCCAGAGCATACATCGTGCACGCCAAGAAAGGCAAGGAAGCCGGGGACAAGGAGACTGGCATGCCAACGAAAGAGACAGAAGCTGACGCACAAGATATCATGGACTGGACAGCGAGCAAAGTCGCCCATCACAAACGACTACGAGGCGGTGTGAGATTCATCGACGAGATCCCAAAGAGCGCCAGCGGAAAGATTCTGAGACGGCTGCTGAAGGACAGAGTCAAGAAAGAGGCCGGGCCGAAGTCGAAGCTTTAATTGTGCATATAGCGATACTGATACCTTACAGCAACGGACTTACTTCCTCAAGGTCAGGTCCGCATAATTCATTTCCGACACATGATTCACTCTCTTTAGATACCCTTCCGCCGGCCCATTGTACCTCGCCATGATCCTCTTCTGCTTCCCCTTGACATTCTTGTTTAAGCCCGTCATCCAGCCATCCACTTCGTTCGCCAACATCCCTTTCAAGCACTCCAGGACATGCCCCATCCACTCATCATTTGCGAAGATCGAACTTGCCAGTTAGGTATTGTGCATACTTGAGCGTCTCAGGCTGAGGAGGAAAATACTCAGTCCACGTCCACTCGTCGAGGACTTGTTGTGAAAACGAAAAGCCATAGGTGTAGCTTTCGGAGTCGAAGCGACCTAGTCTTCATTAGCGTCAAGGTCGAGGGTAGTACTCAATGCTCTTACAGCCTGGATACCGATTCCTGCCGGAGGGCCAGTGCTTTGGGGCCAGCGCCTGTGATTGTAGATCAAAGCACCAAGACCAGGCTCCACCTTCTCCCGAGCCTGCGTCTAGTACCCTCACGCTGAGACCTAGCTCTCGGACTCTGGACAATGAGTAGATGCCACTGGGCCCGGGTTTAACGTGAGGGGAGGGTATAAAAGTCAGCCCTGGCGTGATCCCTTTCTTTTCTTGACTTCACCATTACAAATGCTGTTTCGGCATTTGTCAGGCGTTGCTGTTGACTTCCAGGCCACAAGATCGTTAGGCGCAATGGAGAAGCTGTTGGAGCAGAGCGGGGGTCAATGGTGGCTACTACAGCTCCTACTGATATGACAGAGTATATGGAAAGGAACCAGACATTTGAATCTCAGAAAGCGCAAGCGTTGTCAGTCTACGATCTCTCCTCATCATGATCAGCCGTTCTATCCAACAATCTCCTTGGCCAAAAAACTCCAATCGCTGACACCCCTTTTCGTTCATCTTCTCGATCTCTATCAACCTGCTCCTCTTGTGCTCAACTCCTGATACAGCCGAATTAGCATCCGAAACAGCCCTTGAATCCTCGACTAAGAATACATGCCTCACTGCTTCTTCCTTCCCCCTGGCTACGGTCCCAGGAGTCTCGGCTCAGGCAACTCCTCGATCTCCTCACAGACCGCAATCCGCACACGCTCTGCCAGGTACGTCATTGCATCGTGTTGCACCTGGGCCTTGCTCAAACCTGAAGTCTCCTCGCCGTCCTCCATACCAGCAGTGGCCGCAACTGGAATGTTATTCGTCAGAGCGTTCTTTGCACGAGTCAACGCCTTGAGCAGTTCCTCCCCCACAGCCTCGTAGCGCGCCGCAGTGCCACCCAGAATGTCGTACGAGATACAGTCGGTGCCGCGCTCGAGGTAGCAGACGACGGTGTCAGGAGCGTCGTCGCCAAGGTGACCAGTCTCAAAGACGAGGACGTTCGCCTGCGAGATATCGTGGCCGCCATCACCGCTCAGACCATCCCGCTCCTGGATCGAAGAGAGCAGTTTCATGCGGTGCTCTCGCTCGGGCATCTCCTCGAAGGTTGGCAAGGTGATGCGGAAAACGATGTGTTTGCAGCAGCTGCCGCCAGCCTTCTCGACCAAGGTCTTGATTTCGGCTTGGATCGCCTTGGAGAGGTATGGCAGGCTGTAACGGTGATAGCAGGTCTGATGGTAGTTGACCTCGCCTTCTTGGGCGCTGTAGACTACCAGTTCCCATACATTGAGACGGAGTTCTACAGGTAACTTGAAGAGGGCGCCGAAAGGCGTCGGGACAGTCTTGGTGTTGGGGCGGTTTGAGTTGGTCGACATTTTGGCGCTTTGCGTGAGGCCAACTTGAACCCGGTGTTGTGTGAGCGTTGCGACGACAGTTCTGGCGAGAAGTTGTTCTGGTCTGGGGTTGGGGTTGGGGTTGGGTTGCTGAACATCCACCCTCAAGCCGCCGTCGAAAAGTCTACAAGTAGGCAAACGACGACGCCCAACCCCCGACACATCACACGCGCAGGCGTCGCCTTGGAAACGAACATTCACTCGCGGCGAGTGACTCGACGAGCGCGCCGTTCCAAGTCGCGACAGTCTCCATTCTGCTCGACATTCACTAGCTTTGCCGGTTCGAGGTAGGATGCCAGCCCAGGCTCAGGAGAGGCTTCGAAATGTAGAATCTTAACGACCGTCGAGACATTTCTCGATGGTGTATAGGTGAGGAGGGTTGTGTATAGATAGGGTAGGTAGTATGGAAGCGTGTAGCGATTGCGCTACGCAGAGAAAAAAAAGAACATAGAGTCGTATATTACTGGGCCAGGCTTGCGCCCCTTTAATTTGACAGCTTCACGTTTGCTCTTCAAAATGCTATCCGTAGGAAGCCAACGTGCAGAAGCGAGGGAAACGAAGGAGTGTAAGAAACGAGTGTGGGCACCAAGAGAGAGAGGAAGAGCTTTGTTCAGACAAAGCAAGTAGCAGCAATGTCATATTTATATCAAAGAACCAGCAACCGACATACCGAAGCACAAAGCCTTTCCACCCCACAAACGACAGGCCCAGTCCAACAAAGAACCTTCAACAACCCACCCCCTTAACCCCCTCACGCCAACTCCCCCACCATCATCTCCGCACAACTCTCCGCAACAGCATAAACCACCGCCTGCGGCGTCGCACTCAACGGGCCAGGAAAAACACTCGCATCACAAACCCTCAAACCCCTAACCCCCTTCACCCTCAGCTTCGCATCGACGACTTTCCCCATGGACGCAGAGCCCATACCGTGATGGATCGTTATGGCCGAGCGGCGGACGCGGGCGTCGAGGTCGGCGTCCGTGGTGGATAGGGAGAGGGGCGGGAAGTTGGTTGGAGCGAGTTGGTCTGTTGGGGAGAGGTAGGGCTGTAGAGGTTCGGATTGGGCGAGGCGGAGAATTTGTCTGATTCCCTCTCTAAGGACGAAGCGATCGTGTTCCGTAGCGAAGTAATTCGGATCACATACCGGGTAATCGAGCGGATTCGAAGAAGATAACGTAATCGTCCCGCGAGACGTGGGCAGGAAATTCAGCGTGCTGAAGGTGATGTAGTTCCCATCGAAGGGAATTTCTTGCATTCCTTCGCCGGAGATGGATCCGGAGGCGTAGTAGGTTGTTGCGAGCCAGTAGTGGGCTCGGTGAGCCAGTAAAGGATGAGTGGGTGAGATTGAGGCGGTGGGGGAGTCTTTTTGTAGCTGCTTTTGAAGGGCGGAGGGATCTAGGGCGCCGATGGTCATCCAGTCGATTGGAGTGGCTCCTTTGAAGGACGGGTTGGCCATGTATTTCGGGTGGCCCATGGCGAGCCCGGCTTCGGCTGCGGCGCTGTCTAGTTTCCAGGGGATGAAGATGCCGGAGTGATCGAAGAAGGTCTTGCCGACGTGTGGACTGTCCACGATGGTTTCGATGCCGTGACGGAAGAGGTCTTCTGCAGGACCAATGCCGCTTAGCAATAAGATCTGAGGCGTGCGATATGCGCCACAGCTGAGGACGACTTCTTTCGAGGCGAGGAACTTTCTTCCGTCGACGAGTTGGACGCCCGTTGCCCTGACATCTTGACCGTATTTCTTCTCGAGCAAGATCTTGTGGATCGTAGCATTCGTGATGACACTCACACCCGAAAGATCATAAACCGCTGCAGCTGGCTGTCTCAGCGGAGTCCAGTTATCACAATGCCTGCCAATCCCGAACGGAGTGCCATTCAGATTGTCCGGATTATCTTCAAAACCCAGCGAGACAAGCCCATCGTGAATAGGCTGTCGTAGCGGAAGCTCAGGACTCGTTCTCGTCTTGAACGGCCCATCAAATCCATGAGCTTCGCGATCACTACCCTCGCGGTCCCAGTGCGACTCAATTCGCTTGAGATGGGGCAAAAGACCTTGATACGTCCAGCGCTCACTGCCCTCTTCGCCATCCAGATGTCCAGCCCAGAGATCTAGATCTTTCCTATCCGGCCGCATCCAGAACCCTGCATTCGCCGCGCTAGATCCAGAGAGCACATTTCCAGCGTGAAGTTTGATCACGCGGTCATCCATGTGCTTCTGAGGCACAGTTGGGTATGGTGTATCGAGGCCAGCGCCTTCCAGCCGTGTTCGGCCCCAAGCGTTCATGACGAGTTCGTTGGTATGGTCGTCGGATCCTCGCTCGATGAGGGCGATAGATAATGACTTGTTTCCTTGCTTGAGTCGAGATGCCAGAGCACAACCCGCGGTGCCGCCGCCGGCGATGACAATGTCGAAGGTTGTTTCGGTCGCCATTCTCGCAAGATTGTGCGAAAGTCAAGAGTCTGTGTCGATGAAGTCAGAGAAGAAGACTACTTGTTTTAAAGACCAGCCATTGAGACTTTCAGCTCATCTATCCGCAGAAGTGGTTGCGTTAGGGCTGACAGATCCGTGTCGTCGTGTAGTTTTCGTGGAGAACAGTACCCGATTTGGGATGGGGTCCCCAACTCGTCAGCCTTGCCCGAGCGGTGCTTGAATCCGGCAAAGTCGTGCGTAGGTTCACCTGAACGGCAGTGCCTTTGGAGCCCCCCCAGCTGAAAGGAAGCTGTCGCTGACTACCGAGCTATTCCAGTGGCCGGTCTTACAAAATAGTTACGACGGAGCGTTAATTGTGTTCTGTGTGTATGGTCGAGTGTTCTCAACCCTTCCACACGAGGAGGTAATTGGTTGACGCCCCGAACATGGGCCTAAGTCGTATGTCTCGAGTATCATATCGAGAAGATGCTACTCCATCGACTCGAACATTCACATGACTAGGATTAGAAGCACGATCGGCAGGCTCTGCTATTTTGATCAGCTCGACCGAAGGCAGTGGGAAATTAGCTGAAAATTGGAAATTCGACAAAACAGCCAACAAGCTGGAAAGGAAGGCAGAGCTGGATGGAAGAAGCGATGAAATTGAGAAACTTTTGGGAATTCGACTTTGCTAAACGACCAACTCACCTTGCAATGCCCACTGTAGCGCCGATAGGATCCTAAGGAATTGTGCTGCACCCATCAATCATTCATCTTCCTGGTCAAGCGTCCTGAATGGAGTCAAACATACCTCGAAAGAACTCCCATACCACGCTCAGAACAATCGATCAAGAACACTCGCCCAGCCAATATGCATCATTCGAGGGTTTCTCCTTCCCACCATGGTCCTCTCGGGTGTAGATGCGAAAGCGTCGACCATCGGGGTCCTGCTACACTGTTAGCCCAGTCTAACTCGAAACAGGTTCTAATTCACCTCAAAGACCAGGATCCACCCTCTCTTCCCCGCCAACACAGAACTATGCATCGTTCCCCATCTCTCCAACCACTCTACCCACTTCACCAAGTCCTCCTTCCCCTTTGCCGTCAGCGTCACTGGATCCCAGCCTCTGTCTTTGACAGCACGCGGAGCTGTCTGCCGTAGCTCAAGATAGATCCCACCCCAGTCGACCATCTCCAGGATAGCCGCGAAACGTGTGCCATCCAGACGAGTGTGGTCAAGCCCGGCCACCCGACGGCCGCCAAGGACTCTCTCGTACCAAGCGATGGAAACGTCGAGATTGGAGACGGCGAACTTGAGGTGATGGATGCCCATGACCTTGGGTCGGTCGCTTTCCATTCCAGAGAACGGCAGTCGTTGCTGAGGTGATTCGATGAACGATGCTGATGAAGACGATGACCTGGAAGACCTGCTCCTGGCGTCGAAGTGTACTCGTCTGTTCCTGCAGATGGAATGCGTGCCCGGTGGTGTCGGCGGCGTCCTTCTGATGCCGGTGGAAGAGGTCGATGTCGTTGTTGACGCGCTGCATCTTCGCAAGCCACGATCCGCTCCATTCATTATATCAAAGCGAAGATACTCGTTGACCATCGCCATTTTCAGGACCGACGTTCAACGCAAAGTCGGCACGAAGATTGTATAATCTGGGCATTGCGAAAACACGGCAGAAGCCAACGGCAGGCTTCGATGCTTTTCATCAGTCAGTGACGAGACCATCTGCGCTACTCATTCCGTAGGTTGGTTAGGAGGTGATGTCGCATAATGCTTCCCAAGACAGCCAATCTCGAATCCTTCCATCTCATGAACTCAGGACTTTGGCTTTCGTCCCGTGCCGTCGTGCAGGAGGAACGGTGCTTTGCGCCACCGACATTGCCGTTACCTTTGCCTGTTGCAGCGATAGCGCTGCTTGAAACTCGCTGACTGAGAGCCGATTGTCCGTCTTGCATGTGTCTGTCGGAAGTAAGTACTCTTGTACGACATGTCGATGTCCCAGACCACCCTCACTGCAGGCAAGATCTCCACGGTTAGGGCGGTAGATTGGCATCTTGCTGTTTCTTGAATGACCGACGTGCGGCTGAAGAGAAGAGAACGGTGGGGTCCGATGTTTTCCGTGCATCATTGGGGTTGGGGGACAAGCCGCATGGTGTCATGAAGTGACTGTTACAGATCTGAATAATCGTGCAGTAGCTCATTCGCTTGAGACTTGAGGCTGCGAGTCGGCTGTGTCCTGTTGGCTGGTAGATGGGTTTGCCCGTAATATCGATGCTGAGGCTGGACTTGGTCTGATTGCTGAGCATCAGCGGAATCGTCGAACCGTGGGCTGGCACAAGATGTCGCATAGCCGCACTCTTTCTGGCATGCTTTCACATCATAGTTCACTGTTCGTAATACCTCGACGTCGAGAGACGAGACTGCAGGGCGTGTGATCCACCTCCTGCGTGCTGGGCCATCAAGCATGTGGCGCATCAATCTGTTTTGCAATGGTCAGTTCGACGCAACTCACCTCGAAGCGATTCAATTGGAGGAGCTGACGAGACATAAGAATTGGTCATTAACTTGTGGATTGAGCTGTCGCGTGGCATCGCTTGATCCTGCAAGAGCCCCTTGATACTAGTGTTCGCAGGATTGTACACACTTGAGGAAGGCGTTCGACAGACGTGGAAGCCAGGCTTGACTATCCATGCACATGCAGTGTTAGAGACTTTGGCCGAAGGGTCGAGAGTTTTGCCCTGGCAGTATGGTGGATCATGGTCTTCTCTCCGGCAGGCACCAGAGCTAGCTAGTACAGTAAGCTTGTTAGAAAGCGCCTCTCCAGCCACTCGACTGCACACGGAGTTCGGCGTTGCTGTGACTGATGATCGAGTACTTGTCGAGAGTTGGTCTGTATCCATTTCGATGTTGATATAATGTGCAAGATACCGCGGATCGAAGAAAGTGGTGGTGGATCCACGGCTTGATAGAACTCCCCGGACGCCTTCGCTGATACTGGATAATATGGCCCTGTGACATCTCATTCGCCCACCATCAGACTGACCTGAGCGAACATCAGAATCCTCTGGCCGCACGATGTGTTCGGTAGCATCTCGCGACTTACCGCCATGGCTATACAACACAGGCTGACATATGGACTCAGCCGCTCACCAACCCTCGCCGCCCGCCAGAACGTTCCGAGAGGACTGCTTGAATGTCAGCCAACAACATCCAATGACGCAGATTCCGTAGGGGTGGTAATGTACCCGCTCTTGTTCCTGTCCAGCCAGGCCGGGAAGACGCCGTGGAGATAGGTGCAAGAGCAGATGAAAAGGAGGACGACCAGGAGGAAGGTCTGGAATTTGAGGATGCCGAACATGGTCGAACTGAAAATATGACTTCAAAATGGTTACTTCTGGGGTTCCTGAATGTTCGGTTGTACGTCGCGCGTGCTGTCAGAGGTCAGGCAGAAGTTGTTGTGTTGTTTCTCGAAGTGAGATGGATGTTGGAAGCCACATGTCAATGCCAAGACTTCAACGACGGAAGCTCCCGCCTTCACGTCACTTTCTGACCTTCACTTGCCCACCACCACGCGACAACAACACCCCACGACGCTCTTCTACCAACAGTCCCCCTCACAAGCAACACCACAACTAACTATCCCCATCGACAACACAACTCCCACCATGGCGGAACCCCGCGCCCGCCCGCGCCAAAAAGGCCAAGTCTTCGCCGACACCGACCTGCGCGAACTCCTCTTCTCCTTCGGCTCGCCGGACCCACAACACTCCCTCCCCACAACCCTGACCGTCCTCGACGAGATCCTCACCGACTTCATCATCGAGACCTGCCACGCGGCCGCCACCTGCGCGTCTTATAGCAGAAGGCAGAAGATCAAGATGGAGGATTTCCGGTTCGTGCTGCGGCGGAACGGGGCGTTTCTGGGACGTGTTGCGGAGCAGATGGCGAGGGAGCGGTGGATTAAAAACCAGAGGAAGATGGTGGATTTTGAGGAGATTGGGAGGGAGGGTGAGTATTGTATATCTTTTTTGAGGAGGGGAGGGCGTGGTTGCTGATGGTGTTGATAGGTGTTACGGAACTTGCTGGGATTGCGGAAGCTGGTGGGGCGGAGAATGAGCTGAAGAAGAAGGGGCGTGGGCGTGGTGGGCGGAAGAAGAGAAAGGCGGAGGATGAGGGTGAGGGGAGTAAGGTGAAGAGGGTTGCGACTTGATCGGTGCCTCTTGGAGATGAGCGAGACGGTGATTCTGGATTAGCGACGGCGTTTAGGAAAGCATTTCAAGATACCCAGGGCACGCATTGATGGTGAATAGGCGCAGGAAATGGTTCAATCAAGGCAACCTCTGCTGGGCGCCATTTCACACGTAAACTATATCGATGCTCGATTGTAACAACACACGTTCGTCTTTTCTCAAACTACCAAACTCGACTGATTCTAGTCAAGCTCGGTAGCAAACACCCCCTTAATCTACTGCTCACCCCGCCGGCCTCCTTGGCCAGCTCCTGATCGCTGATTCTGCTGGCCACCCTTGCGGTCGCCCTTTTGCTCGGCATTTGAGTTGCTTTCTCCGGAGCCCATGGTGAGGGCGGCGGTTGCGAGTCGGTTCGAGAGGTCGATTTGGGTGCGGATGGTGTTGGCGAGGTAGGAGACGAGGAGGACATCTTGGACGTGGTTGTTGCTGTGAACGAGGGTCAGTACACAATGTATTCGTGAAAGGTAGACTGTCAACGTACAAGTCCTTCTCAATGCTCTCGGCATCCACCTTGGGTCCCAGACTGAGCGTGTTCATCAAGAACTGGCCCAACGCACTGCTGGGCTCGGCCTCCTCATCCAGCACGTTGCTCACGTAGTTGCTCACGCGCTCCAGCATTTCCAACACCTGCTCAATCGCCCGCTCCAGCACCTCAATATCCGTCTGCAGCAGTTGTGACCGGTCTTCTCTATCCCTCGCGCCAGCAATCAACTCCAACCCACTCTTGTCCGCCTCGCCGTACTTGATCTCGTGCGGTACGGGAATGAACAGACACGAATCCGCCGCACGCTCTGCCGTCACGCCAATCGGCGCGCTGATGTAGGTGTCCGCCTTGACGTCCTGTCCAGCGATCGTCGAGACTGTGAGGTGGACGGCGGGGTGTGGGAAGGTGCCCTCGCCTTGCTGCGAATAGAAGTTCTGGATGAGGGCGGAGAAGGTGTTGAGCTCGCTGCTGGTCGCATACCACCCGATCAGGATCTCCTTGGGCGCGGCTTTCAGGTGCAATTCGAGCATGCGCTTCTGGTAGTCCATGTCGACTTCGACTTGCTCGGCGGTTTCGGTGTGGGGGACGGCGTAGCAGTTGCGGATCTCGACCTCGGTGCCATCTTCCGAGCGGGTGCCCAGGAGGGTGCCGATCACGCGCTCCTGCTCGGCGGGGCGTCGCGATGCGTGGTCGAGGATGCTGAAGAGGGCCTGCGGCTGGACGGTGACGGCGACGGGGGCGGTGCTGGGGGCGCCGGAGGAGACGGCGGCGGGGGCGAGCGGACGCGCCAGGTGCAGGAAGTTGTTGTCGCCCATCGTGGTGTGAGTGAAGGGGGAGGGGGAGGGCTGTGGCTGCTGCTGGGCGGCGGTGTTGAAGTGGTGTGTTCGCCGCGCGACTCAGAAATTTGGATGCCAAGTCTTGAATTTCTGCCCCGCAACCCCCGCCGCTCAAATCTTAATCAAAACTTTGATGGCACTTCATGGCGGCTCGTCGCAAATTGCACTGCTTCCCTTTTCGCTCTTATATGGTTGTCCACAGCCTTGTCATTCACCCATTCGTCTGTCACATGTTCGGACAGTACGTTCAAGACTGTCTCTCACGATGGGATTGTCATTCAGCAGCAGCTTCTTCGCCAAGAGCCGCTCCTTCACGATCCTCATGCCTCGTTTTCGCAGCCTATACTCCTTCGGACACATAGTCACGGATACTTCGTCACCCTCGGGCCCGGCACAAACCCAGAGTGCCAAACACCTTCGAAGAACCCTCGAGCCCTAAAAGCTGATGAGTTCTCCATCCAATGCGCTCAAAGTGGCATCGTTTCCATGCACCTCTTACTTGGACAAGCAACAGAACTCAGATCCGGTCTGCCGAAGCTCCCACTATGCATGTGATAGCACTCGGTATCTATGTTCTAGCGGATCGTCATGTGGGATACGCAATATACGATGAACCCGACGGGAGCCAGCCTGGGCTGACAGATCTCCAATCCTGCTTGCAGCAGAAGAAGTAGGGCCTTCAGTCAGCCGCGCCTGGATCAGGGCAAACATGGTTGGATATACGCGACAAGTCCCCTTCAATCTATCTTTCTCCAGACATTTTACGTGAAAATTGCTGTGCAACATGGAATGGTCACTCTCCCATGTTATTCTTCTCCTATTCTCCCTCTCCCTGGCCTACCTCCTCGCCGAGGCCATCTACAACCTCTTCTTTCATCCCCTCGCATCCTTCCCCGGCCCTAAGATCACCGCCGTCACCAAGCTCTATGGCATGTACTTTGACATGGTCCAGGGCGACCACGGTGACCGCTGGAGTCGACGCATCTACGAGCTACATGAACAATATGGTCCCATCATCCGCATCGAGCCCAACGAAGTCCACATCTTGGACAGCTCCTTCTACCACAACCTCTACAACTTCGACCCCGATCTCGAAAAGAAAGACAGCCACGTCGCAAACCTCCAACACACCCCCACGACAGCCGCACACCGCCGTCGCCGCAAAGCCTTTGACCCTTACTTCTCTCGCTCGAGCATCCAAAAGATCGAACCTCTGATCAAGTCCACCATCGACAAGCTCACCACCCAAATCTCCCACAGCAAAGGCGTCGTCGACTTATCGTTCTGGTTCCGCTGCATGACCTTCGAGATCATCTGCGACTTCATGCTCTCGCAGCCCTACAACCTCATGGACGAGCCGGACAAATCCTCCAAGATGGTCAAGGCGATCGTGCAGGTCTTCAAAGTCTTGAAGCCGATCCAGCAGATTCCTGTGGTGTCTTATATCATGAACAATCTGGAACACCTACCCAAATGGATGCAGAAGGCGCCGAGCGATGAGGGACTCATGTATGTGAAAGTGTGGGAAGAGGGGTTAAAGCCGCGACTGAAGAAGGTGAGAGAAGGGAAGGCGGAGGCGGAGGATGGGAGGGTCATCTTGATGCAAGAGTATCTGAAGAACGAGACCCTGCCTGAGGAAGAGAAATCGTACGATTCGGTAAAGCAATCGGTGCTCATGATGGTGGGCGCGGGCATGGAGACGACAGGGTATGCGTTGGGCATGGCGAATTACCAGCTGCTCCAACGGTCGGATCTGCTCAAGCAAGTCAAGGAGGAGATTGCCACTGTCTGGCCTTCCAATCAAGAAGAAATTCCTTCCTGGAGCACACTCGAAAGACTGCCCCTTCTGACTGCCATCCTCAAAGAAAGCACACGACTCAGTCTCGGCGTCGCCGCTCGTCTGATCAGAGTGAATCGCAAACGAGCGGTCCAGTACAAAGACTGGGTCATCCCTCCTGGTTATCACATCAGTATGAACCAGGCCTTTGTATTATACGATCCCGACATATTCATCGAGCCGAATAAATTCGCCCCGGAGAGGTGGCTTCAAGGTGAGAAGAGCAAGGAGTTGGAAAAGTGGTATGTGCCGTTTTCGAGGGGGAATCGGAATTGTATTGGGGAGAGGTGAGTCTATTAATTATCTTCTTTGTGTGTTTCACTGCGTGAGCTGACGATGAGTAGACTGGCCTGGGCGGAAATGTACCTCACGCTCGCGGCTGTGCTGCATCGCTTCGACATGGAGCTCTACGAGACAGAGGATATAGACGTCTATCCCGTGTATGACCACTTCGTCCCGTTCCCAGAGCGGGAGAACGGCGTGAGAGTCACGATCAAGTCGACTCGCGATGCATAGTCTGGACTAGGAAATGTTCTGAACGACACTCTGCACTCTCTCGGGAAGCAGTTCGGCCGTATGACAAGCAAGGTTGCTTTGCAAAGCCGCTAGATACTAATGCTCATCGCGTACGGCTTGAACGAGCGCCGCATTTGTCCACTTTCCGCCATGAGTGGTTCAGCCTGATCGCAATGCCTACTGAGAGTGGTCTTGGCGTTGCGCATTGCTTGCTGCATAAAGCCAAAGTTGGGTGCCGGAAGCAAGTCATCAACTTGCAGCGATGCCAACGTCACAAAAGATGTTCCTAATCTCTGTCTGCGGGGCCAGATTTGGGTGGAATCAATTTAAAAAGAAGAACGAACCCTGCACAAAGGCTTCTGACTCCCGAGAGAAGAATCCATCATACCCCTTCCTTCAGCATGTCCCCCTTCCTCACCTCAGCCTTACTTCTAGTAAGCACCTTAACCTCCACAACCGCCCAATCCCCCAGCATACCACCCCCCATTCAAACCCAAGCCTACGGCAACCTCACCGGCATCAGCAACGTCTCCACCCCAGCCTGCCCCTCCCTCGGAGCATGCCACATCCTCGTCGCCCGCGGCTCCCTCGAACCCCCGGGCTACGGCAGCATCGGCGCCATCAAAGACCGGATCCTCGCTCGCGTGCCGGGCTCCACAGCCGAAGCTGTTGATTATCCCGCTGTGATCAAACCGAGCTATGTCGACTCTGAGACGGATGGTGTGGTGGCGATGAAGGGGTTGATCGGCGGGTTTATCGCGAACTGTGATGCGAAGATCCCGCTTGTGTTGATGGGGTTTTCGCAGGGTGCGCAGGTTGTTTCGGATAGTCTTGTTGAACAGAGGGGTGTTAGGTTTCCGGATAACAGCTCTGTTGACACTGTCCACCCGGGCAGCACGCTTGTCCGTGTAGCTGCCGCGGTCATGATGGGCGATCCGTCGTCGAATCTTAACGGCTCGACATTCCATGTCGGCAACGCTACGACGCACGGACTCTATCCTCGGACGAACAATGCCAACTTCTACGCCACTGGCCTCGCTGAGAGAGTAAAGAGTTATTGTGATGCACGGGATCCTTTCTGTGCGTCTGGCAAGGAATTGGGGGTCCATTTGGGAACGATTGCGAGGTATGAGACGCAGGCGGTGGAGTTTGTTGTGGGGATGGTGAAGGGGTTTAATCGGCGGAGTGGGAATGTTAATGGCAGTAATGGGGGTGGGAATTCCTCTACGGCGACGCCAGAGCCATACACGGGGTTGGGAAGGCGGAGGTGGGAGGTGATGCTGCTCTAGCGGTTGTGGTGATGTTTGTTGTCGTGGTGATGATATAGATGAGGTAGGGGCGTGAGAAGCGCGTGAGAGTAGCGGCGTGAGTTGGTAATGTATAAAGCAAACACTTGACAACAGAACGCATATAATCCCCAAAACAACATCATCGTCTAACATGTCCAACAGATGTACAGCAGCTTGGATCCAAAAAATCCACGGAGAAGCACCGCAAAAGCTGACAAACATCCCCTCCCCCTCGCGCTAACATCACTTCCTCCAAAGCGCCTCATGCTCACGCTCATACGTCAACGCGCTCCTCTGCAGTGGGGTGAGATTCTCCTCCCTATCCCCCGCCAAAAACAACATCATAACCTCCCTCACCACGCAATCCACGTGCGTATCCCACTCGCCAGGGCGCGTGAAGTCTTCCTCTGGGTACTTCCCCTCAAACGTCCCCGTGAGGCGGATCCTCACCATCGTGCGCAGCCCTGTGGCGGTGAGGTGCCATCCATCCCAATGCCCCAGCGCTTCCACTGTGGCCTGCAGAAGCGCCGTGGCGAGGGGATGATAGATCGCCGCGCCTCGTGGCGCCGAGACGAAGCGCTCCCACCAGCCTGCGAAGAACGCCGTGATCACGCGGCGGGCGTGGAGAGGGGATGTCTCCTCCTCGAGATCCGCGTCTCGCGCCGGTGACCGCGGCGTTCTTCGCAAGATGACCCCACGTGCGGCTGCTGGGCGCCTGTAGCGGAGGTTCATCTCCAGTCTGCCGGAGTGATACATCTCCCAGCGGTGGTTGAGCCTCCGCAGCATCTCCTCGAGATAGAGGCTCACTAGGCCCGGAGCGCGATCTTCACTCCCCAGCAGCTCCAGGTAGTACCCCCATCCCTGCACCTGGCGCAGCTGGTAGGTGTCCAGACGGCGCTCTGCGGCCGTGGTCTGGCGAGGAGAGGCGGGGACGGGGGCGGAGACGGGGAGGGGCAGGGGGTGGAAGAGCACCTCCCGGCAGTCCGGGCAGGTGTTGTTCTCCTGCAGCCAGGTCGCGAGGCACTCGCGGCAGTAGGTGTGTTGGTCGCCGTGGGCGACGACCACATCTGCGCTGCTTCTCAGGCAGATTGCGCAGGTCCAGTCTGCTGGGACGGGGGTTGATGGCCCCGTCAGGCTGGAGAGGAATCGGGATTGTGTGGGGAGAGACATGGTGTGAGGTTGGAGAGCTTGATGTGAGGGAGGGCGGTGATGGGGTGATGTGAGGTGGGTTGGGTGAGGTCTGTGTGGTGTGTGATGGTGTGATGGTGTGTGGTGTGGTATACTTGTGCTTGGGTAGGCTTGACTTGGACGCGACAAGGCTGTGTGAGCAGAGTATACTTTGGTGTGATCTGACCAGAAAACAGACCTCCCCCAAGACAGCCCTCCCTGTTACATATATACGGTCCAAGAGAGATGTTCCCACGTAGTCCTCATCCCCAGGATATCTCTCAGGACAAGTCTACCAAACATCGCTTGCTTACCGTGGACGGTCTCGTTGGTTTGGGGATGAACTAGAGAAGCAAAGTTTCTCCTCTCAGATGACCGCCCTCACTCCGGCCTATGTGAGCCTACATTTTGCGCTGACATCGTCCTCATAGGCTATGTAAACACACGTCTATCCCCAAGAAACAGCTCTCGACCGTGGAAACGAAACAGAAGACCCTATGTTTATGAAGCGCACAGCCCCGCGCGAGACATGACAAGATGAAATACAATACCCCTCACCGTAGATCTAAAGATACCGGCGAGTGTGAAGGCCTTTCTCTCCGCTGACTACGCGCGTTGTCGACTCAAGTCAAAATTCCTCGATTCCCCGATCTCTCTACTCGACCGTGGTTCTCCTCTCATCCCCGCGAATGAGCGTCCGACTCTGTGCGGTCTTGCCTCCCCGCGCCTTTCGAGGCAAGCTCGAAGAATCGTCGGATCACGGCGATATTCTGATCAAGGTGACGGACAGCGTCACCACTATCGGGTATCTCTACACTCCTATCTTTTCTACATAGGCCCTAGAAACTGCGCTCCATCCCCAAGCATCTCCAGCCGAATCTACTATAGAGCCTTCCTACCGCACCCCAGTATAGACCCATGAGCAGTGGAAGGAGAGCGCAAAATCAAATTATGTGAGGTACGGAGTCAGGGCGCGCCGACGTGAAGTCCGTTTGTGCTTACTAGATTGAAATCAGGCTTCACTAGCGCTTCTCCCCCTGAACCCGCACATCGACCGTGGAAACGAAACAGAATATCTACTTCTTGACGCGAGGAATATCTCGGAAATATTGTGCACATTATAGGTAGTGTGGAAGCTTTCAACTGCGCGGCGGGCGGCTATCATGCGATGTGATTTTCGATCTTTTGCTGATGTTTGGTCCACTCAGGCTGTGTGGATTTCCGACGCTCTCCGCCAAGAGTTGACTCGACCATGGCGATGGAACAGTGTCTCAAGGATTGGTTCCACGTCAAACTACGGAGAAGAACTTACTATGACACTATTTCTCTCGCCCTGCTCGCGCAAGATGCACTCCCACAAACAAGCCTCCGCCAGGCTGCGAATTTCCTCCCCCCTCGAAATTCAATTCTCCGGACACACGTTCAAATCAAGCTAGATTCCTCGAGCGAAGAAGCAACAGTCAAGAACACGATGCCAGATCGATCGCAGTAATCGAAAAGGCCATGTATGCAAAACGCTGATGACCTAGAAATTCATACGTCCTGAGGTTGAAGCAGAAGTTTGGTACGGATTTAGAGTTTACCGAGTACCTGGCAGAGCACCTCTTGCTTGTTCTTAGCTTTGTGGAAGGGAAAACAACCCCTTGTAGGATAGGAAGATGATGGTCAAGAGAAGTGGAGGAATGAACGGGCGACATGTCCTGATTGTTGGTGGGAGTGGTCGAGTGTGTGCTGTGTTTGGTCGTCTGCTGCGTATTATGTCGGCGTGGGTAAGTGGTTTTCGCGAAGGGAAAATCGACAAAGAGGCTTGACGAGCAGTTAACTCTGCCCTTTTCACCTCGTGTTGAAACAAAAGTTCTGGGATGCGCGGGTATATCATCTGTCTGAGGTGTCGATGCTGCCAGTCTCTATCATTGTCGCTACGCAGGGTATACACACACCCACATATCCATTCTCCCACTCTTCCTCAGGTGCCCATTGTGAACAACCTCCTATTTCACCGCCTGCCTGGCCTTCTCCACTCCCACATCAACCCCCTCCTTCACCTTCCTCCCCGCAACGTCAATCCCCTCCTGCGCCTTCACCACCCCAGCATCCACCCCCTCCCTCGCTCCACTAAAAGCCCTCCTCCACACCGCACTAACGCTCTCCTCCGCTCCCTCCCTCACCGCATTCCAATCCGTACTCCACAGTTTCCGCACATTATTCTCCAGCTCCGCGTTCCACTTGTCCTTCGCCGTCTCCCACAATCCCGCGGGGACCTCGCGTGCCGGGGGAGGAGGTTGTGGTGGCAGGGGCTCGACGACGTTGTTCAGGACCAGCGATTGTTGCCGCAGGAGGGTCGCTTGGTGTAGGCGGGTTTCGCGGTGGAAGCGGGTGGTTAGGTAGAGGAGGGAGGCGGTGAGGGTGAATCCGCCCAGCTAGGGATTCATTAGCTATGACCGGGAATTGATTAAGATTCATTTACCAGGCCGGATGTGAAGCCCATGCTGTCATGTAGGTAGTTGTTGCTTGGGAGTTGTTGACGATGAGGTCAGCGTACATCTCATCCCCAATGCCCGAGCGAAGTTGATGCCTCAGGCCGCAAGTCCCAAAGGAGATGTCTCCACCGCAATGGTTATCCGACCATCACATGCAACTTCACCACCAAACATACACTCACCACACTTTCATTAAAACCCAATCAAAATGGCGGGCGGACTCGTCAAATACCGCCATCTCTCACGGAAATCCTCGCATCGCCGCGCCCTCCTGCGAAATCTCGTCACGTCGCTCATCCAGCATGAATCCATCACCACCACATGGCACAAGGCGAAGGAGGCCCAGCGGTTGGCGGAGAAGTTGATCACGCTGGGGAAGAAGGATACGAATGCGACCAGGACGAGAGCGAGATCGATATTATTTGTGCGTAATTCGACAGATTGGGGTGATATTCAATGCTGATATGAATATTGTAGCAACCACAAATCCACCTTCCCAAACTCTTCGGCCCCCTACGAGATCGCTACGCCTCCCGGCCCGGAGGATACACGCGTTTGCTTCGCATCGAGCCCGAAAAAGAAGACCAAGCCCCCTCAGCTATCCTCGAACTCGTGGACGGCCCCAAGGACATGCGTCTAGCACTCACCGCACGAACGATCGCGCACGCGAGGAGGAAAGCGGAGGACCAAGAGAAGGAGTTTGAGATGAACGATATGACGGCGCATAATGTGATGAAGGTGACGCGGTTTCGAAAAGGCGGGGAGAAGGATCTGGATGAGATGGTGGGCAAGTTCGAGAAGTTGTTGGAGGAGCGCGAGGAGGGGGTTACGGAGGTGAAGAAGAGGAGGGTTTATCCCGAGTTGGAGACGAGTAGATGACGATACCCTGTAAAGTTTGAATGGCATGGAATGTTTCTGGCGTTGAGTGTGTGACGAATGATGACCAGGTGCGTGTTGCCTATCCGTTTTCTCCCTGATCCACAACAGTGCCCAAGAACAGCCCTCCTTGCCAGGCATACGTTCTTCGATCAAGACGATATCCTCCAACGACGCTATCCAGTCTTCCTCCCCATAATCCCTATCTCATCAATACCAATGCTCATTCCCAATCCACTCCTCCTGAAACGGGCCAAACTCATCCGTCTTCCCCTCGATTTCCACCTCTCTCGCCGGCAGCTTCCTACACGTCGGACACAACCACGTCGCTCCCTTCTTCGGCGCCTCGTCCAAACCAACGCAGTCGAAATGGAACGTCTTGATCTCACAGCGGTCGTTGTCGCAGGTCACCATAGGCTCGGCGGCACGGATGAGGCGGCAGTTGCAGTAGATCTCGGGGTTCTTGTCTTTGCCGTTGGTGATATGGGCTTTGAAAGCGGTGTCGGCGGGGTGCTCGTCGTATGAGGATGGAGCTGGGTTTGGTGAAGGCAGAGGCGGCGGCGGCAAGAGGATCGCTCTCAAGACGGCTTCAGGGCGGTATTTGAATGTGAAAGCGAGAGTGTGGTCGACTCCTCCTAGGGGTTGGACTTCGCCGGGGGTCTTATTACCGAAGCCATCGCCGCCGGGCGGCTCTGTGATGCGTGCGTGGCTGATCTGAACGACGACTTCGCTGCCGTCCCACAAGGCGACATCACCTGGCGGATTTGCATTGCCATCCTCAACCACATGCGGAAACCTCAACTCCTCCGCTCCAATCCACACATCCATCGCCTTCGCACCTCCATCCTCATCCTTCCCGCGCGCCCGCCATGATTGCGTGACGAAGCGCCCGTCTTTGAGGATTTTGAAAAGGAGGGCATCGCCGAGGAAGACGACGTGCGCGGGGATGTGGATGGCGACGAGGAAGGGCTTGTTGGGCGAGATGAGGATGTAGCAGCTGCTGGTGTTGGGTTCGGGGTTCGGTGTGGAGTTGTCGGGAATTTCGCTGAGGGCGAGGGAGCCGATTGTTAGCCGGGTGGAGATGTGGGAGAGTGTTGGCATTTTGGTTGTCGTAAGATGGTAGTGTTGGTCGAGTGGATTTGTGGTGGTGTTGCGAGAGGATGGGTGGGTGTGGTGAGAGTGACATTTTGTTTGTCGGTCGGTGAAGAGCCGCCTGGAACTGACCGGAGAGAGGTATGTGAAAGTGTTCCTCCCATTCACTTGCGTCTGCTAATTGTCTCGTGCTGTCTGATTTGTAGACATCGCCTTGCCATGTTCGTCTCTTTGACCCCTTTCGACTCAGCTTTCACGCTCTCACTCGGCGCAATGCTCGTCTGCACATCTCTGCACGCAAAATCTGGTGCTGCCACACAAGGCTCACACATCACTCAGTAACAGCCAATCCCCAGCCAACAGCATGCCCACCCTCGACAAGACCTCATCAAGCCACCGCCCTTACGAAGCTGACAAAACCCGGGAGTCTCGCAACAGCGACGAGCGAATGCTGACTCCGATTTACGAGGAGAGTCTGCGTCAACGCCAGAATCGTCAAATCCAAGACTTGAGACCAAATGCGAGTATCGAAACACTGGTCATACCAAGATCTTGGCTTGAGTGATGGCTTACAAATTCGTGGATAGCCACAGCCTCGCCATCGCTGCGCGAGCTTGAGACGGGAGAGGAGTTGCTTCTTTTGGACACCGAAAGAATATCAGTCACTGATATTGGCGTGTGGCGCTCATTCAGCTGAAGCGACGTGGAAGCAATGCTTATGAATGGAGAGTCCAAACAGGATTGAATGTCTTCCGCAGTCGATTGAGGAAATCGTACTTTATCCCATCTTTTCACTGTGGACGGCTTGCAACATTTCACATCAATCAACCACATCCTAGTCGCCTACCTTTTCGCATCGCGCCTAACTCCATCATGGGAATTGCAACCCCTCAGCAAGATATCACCGTCCTGGGCCTTGGTGCCATGGGTTCAGCGCTAGCCCTCGCTTTCCGCAAAGCTGGTCTCGAGACTCACGTCTGGAACCGCACTGTCGATCGTCCTGGTGTCAAGGCAGTACTAGCTGATGGAGGTCAGCTCAAAGACACTGCAGCTTCTGCTCTCGAAGCCAGCTCGCTCATCATCGTCTGTTTGTACGACTACGAAAGCATCTATTCGGTTCTGTCGACAGCATCGAAAGAGGAGTTCGCATCCAAAACAATCGTCAACCTCACCAATGGCACCCCTTCTGAAGCTCGTGCCATGTCGTCTTGGATGCGTGAGCGCGAAGTGCTGCAATACTTCGACGGCGCTATCATGAACACCCCTCAGCATGTCGGAACACCGCATGCCTTCGTCTTGATTAGTGGCGAGGACGAACAGGCGTTCGATACGATCAGCACGACTTTGAGGAGTATCGGCAGACTCGACTTTCTCGGTTCTGAACCTGGAGCAGCGGCCCTCTACGACAGTGTCTTGCTCGCGGGGATGTACGGCATGTTCGGCGGGACTTTGACAGCCATCGCGCTCCTCTCCAAAGCCAGCAGTCCGCGTGAAAAAGGCACTCCTGCCGTATCAACAGCGGCCGTCATCGCGGAGAAACTCATTCCAATGCTCCAAGCTCTGCTCCCATCGCTGGTCGAGACGGCCGAGTACTTCGATGCAAAAGACTGGAGAGGTCATCCTGCGAACAACAGTGTTCAGGAGGGAGGATTGAGGAATATCCTGGCTACTTGTGAGGATGAGGGAGTCGATGCCGGGTTGTTGAGGTATCATCATGAGATGTTTGGGGAGGCTTTGAAGGATGGCCGAGGGGAAGAGGGCATGGCGGGTTTGGTGAGGGATTTGGTTGGGGAGTAGGAGAAGTGTTGGTCGGGCGCGCAGATAAGCGTGGTTTCTCTCAAGTGTGAGTCTTTCAATATTGTCCTGCAGGGGCTCGTCTGGGTCTTTGTTCACGTAGGTGACTGTACGATGGCTCAGAGAAATCCTCAGGTGCTCTTTTACTTGTTCATAAGTCCAATCTGGCTGCAAGCATGTGATCGTCCCATCTGCCAAGGAAACCACCGTTTGGTTACGCTTCAGTATGCTGTATTCGAAGTTAGCTCTGTTCTCACGTGTAAAAATATATTCAATCGCACAGCCTGACTTCACACCAAAAGAGTCATTGGAGACTCGTGATCTCGACCACGCCCCTGCATGTGTTCAGCACGAGCTAGTATATAACAGGCCAAGCGCATGCCTGCCCTGGATTCGAGGAAGTTGCGTCATCCGCGACTGCCCCTCAACACGTGCAAAGGTGGGGTGCTCTTTCCTCGAGCTGAGCAGACGTTTTCTCTTCCGTCTGCCCCTCGCCAACTCAACTTCGACTCCATCTCATCAACAAACAACCACAACCACCACCTCAATCAACTCCTCATCAATCCTCAATCAAGATGCCTACCCAAGTGTCAGTACACTCCCCATCAAATATCCATTGACTACTCACTGATTCATTTCCACAGCTACTTCGACATCAAGTCCTCGGACGGCTCCGCCGACGGCCGCATCAAGTTCAACCTCTTCGACGACGTCGTGCCCAAGACCACCGAGAACTTCCGCGCCCTCTGCACCGGCGAGAAGGGCTTCGGCTACGCCGGCTCCAGCTTCCACCGTGTCATCCCGCAGTTCATGCTTCAGGGCGGTGACTTCACCCGTGGCAACGTAAGATTCATACTACAAGAGGATTGGAGGGAATAGACACTGATATGTTGAGGACAGGGCACCGGTGGCAAGTCCATCTACGGCGAGAAGTTCGAGGACGAGAACTTCCAGCTGAAGCACACCAAGCCCGGTCTCTTGTCCATGGCCAATGCCGGCAAGAACACGTACGCAAGATCACCTCTTCACATGTCAATTCACCCGCTGACTTTATTTGTAGCAACGGCTCCCAGTTCTTCATCACCACCGTCGTCACCTCGTGGCTCGACGGCAAGCACGTCGTCTTCGGCGAAGTCGCCGACGACGAGTCCCTCAAGGTCGTCAAGAACATCGAGAAGCTCGGCTCCCAGTCCGGCAAGGTCAACGGCACCGTCACCATCGAGAAGTCGGGCCAGCTCTAGAGAGTGTCCTGTGATGATGTTTGCAGCAGAGACGTGATGAAGCTGTAGCTTAGCAAGAAGACTACTTCTCTCACCAACTGAAAAGTTTAGATACACAATGTGAAAGCTGCCATCACTCTCATCCCTTCTTATTCCACTCCTCCAACGTCACACTGTCCCCAAAACACAGCTTCGCAAACTGCTCAGGGTACCTCCCGCCCGTGATCGTATGCTCCTTCACCAGCGCATCCAACTCCTCCACCTCCCCATCCGTCAACTCCACCGCCGCCAAATTCTCCCGAATCCTCTCCACCGACGTACTCCCCGGAATCGGCACCATGACCGGATTATCCCCCTTCCGCCCCTGCGCCCGCACCCACGCCAACGCCAACTGACTCGGCTGCACGCCCTTCCTCTCCGCAAGCCCCTTCACCTTCTCCACCAACTTGAAATTCCCTCAAACACCCCCGGCTGAAAGCGCGGCATGTGCTTCCGATGATCGCCTTCCTCAAACTCACTCGGCGCAACGACTTTGCCCGTCAGAAAGCCTTTCCCTAGGGGAGAATACGCCGCCACAATGATCCCGTGTTGTGCGCAGGCGGCTGCGACGCCGTTGGTGAAGATCTCCGTCGACCAGAGACTCGCTTCGACTTCGACGACATCGATCTGTCCGACTTTGGCGGCGCGGTTGATTGTCGCGGCGGAGCACTCGCTGAGGCCTATGCCGCCGATTTTGCCGGACTTCTTGAGGGGCGTGAGCGTCGACATGACGGTTTCGATGGGGAGGGTCGGGTCCACGCGGGCGGTTTCGTAGATGTCGATGCTCTTCGTGCCGCCGAGGATGGAGAGCGGTGTCGATTTCTTGCGTGATGAAGGCCTCCGAACTATCTGGGCCAGGCTTGGAGGGGTTGATCCCGCCTTTGATGGAGAGGACGATTTTGGCTGCGTCGCCGGGGTACTTGTCGAAGTAGGCGCGCAGGAGGTGGAGGGAGTTGTAGGTGGGTGAGCCGTAGATTATGCCGCCGTTCCAGAAGTTCGCGCCGTTGTCGACGGCGGCTTTCATGGCTGCGATAGCGATGGGGATTTCTGGGGGCGTGGGTGTCCATGTTAGGCCCATGAGGCCGTAGCCTGTGTGGTGGATTGGGCGGCTGAGGAGGGTTGGGCTGGGCATTTTGGCTGTGTGGATTTCGTAGGGGGTTGTTGGGTGTTTGGTCTGCTTCCATTCCTGTTCGGTAGGATCGAGAAGAGTACTTGTAGTGAAAGAACCGGTACCTGTTGCTGGCCGACCGCCGAAGTGCTGCGTTCGAGAGGTGTGTGCTTGGATGGAGGCAGAGCATGGAGAGACGATGTGATGATGGCAGCCGCTCCACTCTGGCATCCATGTGCACGATCTGCGCCACATTGAGATGGATTCGGATTTATCCCGTGGACTTTGCAGGTACGATATCGATGGTCCAGAGCAGTGGCCAGTGTTCCTGAACGGGGTCCGGAGTTTGGTGTTGTACGACTCCGGTATGGCAGCCTTGCCGTGAAAGCTTATTCTGGAAATAGCTGTGTGAGTTGGTTTCTCTTGGACTCTCAGTCTGGATCAGCCATTCGCAGCTGTTTCTGTTTCCGTTCCAGACGAGTGTCTGTAGCTGAAAGCCCCATGGTCAAATGGGTTGACAAGGAGCTCATCCACGATCATCCTACGGCTTCCATGGCCATCCATGATTGGCCTGCTAATTGAGCAGTACTGGACATCTCCCTCGAAAGGTCTCCGTAGCAGGAACCCTGCAATGCGGCTACTGCTCGGTCGATCAGCTCGCGGTGCGCGCAGTACGACGCTTCCATGAGGGACAAGTGTGCGATGCTTTGGCACATGGTCACTAGCGCAGCGAAGATCGTTGACCGACGTCTTGTTAGTCCTAATCACTCTCATGTTCAGGATTTGACACACCAAAAAGTTCCACAATGAAACCTCTCCTTTTCCCTCCCTCGAGCAATCGATGTCGCGGATGATCTGTGTGGAAGCAGTGACAGAAGCCCAACGTGAGTACGAGAACTGAGAGTCTTCAAAACTCCTCAGGGACCAGCGTTTATGCAGCAGAAGCAACAGATGAGACAACACTATCCTCGCCGGTTTTTGAACCTGATAGATCGGATCTTTACTCAGCGCTCGAAGTTTGTAGTCCAGATCCAAGACGGCAATATAGCTACCCGGTTCCTCCTGCATATTGCACGAGAACTCGAAGTGGCCAGCAGCGACTTGGGCGACTCGATCGAGGAAGACGCAGAAGTCTGTGTCGAAGATTGTCGAGAGTTGGGGGTTTACTTGGATGCTCAGCGCATGGCCTGGGAGGATGTAGTCGCCTGCGGGATGTGTCGTCTCGTTTGTGCGGAGAAGGCGGTTTGTGGTGAGTGTGTCCATTGCTCGCGTGGATAGCCATTCTTGGAGGCAGAGCTGAGTCCAGATCATTTGGTTTGTGACTGTTTCCTGGTTTAACATGTCGGGGTAAGAGTACGAGGGCGTGAGCAATGTCTAAAGTTGCTTCGTACGGCAACTGCTCGTATCCGAGGTCCAGTGCGGTCTTGTGGGCTACGCCGAATAGCTGCATTTGCTTCTCGAGACATCCGAGTTTCTTCGCAGACATGAACAGGACTTGAACAGCTTGAACGGTGCAGATACCAGGCTGTTGAACACAGGACGCCATATCCAACGACTGAGAAGCCGCACGATACCACAACCGACTCAGATCCTTCCTCCGTTGATTCGAGAATCCCCAGGCAGTGACCGTCGTCTCGGAGGCAATAGTCAAACTAGCAGCCATCGTGGCGAACAGTAGCGCACACCACTGTAGATCCAAGCCGCGCAGGTAGATGCTATCGACAGACTGAGGCGCAGAATACAGCTCCTGTCGAAAACTTCGAGACGACATACTGCCATGGTATCACTGCAACGAGTGGCCATGGAAGTCGACCAGCTGCAGAATGCTCTGTTTCGGCGGGAGGATCTGCTGCAGCGAGGACAGCAGCTTCAGCAGGCGTGCATGCGGATCCAGCGTTGGATTCGTCGTCGGCATGCTCGGCGGCGGAGTCTCCACAGGCACGATCGAACTCCCAGCAGTAGAACTAGAACTCCTCTTCGGCCTGGTCCTATGATAGTCTCGATGCACTCGAGGGTCGTATCCGCCGACCCAGATCCTCGTGCAGTCGCCGCCCACGCCGGCTTGCACGCACCGCTGGCAGGGCTCGTTGCGGTCACAGCGCTGTCGCCGCATCGAGCACCTCGTACATGTCTTGCGCTCTTTGGGCATCCTGTGGGAGTTTCGCTGAGTGTGAGGGAGATTTGCTGTACGATTGATTGTTGTTTGATGGAGGCTCGGAGTTATGTAGGCGAGGTCCGGCTGAAGTGGGAGCCGCACGAAGCCTGGTTAAACTTTTATGCATTGGGGAGGGTGACGGTGGCCCTGTTGAAGGAGCTTTTTAGGTGACGTTCTTCGTTCGGTATACATGTAGGTATTTATTTAAGGAGAGGATGACAAAGGGCGAGTTGTGGTAATGCTGTCCGAGGGTTGACAAGTCAGACCATGCTCATCAGACCGTGCATCAAGCCTTGCGTGTGTCTGAGGGAAGTTCTCGTCATTCGACCGCCTTGCTCTTATCGTGCCCATCGAATACTCGTCAGTTCACAGTCCCGTTGCTAGAAGTGAATGCCGGCTTCTCGCCCTCGCAAGCAGTCTGATTCCCACGCAGGCATTCAGCAAGCGTCAAGCCAACAGACTGACCTATCAACCACGCCCCATGTACTGTCGACTGGTACTTCGTAATGAGAGCCTCGCCCGCAAACCACAGCCGCCCCACGTTTGCTCGCAAGTTCTGGTGCTGCTGAGCGGTATACCCAACAGGCCAGTAAGAATAGGATCCATACGCCCAAGGCTCCAAGCCCCAGCGTGGATACGTGAAGTCCAGTGGTTCCGGCACATTCTCGTCTCCGAACATCCGGCGAAGCACTGCCAGAGCTTCCTCTTTCGTCGCATCATCTGTCTGCGCTTCGACTCGGTGGGCATCTTGGGTGTACATCGTGGTGAAGATCAAGCCACTACCCGGAAAGTAATGGCCAAGAGTCAGAGATTGCCAGGTGTTGTAGTACGCGCGCTCGACTGGGCTGGCGTAGATGATGTTTTCCACGTCCAGCGGCCAGAAGAGCTCTGAAGCGTTGAATTGAAAGAATATCTTCGTGTAGCTGCAAGACATGTCAGCTTTTGTAAGTCAGGCGGGCATTGAGGACGCTTACATTCCCATGCCGAATCCTGAAATGGCGTCTTGTTTCCAGGCTGGAAGCGGTGGATCGAATCGAACGGGAGCATTGTACGGCTCAAGGGCGGCATGTTGAAGTACTCCGACCGAAAAGGTACTGACAGCATGTTTGGCTTGAAAGCATCGTCCATCTTCTGTGCTGAACGTGACCGAGTTATTTGATGCAGAGATTTTGTTGACGATGATGTTTAGTCTCAGACGGTTGTCGCCTGCACCCAAGAAAGTCCGCAGCTGTTGCTTGAGGACGAAGTTGTATCCACGTTGATCCCGTACGAACACGTCTGGTCCACCGAAGTCAGAATACGGATCTTCCTGTGGTTGCTGTCAGCATGATGAGAAAGCTTGCTTTCACTTGCGAGATATATCGTACAGCTTCTCCAAACGATCCGAAAGTGGACACAACACCAGGGCTCACAGCAGACCTGAAATCAAAACCAAACACCTCAGCAGCTTGGGCTTCCGGATCGCCTTCTGGATTCCACCCGGCTCTTCGGAGGGCACCTCGTAGGCTAATGTCTTTCTCGCCGGTCGCTTCGCCCGGGAACATAGGCTCATACGCCGCAGCCTGGGCGACATCGAACTGATCGGACAGCCCTGAAATGTTGAAATGACGCCCGTCATCGGTATAGCCTGTTATGTTCCTCTCTGTAAAGTTTGCATATTCAAGACCGTCGTTCAATGCGAGTTGATAAATGGGATTCCGTGGCTCATCTTGACCGTTGTTCTTGCCGATACCGTGGATCCAGTTTGCCCCCAGCTCAATCACATACGGACCACTTCCATCTGGTTTCTGTCCGAAAGTTGTGTGCTTCACACGGCCGCCGATATCATCGTTGTACTCCAAGATGATGAAGTTGCTGATACCCTGACTTGAGAGCGCTTTTGCGACGGAGATGCCTGCAGATCCAGCTCCTCTAATGTATTGTCAGCCTCGAATTTGCAAAATCGGAAAGGATATGAGCAGGTACAAGATGAGTACGTCGGTCCTCTCGCAGGCCAAAGGTGCAGCCGTGCTGATGCCGAGGAGACTGAACAGTGTCGACAGGGCGAATTCCATCTTCGTGACCTAGCTTGACTGCTGTACAGCATCTGCAGTTTCGCAGGCAATGCCATGTCTTTTATCCGCATCTCTGAAGATATCCGTGAACGATACCGCTGAACGTGGTGTCTCTTCAAGATGTCAATTTCGGGGAACCCGTTCAACAATGTCGTGGTCTTTCACTTGGCACTCATGCCGGTGCCCAGGTGAAGTAACGTGGGCAGTGGTGATGCAGACGATGTTGATGGTCCCCTACGACTGAACGAGCAGTTAAGCGACAGACAAGGGGTGGAAAGAGAGGCTTGTGGAACGGTGCCCAAGGTGGAAGTTGCATGCGAGCGGCTGACTGACGTTAGCGATCCCGGCCGCCGCCCCCGACCTCCTCCTTTAAGTCTGGGACGCCTGTAGGGCTAGACCGGGCAGCTTATCATGACTTCAGCTGGACATACTTCTCAAGAAGATGCTGCTGGCCATGGACTGTGATCTTTTGGCGATATACGAGGCAAGAAGATGGCAGAGAAGGGACTTTCAGACGACGCGGCCCAGTTGGCCAACCTCGGCCATGCACAGTCCTTTGAACGACAATTCTCGCGATGGACGATGCTGGGACTGGCTTTTGCCATTCTGAACACTTGGAGTGCGTTAGCTGCATCGCTCAACCTCGCTTTGCCATCGGGAGGTCCTGTGGCAGTGGGATGGGGCCTTGTCGTTGCCGGCGTCTTCAATCTGGCATTGGCGGCGAGTCTGGCAGAGTTTCTGTCCGCTTTTCCTACCGCTGGTGGTGCGTAAGCAGTTCGATGGTGGATCATCATGAGGAGAGCACTACTGGCTTACAGTCTCAGGCCAATACTATTGGGTAGCGATTTGTAGCCCGCCGTCGTTACGTGCTGGGATGTCGTGGATCACTGGCTGGGTCAATCTGTCTGGATGGGTAAGTAAAACCGAGAAGCATCAGGGCATTCTCAGGCTTTCACAATGAAGCTGACCCCACACCGGACAGGTCGCCTTGGTTGCCACAAACGCCTCGTAAGCTTGGCATCGAACAGAAAAGACTGCCGTGATTTGACATTGACCATTGCAGCATCTGCTCCACCTTGATCATCAACATCATCTACCTCATGCATCCGTCGTACGACTTCCACCGATGGCACCAGTTCCTCATTTATATCGGCATTACTCTGATCTTCTTCCTGAACAACGCCCTCTTGCAGCGAGTTCTGCCACAGTTGAACGGCTTTGCTATCTGCTGGTCACTCGTGGGATTTCTCGTGGTCTGCATTACGGTACTTGCATGCGCTGCTCCAGACTATGCCACTGGAGAGTATGTCTTTGCCACGTTTATCAACACAACTGGCTGGCCGGACGGTCCTGCGTGGCTACTCGGCCTTCTTCAGGGCAGCTTCAGTCTTACAGCGTTCGACGCTGTCGCCCACCTGAGCGAAGAGATCCCAAATCCGTCCGTCGAAGGCCCGAAGATCATGGTTTACTGTGTTTTGATCGGAATCGGCACTGGCTGGCTTTTCCAGGTCGTGTTGCTCTTTGTATCTGGAGGCCTGGTCAACTCTGAGGATGTCATCAATTCCCCAGCCGGGCCGTTGCTTCAAATCTCCTACATTGCAACAAGGAACAAAGCTGGTGCCGTGTGCCTACTGATACTCCCGCTCATGTGCTTCATCTTTGGCGGGACTGCGGTCATGACTACATCGTCTCGAATGACGTTCGCAGTGGCTCGAGACGGCATGCTCCCAGTGTCCGCTTTCTGGTGGAAGTTGAACCAGAAGTTGGGAGTTCCGCTCAATGCACTGTTTCTGAATGTGTTTGTGGTTATCGTGTTTGGCTGCATCTACCTGGGCTCGAACGTGGCGTTTAATGCCGTTACCGCTTCGTCAGTTGTAGCTTTGGGCATCAGCTATGCCTTGCCACCCGCAATGAATATGCTGTATCTACGACGCAAGCTCCCACCACGGCCTTTTGCGATGCCCGAATGGCTTGGATGGACTGCGAATATCCTCGGAGTCGGTACGTCCAGTCTTCCTAAGCCCTTGCACTCTCACCTACGGAAGCTGACCTGCGCTCCACAGCATATACCATCCTGACAACCGTGCTATTTCTGTTCCCACCTGGAGGCCGGTGACTGCGTCCAACATGAACTACTGCATCGTAGCATTCGGCATCATCATTCTTATTTCCGGCCTTCAATGGATCTTTGACGGGAGAAAGAACTATGCGGGACCAAGAATTACCGTCGACGAAGGAGTGGTAGCTGGTGGCGAGCCAAATCAGGGCAAAGAGCAACTTTCAAAAGCTCAATAGACACTCAAGAGCCTTGAGCCACACCTCACAAGGTTGGTTCTCAACCTAATGGAGAGTTTTTCTCGGCTAAACTTTCATCCACCCAGCCGAGTCGTATAACCGGGCTTGCGGTTGCTCCGGGGTACGAGTCGTACATCTCACAGCCTGGTCCCGAGTCATCCGCACTTTGTCGCCTTGCTCTGACTAAGGTCCTGGTAAATTGATGTCGCCCTCGGTTAACAGGTGACGCCGACGGATCACTGGACGATGTTGCCCCATTCGGCTGCAACTAAATAACGACTCTTATTCCACGGCTTTAGGCGTTTACTCCCTGCTGTTTCCTTTCTTGAATCGCAAGCACAACACATGTAGGTGTCATGGGAGCAAACATGAAGATGTTGACGAAGTGGCTTGCCATGCGGCCCCGAGGTTATATACTGACCTGTAGAGCACATTTGGAACGGCAGGTCCAGCTCTCAAAACATTCGTCAGTCCTCGAAATCTGAAATCATGCCGGGAGCACGATCGAAGCCGTATCAGCCTTACAGAGATGTACACGCCAGTCCTCAGGGAGCTGGCGATGCCCGCCCGACTGGAACACAAATTGTCAAAGACTGTGATTTGGTCGGGAAGTTGAAGGGCAAGACCATTCTAATCACCGGTGCGAACTCTGGAATCGGCGTCACGACAGCAAAAGCGTTGCACCTTACCGGGGCAAAGTTGTTCTTGACTGCCAGGGATGTGAGCAAGCTCGACAAGATCATCGAGGAGATCGTCAGAGAGAACCCCAACTTGCCTGTCCCGGAAGCAATTGAGTTGCACCTGAACTCGCTGGACAGCGTCCGCAAAGCTGCGAAGGCCATCGAGAGCAAGACGGCAACCCTCGACATCTTGATTTGCAATGCTGGAATCATGGCGGTTCCGTACTCTTTGACAGAGGATGGTCTGGAAAGCCAGATTGGCGTGAACCACTTCGCTCATTTCCTGCTGTTCCAGCCTCTTCGACCATTGATGCAGAAGGCGGCCGAGAAATCCAAAGTTCCATCCAGAGTCGTCAGCGTGAGCTCATCAGGCCATTGGTTCAGCGGCGGCCGTTTCGAAGACCTTCATTCCAAGCGCCACCCAATGACTTACAACAAATGGCAAACATACGGACAGAGCAAGACGGCCAACATCTACATGTGCAACTCCATCACCCGCCACTATGCTTCCCAGGGCATTATCGGCTTGTCGCTCAACCCAGGGGTCATCGCCACGAATCTCGGCAGACATTTGACGGAAAGCGATCATGGAGATTTTAGTTTCACTCCGGAGCTCATCAATGCATTCAAGACTCCTGAGCAGGGTGCTGCTACGACCGTGTGGGCGGCTCTGAGTCCGCATTTTGAAGATGTTGAGAATGGGGGGAGGTACTTGGCGGATTGTGGTGAGAGTGAACCGACGAAGCCTGGTGCTCATGCTGCTGATACAGGATATGATCCACATGCGTATGATGAGGAGAAAGAAGAGAAGTTATGGGAGTTGAGCTTGAAAACCGTTGGGTTGTGAGCATACAACATTTGCATTGGATATTCGAGGAAATACAGAATGCTCCTCGGACAACAGGCTTCCACTATCTGGATCCCCTCTACTTCACTTCCTCAAGCTTGCTAGTGAGTCTAAGAATTTCTCCTGGCCCTGATCGGGTTGATCAATGTAGGTTTCATGACTATGTCCGTGAATCAGTTCCAACCGGGAGTTCTTGGCCGCGTTTGCAAGTTTCTTCCGATCGTCAATGGGCACCAGAGCACTGTTGGCAGGTGTCAGAAGTAGGCAAGGAGTGTCTTCGATCTTATCCATGATCGGATGGGAGTTGGCCTCTTTGAGCGGACAGTCGCTGCGTAAGCTGCAAGACCATCTTCACTCGGGAGTGAGAACTGCTCGAGATGCCACTGCTGAAAGCCTTTGTCAGATTCCTGATCGGTCGTAGAGAGCAAAGAGAACTTCTCACCCCATCCTTGCGCACCAAGTCCATAGATAGACTTGACACAGTCTGGGTGCCCGAAAGCCAACGTCTTCTGGGCTTCCTCTGGCAGGCACAGTGGGCTTTCTCGATTTTGAGCTGGTCGAGTGTGTCTACGAGTTCGTCCAGGACGTCGTCGAGGTACTGTTGTGGCCTTTTGGCGGTCCGCTGAAATATCTGTGCCCCAAGGATCTCGTCGGATCACACGGTACTTTGTGGCAAGGACGGGCACCCATATGTACCAGAAGGCGGATGATCGGCCGAAATTGTGCTGAATGAGGACTGCCTCAGCTGGCTTCCCGCAGTCAAGTCAGCATTCCTAAAATGCCCAGTACTCAACAAACGAACAACCTTCTCCATGTACTACGTACCAGGGATCAACAAAGTTGTTCTCACGATGAATTGTCTCGACACCCGAAAGATGTGTGATGTACGGTATTCTGGGGACCCAGGATTCGGATTCACTGCCTTAAACGTGGAATTACTGAAGGTAGAAGATATTTCTATTATACAGCAAACATACTGCCAGTCATATGTCAGGAAGTCCTCCGCTACGCTCCTGACGTTCAATCACACAACGAACATCGATGTCATCATGGCCGATTTCACGGCGCAGAAGTTTTCCGCCTGAAAACCATGGTCCCGCGAATATTGTATTACGACCAGCCTCAGAGTTCCATTAGTAGTACGACCAGAGCTATGGAGTTTTAGAACATTCTTCTTGTGACTGATCCCGATGGGAATGTTGTTGAGCTTGTTGAGACTGAGTGACGAGCCAACTAGCGAGCTGTACGCGAACTGTGTGGCAAAATTAGATGTAATTTACCAGACTGTTTCATACTGTAATGGCTTCTTTCATCTTCCCGCAGCACTAGCACATCGAACGATCAGGCAACCCTTCGATCAGGCTGCCTCTTACCGTATCCAGGCAGTTTCGCCGATTCGGCGGAGACGGACCGACTCCAGACTTGGACGCCGTCGTTTGCCGAGCCGCTTGTCTGCAGGTCGAGCAACGAGCTGAGACATCATTGCTTCAATTTCCTTCAAGTACGTCAAGCGTGAACACAAACTCCCAAAGCGTCGGTCTTATGATGGACTCATTTTCACACTTTTCTCCATGCACTCTCCGCGCAAAACCGGTCGACAGAATGTATCTCTATAAGTATCCGAGGAGTGGAAGCGCAACTGCATTCCCTGGCGAGCACTTCTACTTCAAGACTGCATTAAGATGGGTCTGCAATCGTCACTGAGACTGTTAACAGCCGGCTGTCTGACCACGGCATTGGCTCAATTCCCAGCCCATGAGAATATCCCGCCCAGTGTGGACTTCAATAGCCTGGCCAACAACTCGCTGTACCTACGATGGCGACCCCAATACCACGTCCTCGCACCAAATGGCCACATGAACGACCCTTGCGGGCCAATGTATGATCCGACGCGAGATGAATACCACATATTTTACCAAGCTTTCCCACAGCACACTCAATTCGGGAACACGAGCTGGGGCCATGCCAAGTCGAAGGATCTCGTGTATTGGACTGATGTCGGCGGATGGGAGAACAAAGGCTTCTTGGCTATCGAACCAAGCAACTACAGCGTTCCATCATATGACTGGCTAGGTGCCTTCTCTGGAGGTGCTTACGCCGTGAACTTGAAAGGCGAGGCTGATGGCAACCTCACACTGATGTACTCCGGTGATGTACTCTTACCTGACAACTGGCAAAGGCCTTACGAGCTGGGCCCGCCTTACGCCACAGAGACTCAGAACATAGCAACGTCCTCCGACGGAGGTCAAACTTGGCAGAAGTGGGAAGGAAACCCACGGTTGAACGGACAGCCCGGCGGTTGGAATGTTACTGGCCTTCGTGATCCCGTCTTTGCGCCGAATGCAAAGCTCGATAAGATCCTTGGGCACAACTCCTCGAAATGGTACCTCGTGATGGGAAGTGGGATCAGAGACGTTGGTCCTCGAATTCCTCTTTTCTCGGCAGACTCACACGACTTGACGAACTGGACATTCGAAGGTGCTCTTTGGGAGCCTGCTATCAATACCTCCTTTGGCGGTGACCGAACAAAGACAGGAAACTACGGCGCCAATTTTGAGCTGGCTGGATTCTACGACGAGGTGGAGAAGGTTGAGAATGGAGGCGATGGCGAGACAACGCACTGGATCGTCAGCTTCGGTGCAGAGGGCTATGCAGACGAATGGCATCCGCTCGCTCACTGGAGTCTTTTCGTTCTGGGAGACGTTCACCCACGTGGGAATGGGTCTGCTGAATTTGAGACCAAGGCTTCCGGTGTTCTCGACTGGGGCAACTCCTATGCTATGAATGCTTTCCACGATACGAAACATGATCGACGAGTGCTGTGGGGTTGGAGCGATGAAGATCTCAACAACACTGCTGCTGTTGTCCAGCAGGGCTATCAGGGATCTTTGGGTCTGCCACGAGAGCTGTACATCAAGAAGTTCCATGGCGTGCATGCCCCTATCAAAAACGTGGTTAAGGGTCCAGAGATTTGGCAAAACTCCTCGCAGAATGGAACATACAGTGTCGTCACAGTCGCTCAGCGGCCACTTCCGGAGGTTGTTAATGCCATTGAGGGTGAAAAGCACTGTCTCGTTTCCAGGTCAGAGATCGTAACCCGCCGACAAGACCTGCCGCAGGTCAACAGCTCGCATTTCCACCTTCAGACCACGATCGGAAAGGCGCCATCCACCGGCAAAGATGACTTTCTCGGAGTACAGCTTCGAGCATCGCCGAATCAGGGAGAATATACTGAGGTCCGCTACTACGCATTCAACTCTTCTGTGGTCCTTGACCGTACACACTCGACACTGCTCGCAGCATCCCATCCCGACATCGGAACAGCCACCTTCGTCGGCCACTTCGAGCCCTTTACCTACGCCAACGGGACAGAGAACATCGTGATGGATTTCTTTGTCGACGGGAGCCTTCTGGAAATCTTCATCAACGATCGCTTCGCTATGACGAGCAGAATCTACCCAAGCCGTGCCGACGCTCTTGGAGCAGCTTTAGTTGTGAAAGGAGAGGCTCAAATCGAGAATGTCAGCTTGTGGGAAATGGAAGCGAATGTCTGGCCTGAGCGGCCATTGAATGCCAGCTCGCCCATGATGTTCGATCCGTACTATGAGACGCACATCACGTTTGAGAACCCGTACTTACCGACAGGGTATGAGTTGTATGTGGGCTACTAGGCACGCTGGAGTGAGCAAGCATAGAATAAATAAATCATCAAATATCTCTTCCACAACCGAGTTGCTTGAAATGACAGATCACTGCGAGTGAGAGCGAGGGCAATGGAGATTTCGTAGATGGAAGCTATCTCGACCATGTTCATGCTGCCTGTCTTTAACTGTCCAAATAACTTTCCAATTGTATCTTGACTGCTCTGGGGCCCATCGAATTGCAGACGCTAAAATGTTATTGCACCACTTTGCATGAAAGAATTGAAGTAATCGATAATGACTTCTGTTGCGTTGAAAACATAATGGCCCATTGGACACTTGGTGAGGTTCCGCGTGGCATTCGTGGACGGACAATCGGTGTTTGGATAAAGGCTAGCCCAGACATGACCAAGATCGTTCTCCTTGTAGTGGATAATGTTGACGGATCCAGGGCCGCCAAACACACATTGAGTCACGTATCCGCCATATAGAGTTGTGTTGACTACATCGACTTTGCCATTGGAGTCGGCCAAGCTGTTGATCTTGAACCATTTGCGAAGCCAGTCGTCAATCCCGAACGTTCCAGTATATGTTACCGGCTTCGGAAGCTCTCCTGCTGAGGAATATTCCAGTTTTGGAGGTTTGCCATTGTAAGGGATGGTCGTGTCATTGAGCCCGTGGAAACTTAGGAAGGGGACATCTCGAGCCGGATCGCCGTCGATAGCCAGCTTGTCTTCGTAATAAGCGCCACTGACTGATGCGAATGCTGTGAACATTGATGCAGTCGTGAAGTTACACGCGAGCAGGTTCACCAGTCCTCCACCATTGCTCTTGCCTGTCGCGAATATGGAGGAGGTATCAATACAGATTCTCATCGAGCCAGTTGAGGATGTCGATAACAAAATCGATGTCGTTGGGAGACGCTTCCGCTACACCAGGATGGGATAACCAGTAGCCGATCTGATAGTCTGCGTCGGTGTCCCCGGTATCGTCGTCGTCGTCGTCGTCGTCGTCGGAGCTGGGCCGTGGTGCCCCTTGCGGATAAACGGAGATGCCTTGCCAATTGTAGTATGGGTTGGTGAGTTGCGTAAGATCCTCTTGCCAGGTTGCGTTCCTAGCACCGCCATGGAACGAGAAGACAGCGGGATGCATGTTGTAGCCGTTGTAGAATTGGGGCAGGTAGTAGATGAAGTTCCGCCCAGAAGGCAGCGTGACATTGTTGAGAGTCAGAGTAGGGCCGACGCCAGGGGGAAAAGAACCGTCACAATTATTGGCGGTAGCAAAGACAATGAAAGACACCGCTATCAACGTAATGTTCACCAACATGTTGGTCAACATACTGCCTTGCTTTCTTGCTGATTCTGGGATCTACAAGTGCGCATGGCCCGCCAGGGAGCGAACTTATAAACTAAGAGGGCTTCTAATTTCAGGTATTCAAAGACAAAGGCTCACATTGTGGTGGTGGGACTATACGCTGGTGGCGTTACCTTGAAAGTTTAGACGCAGAACGTAGCAGTCAGGCTTTAGGAGTAAGCACAACCTTGACAGGAGCAATTGCAGAGCACCACTATTGGCTGCCTGCAAGTAAGACACGTGCTTTTGAAGCACCAGGCCGGATAGTGAGATACAGTTCAATAGTTTCAAAACCCATTGCTACGCCTTGCAGCTGCCCTAGTCCGCCATAACGCATGATGCTCGCAACATTGTCTCTATACGCCATAAAATGCCCTAACATTGCAGAAGCAACACTACTATTCCTTCCACAATGCCATATTTGATACTTTGCACCCAGTTCCAAGCCTCTGTCTCACAGCTCTTCCACTAGCAACGACACGAGTTGAGCATCCAGAGGCAACGTTACTTTTGGTGGTTTGTCAGGTGGCGGCGTGAATTGAAAGATGTCTCGTTTGGGATGTCACCATGACTGTAACCAGAATGTCAAGGAGTATAGTGCGAGAGCTTCTCGACGCAAAATATGACCTCCAAAAAAGATTGAACCCATGCATATAAGACCCCGTGAGTCTGTCAAAGACGATGCTATCGCAGCAAGAAGAGACAAGGTCTACTTTGTCTTCACGTTCTCCTTTTCTGTGGTATTTCAGGACACATTTCCCGACAAGGACCTCCTGCTCACAATGCGGCTATGCAGCGTATCTCTTATTTTGAACTTTGTTGTCCACGGAAGCTGGGCTAGCTTACCACATCAAACCCCTGACGACAGAAGAACTGTTCCCGCACCGCTGATTTGTGAGAACTTTACGGACACTGCATCGGACATCTACAAAGTGAAGTTTCATGCCAATCACACCCTGGAAGGCCATGTAAGACATACCGGCATCAACGTCACCACGTTCGAGAGGTTCCTAGAGACGACTGTTCCGCTCGGATACATTGCCAAAATCGACCGAGACACCCTCGACAACTTCATTCGACTCGACCCAGGGGTAATTGAAGTCATATGCGATCGATACGTGAGCATCACTTTCAGTCCGCTCCTTGGCGATTCCAACTTTGAAAGCAACGCAACCCAGCATCTGGACAAGCGTTGGTCGATTACGACAAAGCGCGGCTCCGCCTCGTACGCTCTACAAATGATGGCTTCTGGCCACAAGATATCTACACCAGTAAATGATATGGGTGACTACGACTTTTTAGACACGGCTGTACAGGGTGTTGACATATATGTGCTGGACGGAGGGGTGTGCCTTGCTCACAGCACGTTCGGTGGCCGCGCTTCCAAAATCAGAGGCTTGGCTCCAACTGATCCAAATCCATACGGTCCGGGCGATATGCAGGATACCGTGGGTCACGGCACTGCAGTTGCCAGTTTTGCCGCAGGCGACACAACTGGAATTGCACCTTTTGCGAGAATCATCAGCATCAAGATTGACCCAAGTAATTTTACAGAAGGCAGCGTTGTCCAAGCGATCCAGGACATGATCAGCAACCACAGATCCAAATTCACCACGGCCGGGTTCCGAGGATCTGTCCTTAACATGTCCTTCATCCTCTTCTACAGCTTCCAGGACATTAACGACGCCTTGAATGACGCCGCCGCTGCAGGTATTAGCATGTTTTCGGCTTCTGGTAACCAAGGTGCGGATCTAGATCAACATCCGGTCTGGCCATGCACATTAGCCAATGTGAACTGCATCGGCGGCACCGACAACAATTACACATTTTGGCCTTCCACGAACCGCGGAAGGGACGTTGCTTTTCTGGCTCCGGCGAAAGATGTCTATGTTGCTTTGCCAGGGAGCCCGAACAATTTCGGGTTTCGCAGTGGCACCTCCCTTGCGACTCCACTGACTAGCGGTACGGCAGCAATATTCACATCTGTAGGGACTGTTCTTGCACCGTGATGGGCACCGAGCTGACAATACGCATAGTGGCTAGGTCTGGCAAATAACCAGGCCCAGGCTTATGTGCGATCCAATGTGCAAGTCAATTTCATATCTGGGGTGCCGGTGGGCGGAGCAGGTTACTTCGTCAACACCGCAATTAACGATGTCTGGAAGAACGCGGACGAGCCGTTCAGGCGTGCTGGAAACATGCCACACCAGGGATTACCAACAGCCAACGTGTTCAACGCCGAATCAAACGGGTTCTGTTGTGATCAGCCTCCAGTAGTACCACCTGAAGGCCCATCTGACCGTCCAGTCACATTGACTCCGATCCCAGACAGCACAAGTACGTTCGGGAGCTGGATAAAATCTTCAATGCTTACAGTTGGCAGCAATCGAAACAGTCGCTACGCCGACTAATACCAAAGACTCTACCCTGAACGATAACTGGACAATCGCTACGGCAACCACAACGGCATCGTCCTAGACTAGCGACATGCTCTCGTCGAATCCAACTTCTGCAACTGCAAGCCAATCTTGTCAAATAAATCGAAAGCAATATATTCAACCTCGTTTTCGGGGCTGATATTACCAATTCGCACCTTCTAGTCTCTCAGCCCGCCGACCTGTGCCGCCCGATCCATAGTAGATAATGATGATCTGGAGTCTAGGGCGCAATGATTGTTGCGAAGAAAAGAACAGAATTATGAAGGCTGTTTGGCCCTGTCGTTAGTTAGGTGACCGTTCATGCTTGAAGTAAACTGCTTGACCTCACATAATTGGCAGCTTCGAGGAGTGCTGCTGGTGTTCGTTCGTTCGCTGCTTGGCTGCCATGAGAATAGCCGGGTCCGGTGACGACGAGAAAAAGCACCGAGAGCAGAGTCATAGCGACAATAGGCGGGCTTCCAGTAAATTTCGATCTGGAAAACGGGTGTCTGGCACGACGATCACATTCGATTCTCAGATTCGAGATAATGAAATAGGCTCCTAGAAGCAGGCTTCTAGCACCGTTCTGTGGAAATGTTGCATGCCCAACCGGTCATGGCCAAGCTCTGTGGCTCGTCCGTTGTTCTCTGCGGGCACAAAAAGCAATACTCCGTCTTCAATTATTGATAAATAGAGAAACTCCAGCAGAACCAAGTTAAAAACCGTACTCTTCGACCCCACGCGGCAGTGGACGCACTGCTTCAATCATGGGGCTGAAAGATTCGGAAGCAATGTAGCAAAAAGGGGTCAGGCCAGCAGCGCTCTTGTTGACTGCATCTGGGTATTGCTCGCTCGAGCTGAACCGGGTCAGCTGCGGCTAGTAATGACCTTCTCCAAAGAACAGACCCAAACTTGTTCGTTGCGACGTTCGCTTCTAGATTTTTACTGGAAGCACTGCTGTTGGGGATCGATAAATTTGCCGCGTAAGCTACGTCTTCTTTTGAGGTAGATAACCAACACTTCGCAATACTACACTGATATGCAAACCTCTATGAACAAGGTGCAAGGTCTCTTCCCAGACCTGCCTTATGTTAAACTGATTCCGGCACATCGACATCCCTCATTCAACTACAAGGGTTTCCACCCAGGCCGCACGATTCTCAACAAAGGTCATGTCCGAGAAGCGGGTCTTAGAACTTTCCCGACAGATGTGATCTTCGAACATGATCAGACCGTTACGCTGAGAGATGGGATCAAGCTTTACGCTGATATTTTCCGTCCTCTACAGTCGGACACGGACGCTGTGCCAGTCATCATCGCTTGGTCTCCATATGGCAAATCGGGGACTGGAGCGCATAACTACGACAACATGATCCCCTTCAGAGCTGGCTATTCGAAGGACAAATGGTCGGGATATCAGAAGTTTGAGGTAGGTGTCAAGATATAGATTTTGATCAAGCTTACACTCGGCGTTGCTAGGCCCCCGACCCGGCTGAGTGGTGTCAGAGAGGTTACGCGGTTCTGAATATCGACTCGCGTGGGTCTGGAGTATCAGAGGGCGACCTGGCGATCTACGGACTACAGGAGGCTGAGGACATCTTTGACACGATAGACTTCATCTCAAAACAGCCGTGGTGCAACGGTTCTGTTTGCATGGCGGGCAACTCGTGGCTGGCAATCTCGCAGATCAATTTTGCGGCCCGACTTTCGCATCCTGCTCTCAAAGCATTTGCTCCGTGGGAGGGTTTCACAGACTACTATCGGGAGAGGATCGCAAGAGGAAGCATACCATATCTTCCCCTTTTCCAAAAGAGTCTTGCTGGGTCACTAGCAGGTACGAGCCCCTCGACGATCTCGAGGGAAATGGTACTGACTGCGAAACATGTCCTGGTTCGATCGAAGGGGCCTCGTCAATGTTAGTCTCCAGGCCACTGTATGATGAGTTCTGGGAGACTAAGCGAATCCCGGTCGAGAACATTGATCATATTCCCTTGTACCTCGTGGCATCCTATTCGTTCGTACCTCTGCTGGGGCCAGTGCAGCGGCAACCACGCTGACTTTCTCAGTTCGCTACTCCATTCTCATGGGTCATTCACTACATTCCGAGACGCCAAGACCGGTCTTAAATGGCTGCGTATTCATCCATATCAAGAATGTCGGGCGACAACTCCCAATGTGTAAATACCACGGTGAGACTGACTCAGAAACAGGGCACGACCAATATCGTCCGGAGATTTTAGATGATCTCCAGAAGTTCTTCGACAGATACTGCAAAGGAATATTGAACAGCTGGGAGAATGATACGCCTCGCGTCAGACTCTCGTTGCTGGGTTTCGAGGAGGATGGGGGCCTAGCAAGTACAATAGTGGAGCGACCCGAGAGAGAATACCCATTGGCACGCGAGATGATGCAAGTACTTTTCCTCGACGCTTCTGACATGAGTATGAAGCCGAGAGTGCCCTCTTTGGGAGTGCATTGCGCCTATGAAGCACACGGTATGCACGAGGCTGTCGTAAGTGGAAGAATTATTGCAAAGCAAGTGTGCGTCACTAAACAGAGGAATAGGAGTTCAGCGCATGCTTCGACACATACACAGAAATTGCCGGCTACCCCAAACTAAAAGTATTTGTATCTTGCGCAGACCACGATGATATGGATGTCGTGTGCCAGCTCCGGAAAGTCAACAGCAAGGGGGAGGCTTTGGAGCAGCCGACATTTCCACACCCATCACCAGTGAGACAAAGACCGGACTTGAATACCGCAAAAATTCTTGGACCACAGGGCTTTCTCAGAGCATCGCACGCTATTTCTCGCAACGACAGCAACACCATTGGGAATGACATATTTTACGAGCACAATCGAAAGCAAGCAGTACAAAGAGGCGAGATTGTAGAGCTGGAGATCCCCATCTGGCCTGTCGGATTTGTCTTGGCCCCTGGTGAAGGCATCATGCTTCGCATTTCTGGACAGGATATGAGTTTGCCAGAGCTCCCGGACTGCGTTGCTACGGAGCCATGGGACCACAACGTGGGACGGCACTCAGTCTTCACGGGAGCACAGTACGCAAGCGCCCTCACATTGCCGATAGTTCAGCAAATTGCTCGGTCCGCTCTATAGTGAGGATCCAAAATTGAAAGCCAAAACTCTCTCACGTAGATGAAGTTGCTTGATGATAGATGCGCATGTTATAACTCTTCTAGCAGAGTGGAGGCAGTTTTATTCAATCTGTGTTTTCTGACAGTCGGAGATGAGAACGCAGAATACTTCCAAGACGTACCCGTTGAGGCTGGACTTCGGGCACATCAGTACTGATACAAGTATAGGGTGCCACGACTAGTAGGAAATTTGGTAGTCGGCGTCGGTACCGTAGATATCGCCGTTGTTGTCCTCATCAGAGCTAGTTCGTACTGCTCCATGTCTGCGAATAGACCTAAGTTGCCGGTTGAAGTAGCGCTTGTGAAGCAGCGTGAGATTGTCTTGCTCAATTGCATCCTTGCCAGGATGATAGAAGGAATGTGTGCACACCATAACCACTGTGGGACGATGCCGCACATGTCGGCCTCAGGAACCAATTAATGGCCAGTCTTCTACGAAATCAACATCTGGGGGCAGCCATCACAGCATGCTCCTGGTAGACAGAACGGCAAATTCCACTGGCGGGCCCGTTTACGTAGTATAGCGTTTCATCACATTCACTCGCTTGGAGGTCTTGCCGCTTGAGGTTAGGACGGCGTCCGGGGAAGGAAGCGAGCACTGCAGTAGTTCGGGCTGCAGTACGAAACAAATCGAACCCACTGCTTGGGCGTCTGGGGTCAGAGCATCGCTATCCTGGTCATCGGTTACAAGCTGTATGCTGCTCTCGGGCGAGTGGGATCTTCTACAAGCATCAGCGTTCGACGAGAACGGCTGTGGCGTCTTACGCTCGCGTGCATTTCATCCGAGGCGCCGAGGATGCTCAGGACAAAAGGCAGTATGCCGGGAATCCGAATAAAACGCCTCTAGAGCTCTGTAGAAAGTTTTGGATGCGCTCTTGACTCGTACATATCTCCTATCTGCCATAATGTAGCAGGAAATGCCGAACATACCTATCACAGCACACAAGACCACTGGAAAAGGGAGGCTGAAGTCAGAGTTTTATAAGGTTCAAACGGCCCAATCCTGCGGCAATTCTCCGGCTCTTGCCCGCTTTCGGGGCAAGGCTGAGATAGGGTAATAGATCGACAGGTACAAGTGGCATTCATGCCCAATGCGATCAGATGGGTTCGATTCAAGTCTGTAATCCATGTCCACGAGGAACTGCCGCTCCAAGGTGATCCCCCTTGCAGAAGTAGTGCTGATGTGTGGATGCGTTCTTTTGGAGACGGGTCGGTCGAGTCGTCTCCTTTGTGGCTGGAGTCAATGGTATATACAGAACGATAGCAGTAGGTCGCCGTGTGTCCACTTTGTAGTCTAGCATTTCATCAATGTGAGCCGTCGACAATGGCTGTCACGCCGGCAGGACGTGGACCGCAGGTCATGGGAGTCTTTCTTCTGTTCCTGGGGTTATCGAGCATCGCCACGGTTCTCCGGATCTACTGCCGGGTTTCTCTGCTCAAGTCGTTTCGCTCAGAAGATTGGCTGGCTGTACTTGCTTGGGTATGTTCGACAGTTCCATCAAGACATGCACCCAAGCTGACCGATCTGCTCCAGGCTTTCTTCGTGTGCCATGCCGCTTTCGCCATCAACGGTGTCTTCCATGGCACAGGTCAGCACTTCGCGGACATACACCCACAGTCTGAGATAGTTCTTGGCCTCAAGGTACGACACCTTACAGACTTGGAATCATTGGGATTCGCTGATCATGTTTAGTGGTGGTGGCTATGCGAGCCACTATATGTGCTGTCCAACATGGCCATCAAGGCAAGCATTGCCATCATGCTGCTGCGATTGATGGTTGCGACCTGGCACCGGATCGTAATCTACGCTGTCCTGATCGTCACCGAGCTTTTCAGCACCGCTTTCTTCTTTTTGTTCATCTTTCAATGCACGCCATCGTCATATTTCTGGATGCGGCTCGCTGGCGCAAAGGGATCTTGTCTCAACACATCGGTCATTGTTAACGGCGTCTACGCGTACTCGTCCATCTTGTGCGTCGGCGATTGGATCTTTTCTTTCTTGCCCTTCTGGATCGTATGGAAACTGGAGCTGGTGTCCAAAAAGGAGAAGGTCATGGTCGGTATTATCCTTGCCATGAGTGCTATGTGAGTATTAGTGTGAACGAATGATTTGTTGGGCGACTGTGGAACTGATTGTCATCTCCAGTGCCTCCATAGCCACCATCGCACGCATACCCTATATCCACACACTTTCCGACCAAGCGGACTTCCTATATGCTACGGCAGACGTTGCCATCTGGTCATGCTGCGAGACCGGACTCGCCATCACCGCATGTTCGTCTGCGACCCTACGACCTCTTTTCCGCCACCTACTCGATCGAACCAGACTATCGTCTTCACGCACATCGCGAGGTCTCGCGGACTTTCCTCCTGCATCGCCAATGCCCAACGGAAGTCGTCACACTCGCTTAGACAGCGAGGAACCGGTCCAGTTGTCCTATATACACCATACGAGCAAAAGTGATCATACCACAGACTTTGAGTCTGGCGAGACACTGGAGAAAGGGCATGCACATGGTCGTTACGATAGATAGCAGAGCTTTGAGTGGCGCCAGGCCAGGTTCTATGGCATTTATGGAAGGCGGTGGTGCAATGATGTACCCTATCTCTAGCCCGAACCAGCACTTTGAATCAAGTGGGACACAGTATCTGTCCGTTTGGAATGACTACGAACGAATCATCTCTCGATGCCAACTCCGTCCAGGCTTTAGAGATTTCATCGATCTCGGCATCACTGGCCAGGCCATGTTTCTTTGCCGTCGTGGCGAACCCGGAATACCGACTTCTGTCGGCCCATGCGGCTCCATAGTCTTTGGCGTTGTCCCGTTGGTATAGCCAGGTGTCCCAAGAGAAAGTCACGACCTTCGTATCGAATCCGGCCTGCTTCGCCCACTGCATCAGATATCTGCCAGCGTTCGGTTGTGCTCCATTGACTCTGGCAACTTCAAGATACACAGCCAGCCAGCGATCCAGAGCCTCAAGTTCCGGATAGAAAGCAAAGCTTTTGTAATCTACCTCTCGTGCTGCAACGACTCCTCCCGGCTTCGTGACACGCCGCATTTCCTCCAAGACCGCCACGGGGTCACCCACGTGCTGCAAGACTTGGTGACAGAAGGTGATGTCGAAGGTGGCGTCCTCGAATGGCAAAGCGTTTGCGTCAACTTTCTGGAAAGTGACGTTTGAGACGTTTTGCTCCCTTGCCAGACTCTCGGCTTGGACGAGGACTTCCTGCACTGCATCGCAGCCGATGACTTGCCCTTCGCTGGCCAGTTTTGCCAGGCCGGTCGTGATTGAGCCCGGTCCGCACCCGACGTCCAGGATGTGGTGATGGGGTTGTACATGTGGAATGAGGAAGCTGGCCGAGTTTTCGACCGTACGTCTCGCATGAGTTCTGACCACCGACTCGTGGTGTCCGTGGGAGTAAGTCGCCTTTTCTGATGCCATGTTCGTCTCTGTGTTGCTGACGATACAGAATATGAGATTGGTGGTGTATTAACAACGAGCATGTCTTTTGAAGCGCAACCTTTAAGTGAGGGCCTCCAAGGCCGATGTCGGAGGATCGCTCACATCGGACGCGAAAGGCTGCGATATGGCAGTACAGCCCAGCCACGAATCACCGCCCTATCATCCATCATCTCTGCTGGTGACTCAGACTTTGACTACACGTCATCTGTCTTGACCAGAGGACGGCGATGGCGGCCATGTTGCATCCATGGAGGCTCCGGCGGCTTGGATCTCAAGAGCGTCCGAATTTAACGACATCGGGGCATGAGTTTAGTCGAGATCAAGCGAGGATGCGATACTGAATGAACAAGTAAGGGCGGTGCAGCCTCAGATAGAGGTGTGGAGCAAGCGTGAACTCCTCAAACGGAGCATTTTGAGCTCCTTGCATGCCAGCTTGGACTTTTGCACCAGTACTCAAATCTGTCGAGTAGTCTCGAAGTACGTACTACCCCAGCATCTTTCATGGTTTATCGAGTCGGCTTCCAGGTGTTGAGTATGGGGTCTTTGAAGCACCGTCCTGCGTAATTGTGTATCGCTTTTGATAACAGGTCATACTGTTGTAGCAGCCTGCGAGATTTGAGTTTGCCTTGAAGTACATTGGGTCGATCCTGTGGCAAGTATCAGCAAAACCCGAACACCGCAGACGACTCGCTACCCCCAATTAACATACTTTCCACAGCAGCAGTCGAAACTGCTGTTCTCCAGATTCTGCCGCTCTGCATTACAGTCAGATACCACAGGCTGAGCTTTAGCCTCGTTACCCTTGACAAAACATTCCGCGTGAGTGGATGTGAGACGCCCCGAGTTTTTGAAGTACTCTCACTTAGCGCGATTGTTTCATCGTTTCCAGGTGTCGTTCTGGTGGTGTCCACAAGACTGTATCGACTTGACCGGGAGCTTTCCACAATGCAAGACTAGCTGCAATGATCTTGCCCTGAGCCAAAATGTGACGACGATCAAGCGGTAAACCCCTTCGACAAGCGGGACAGCGGAAACTGCGAAGGTCTCACTGAACATCGGATGTCTCTCTTCCTCACATCTCATTCTCACACCTCATCTAACGCGATCGGGAACTATCTATGCAAGTCAGCGCAAGTATCGCCCAAACTTTCATGGTGGGGACTGGCTTTGAGGCGAGCTTGTTCGAGATCATCTCGATTACGTTGAGCTTGAGCTACAGTATCTCTTACGAAGATAAGTTTAGAATCTCCAAGGCGAAATCGATTACGAGGAGCGAGAATGGATATATAATTTGATATGCAGCTCTGAAGTTTCTAGCGGTGAATGAGGTGGAAGCTTGGGCTCAGCCGGCGATTCTTCTACTGGGCCACAGACGGCCTGCTGGCCCTTGAGATTGTCTGATGCTAGCTAGAGCCTACAGATGTAGTACGTTCGTGACCGTGGACTGAGGCGACGGGCTTCGACTGGTCGGAGAAAAGTTCAGCCTGATTTAGAACTACAAGATCCCGCAAGCTGATAATGAGGCGTGCTTGAATTTGTTTGGTCTATCGGCGATTGGATGAGCCGTTCAACATGAGGTTGAAATGCATATCAAAGGCTCTGAGTTTGATAACAACACGCTTTCAGCTTGGATGTACATGTCGGTTTTGCGATTGGAAGCGCAAATCCGTGAAAACAGGAACGACTGCACCTACTCGATGATGCAACAAATACACAAAGCTATATCATGGAAAGCCACACAGGCCCCGGACGGCCTCCTGCTTGACCAATACCCATCTGACGAGTGCTCTTCTCCACTTGTACAAAATGACTGCATCTTGCCTAGTACTCTCGAGAGGCCCCAGGATCTCTGCAAAGATCCATACAGAAGCGTGAGCAGCTCGTTCGTCGACATCAGTCGAGATTTGTAACACCTGAAGGTAGGGCCCGGGATGGCCGTTGCGTAGCTGCAGCCACAGTGCCGAAAGACCATTGTGCACAAGCGTGTCGAAGCGGCTGGCGTTTATGATTTGGAGACTCGAGATTCTCGACCCCGTGGTAGTCCTGAGGTGGAATGAGGTGATGCGAGTCAAGTCTTGGATAGAGGACTCACTCAGCACTACAAGCTGAGTGGACGTTGACTCTTCGGGCGCCCTTGAAGTTGGCGCGATACTCGCTGAAGGGAGGAGCATTTGCAGTGACATTTGCTGTTGCATGTTGATGCGGTCCTAGAACGTCTCTCTTTCTTGCCCTGCGTGTAGATTGGGAAAGTCATTGCACTGGGTTGTCATTCCTTTGAAGAGTGACTTACCACGCTTGCGAAGACGTCAAGCTGAAAGCGGTAGCACCAGAGCCTTCTACCACCCACAGACAGCATTACTCATTTTACAAAGCAGCAGGCTGCGCGCAGGCTCGAGACTCTGCTTCCCAAAGGAGACCAATCTGTCTATTAGCCCAAAGCTTGTGATCCGCCATACTTCCATCTTAGTACTAGTGAGATATTGCGGCTGTCCTGAAGCAGAAGACTTATCGAAACGCTCAGCTCTGAGCCATCTCCGCTCTTCAACGTCTCGATATAACTTCTTCATCAGGGCATTCGTCCGTGGCCGAAGCCCTTCTCCAGCCTCAACCATGCTCAGTCATGGGTAAGCGTGCCCGAAGACGTGGATATGTTACGTCCGTCAAGGGATGCAAGACCTGCAAGTATGATCATAGCCTTTTGTAATGCACTCGTCAGATGCTATCTCGTTGCTTCCAGGGCGCGAAGGGTGAAGTGCGACGAACGACGGCCAACGTGTGCCAACTGTGAGAAGGGAGGCCGTGAGTGGGGAGGCTATCAGGCAAACGTACGGTTTGCAGAAACTGAGACGGTGAAAAGTCTCCAGTCACAGTGGGATGAGAGCATTAGCAGGACAAGCAGGATCCATGACAAGAGCGACGGATCAGGAGACGAGTATGAGCAGGCTCTGAAGCAGCGATGCTCCGTGATCCGAGTGGTAGCTGCAGAGCCCTCTCCAGCGTGTGCTCTCCCACCTTCTTTGCAGCCGCATCCAGACTATGTCGCCACATGCGCTTTTCTGAGCCATGTATTTTCTGCAAATGATGTGCTCATCCGGCAAGGAGAGCATAGATCGGGCGCCGATGTCCAGGATCCGGCAGTACTCTATGCCTTGCGAGCTTATGGTATGACGGTAGTGATCAACCAACGCGGACATATCGGCAACGATTATTCTAAGTGGGAGTATGGCCGAGCTGTCCAAGCCGTGCAAGACAGACTTGAGGACGAGAGTCGTGTGAGAGACGATAGCACTGCCTTTGCCGTCCTCCTGCTTTCCATTTACGAAAGCCTGCAACGAAACGCAACCTCGAGTGGCTCCAAGCCGCAGGTAGCAGCATGGAAAGCTCTCACTCGTGGAATGGAAACACTGCTCCAGCTTCGGGGATTTGACAGCCTTGCATGCCGTCCGGGGAGGGCCCTGTTTTTCACCTTGCGGCCTCTTATCGTGATGTGTTGTTTTTGGGACTCCCGCCCGGTTCCCGGCTTCCTCATCTCGTGGCCGAAAAGGATCAAACATGGATTCACGCCCAGTGCATGGCACGCCGAGCGATTGTATCAAGTCTGCGCCCGGTTGACCCGGCTTCTTGCCGAGATGAAGAGAGCCACAGCGGACTTCTTATTCCATTGGTGTGAAGCAATTGCGATTGGGGAGCAGATTCAGGCCTCGGCTCATGAATCCTACTTGATGGATGACTGGCAGTACCAAGCGGTTCACGAAGAACAAGAATTTGAGGGCGACTGCTTAAATGGGATGCTCCACCAGTATCGTACGTATCAGGGTCTCGCTGGATGGAACATGTACCGGATCATCCGCGCACGCCTTTCATCCGTGCATATGGCATGGTCTGGGCGCTGGTCTTCGCCGCAAATTCGATTGCTGCCAGTGATCCCCGGACAGTGGAGAGCGAGTATCGACTGTCCTGGGTCTTGAAAAGGCTGGGGTATCTGTCCAACAGCATGGGAATTGCCTGGGCTGGTCGAATGGCTACGTTTGTCGAATCATCTGTAGGAGCTTCAGAGAAGGGCATCAAGATGAGCCTCCCCTTGTTGTCGCCTCTTCGGCAAGCCCGTGGCGTGGAACAACACACAGGCTCACGCCCTTCCATCGCTGTTACGAACTCTATAGAGACCGAAGACGTGCACATCATTGACGCTTTCGACATAGCTTTCATATAACAGAAACACAGGTCAATATCAACAACTCAACAGATATGCCTTTGCTCCCTGCTACGGCCTGTATAGTGTACCCCAGTCGTCTGACTGGTCATGTCGAAGCCAGAGCAGGCTTCTTGTCATCTTCTGAGTAGTTCTTAGGCCACCGGATCATGATAGGGAGAGTGACGCCGCCGCAATCCACATAATCCACAATCTCGAATCCGAGCTTCTGATAGACAGGTGCACCGGCGTCGCTTGCTTCCAGGTACGCTGGAATGTTCAGCTCTGAGCAGCGATCGATGAACCATTGCACACACTTTGTGGCACCCCCTAAACGCCCAAAAACCGGATCTGTCGCCATCCACATCAAGACACCGTACGGTCTGCCTCCCATCCACTTCACACGGGCATCAAGAAGTGCCTCGAGTGAGTCCTTGGCTTGTTGCCGGATTTCCTTGTCCTCGACCCAGTCTGCAGTGAGAAAGTAGGCATGCGTCTTGTATTCGGCTTCGGTTCTCTCGCGATCGTAAATTCCACAATGCACGGATGAGATGATCGTCTCTTCGCCGGTCTTGTTATTGATATGGACGCATTTGATACTGAAGGCACAGCTCGGATACTTCTCCTCGTGCTCGTGTTTTGTCCTCAAGTGATGCTCTGCAGCTGCAGCACGGCCTTCGACAGTATCGATTTCGCCGGTGAGTTGATTGAAGCTGAATGCTTGGAATGCCGGGACAAGAATTTCCATCATTCGTGGGAAATCTTCATCGCGAGCAGGCTCAACCCGCAGACTGTACGCCATTGGGGCAGTGGATTCCGGGGAGCCTCGAATGGTATTGTTGGGTCTGCAGAGCTAGAGCTGGGAGTGTCGAGATCTTGTATGACCAGGTCTCGCGAAAGATGCGAGTGTCGAGGTCTGGCTCAGGGTATGCCGCGCCTTTTGAAGCTCAGCTCTCCTTCCAGCTGCGGGCGGCCGATGTATGCCGTGCTGACAGTTCCTGAGAAGCTACAGACGGCCAAGAGACTCCATCGTGAGCAATAGACTGCCCTAACTACCGAGCAGAGAGCTAGGGCACCTTCGTGTCTCTTGTTGCTAATCAAAGCCAAGTCGGCAAAACGCGGGTATGCTCGAACGTATTGCAGTAGCATTAGGCCTGCGGCTGTATCAGCAGAGAAAAAAGTCCGTCAGTGAAGGATCAATCTAGCAGGCGTCGCTCAGCACTGCTATCATGGTCTTGGAACGACATGCTTTTGGGCCTTATTTGCTTTGACCTCTATATCGCCATCCAACACGCAATTAGAATTGACCGAATCTCCAGCGAAATTCTCACGACGGTCGGGTCTACGACCTCCTTGGCCGAAATAGATAAATGGCCGTACTGGGCCCACAAGCATGAGTGCTCCTCGCAAGAGGGTCAATTCCGTACTAGTGAGGCAGAGTCCTTTGCTTCGGCCATGGGAGGCTTTTGAATCTCCAAGTGCTGTCACTGTGAAGGTTGAGTCGCTTGAAGAAATACCACCGCGAGTGAGCCATGGTCATTTGGAATTGAATGTTGGCTGTCGTCTGCAGCAAGCGGAGTCCTCAATCAGGCGTTTTGTGCGTGGCTCAGTATAGGCTGTCATGGAGACTGTGACAGGGCGACGGGCAGATCGTTTGACGACTGGTGGAGGACGTGCTAAGTTGTTACGTGATAAAATGAGCAAAGACCGTTCCACTCTCGTTTGGTCGATATTTATTAGAATAGGGAAATCCAGCGAAAGCTCGCACTTTGTCCAGTTTCGGCTCTACACCTATCGTTTCCGGAAGCATGTTTTCCGGAAGCATGTTTTCCGGAAGCATGTTTCCTTCACGAGATGAAGCGAGCAATCATGGCGGTCCCGGAGAGAAACCCATTGGCTGAGGCCCTCTGCCGCGAGAGATTTTTATTTCCATGGCTGCGTCCTTCATATCTGCGTGCTCGGCGTTCGGTGTTCGTTTGAATGACGCCCTTCAGAGACACCGCACTCTCCACTCTTCCCTCGAGATTCCGCTTCACGTTGTGATCCCTCCAGCGTGGATCCTCGAGCATCATTGTAACACCATGCCTTCAGTTCGAACATCCGAGCACAATGCCGCTGAGCTTCAGGAAGAAGGCGCTCAAGTCGGGCCGGTGCTCGAGGCGCCAGCGTCTACAGACGACAGCCTTGAATATCCGTCTGGGGTCAGATTAGGTTTCATCATCGTTGGACTCTTGCTATCGATGTTTCTTGGCGCACTGGATTCGACCATACTCGCTCAGGCAATCCCCAGCATCACCGAGTCCTTCCCCGGTGTCGCCAACATCGTATGGTACAGCACCGCATACTCGATCAGCAACACTGCGTTCAAGCTGGCATGGGGCCGAGCGTACCAAATGTACGCCATCAAACCCACATTCTTGGTGTCAATGGCGTTGTTTGAAGCCGGGAACATAGTCTGTGCTGTCGCGCGATCGGCTGCAGTGGTCATCATTGGAAGAATCGTTGCCGGGCTTGGAGGGGCTGGTCTCATGTGCGGCAGCTTCATCATATCGGCGAGGTGCGTCACAAAGAAGTATCGACCCATGATGATGGGCGTGACAAGTCTGGCTTTCGGCATATCGAGTGTGGCTGGGCCTGCTATGGGTGGTGCATTGGTCGACTCTCTGGGCTGGCGGTGGTGCTTTTGGTGGGTTGCTAGTTGATCTGTAGCTGTATTTCCCTCACTGACATTCTTGCAACTCAGGATCAATTTGCCACTTGGCGCGTTGGCTGCGGGTCTGATGATGGCATTTTACAAGAGGGCAAGTCAGGCTGTCTCAGGCCAGACTACGCTCTTGCAGCGTATCGAGAATATGGACCTTGGGGGCGCTGTGCTCGTCGGCGCATCGCTAGTGTGCTTTGTTCTCGCAATGCATTGGATAGGCACCCTCCCGTGGAGAAGCCCGCAGATCATTGGAAGCCTCGTTGGATTCGTTCTGCTCGCAGTCGTATTCGCAATCCACCAACGACTCATGGGACCCAAGGCCATGTTTCAACCCCGATTGCTCAAGAACCGAACCATTGCGGCGAGTTGCACATTTGCCTTTTTCTTCTCTGGAGTCCTCTTTCCGCTGGAATACATCTTGCCGATCCAATTCCAGGCTCTTGGTGGCGAGTCCGCGGCTGCCAGTGGTGTTCGGATCATACCACTTCTAGTGACTGTGAGTGTCTTCACTCTTGTTGCCAACGGCATCCTCACCCTCAGGCCAACGTTTTCTCCCCTGTTTGTGTTTGGCGCGCTGGCGGGTACCGCGGGGGCTATCGTAATGTACAAATTGGATGCACAAGCTGCCGCCAGGCAGTGGATTGGCGCCGAGATCCTCACCTCCATCGGCGTGGGTCTCGCGCTGCAACTGCCCATCATGGCCAATGTGGCTGCTGTTGGTACCGAGGACATCCCGATGGCGACCTCACTCGCGTTGTTCTTCGAGAACGTTGGGACGACCATTTTTGTATCTGCGAGTGACGCCGCTTTCACTGCTGGTCTCGTCGAGAGCATCGCACAAACGACATCCAGTGTAGACTTGCATGCGCTGATCAACGCTGGGGCAACAAGTCTGCGCACGACATTTCCAGCAGCGCAGTTGTCGGCAGTCCTAGGTGCGTATGAAGAGGGCTCTAGGCAGAGTCATCTCGTGCCAGTCGCTTGCGGCAGTGCTGCGTTGCTGGTTGCCATTACCAGTGCCCTGCCATCAGCTATTAAGGGGCTGCGGAAGTATGCATCCGGTCGAGAGAGGCTCTCGCAGCGTGTGCATGTGAGTTAGAGTACACGAGGATCCACTTCCTCTTTAGGATATCAAGGCTTTAGATCCAAAAGCACTAGGCTGCGACTGTGGCGGCTCGGCGGGCATCTACCGTAACAAGGCGTTTTGGTAGGGTTCTTCGAAGGCAATATGCCTCTGTTTTGTGAAAACTTCATTCGTCGCTAACAATGCCCTATCGGTAGATGGAAGCGATGGCTCCACATGACCAATGATCGGCGCCATGGAAGGCTGTGGGCCCCGGCACCCGGCCGCTTGCCTTTTGAGGACGTACATCTATACTGGTTCTTGCTCGAGCGAATCTCTTTTGCATTTCCTCATCGCCGCCATTGCACATCGCAGTGGCTTCATCCAACGCCCCTATGCCGGCCACCCGCTCCAAGGAGGTACCGATGCGGGTACTTTCGCTCGGGATGTCAAGGACAGGAACAGCATGTGAGTAGTTTGTCGGGTGGACGAGCAGTGCAAAAGCATAAAATTGACCTGCGCACAGCAATGAAAGCAGCACTCCAGATTCTCGGACACAAGAATGTCCACCACGGCTATGAGCTCTACGTCCATCCTGAACAGTGCGACTCCTGGAGACGAGCGTGGGATGCCAAAGCCAAGCCAAATTCCTCGGCTCCATTCACAGCCAGAGACTGGGACGAGCTGCTAGGGCCATACAGCGCCGTCACCGATATGCCAGCTGCCTGCTTTGGCCCCGAGCTGATTGCTGCATATCCAGAAGCCAAAGTCATCCTCTCCGTGCGAGATGTGGATGCATGGTACGAGTCCTTTAACACGGGCGTCATCGAAACCTTCTGGGACAATCAACACATTACAGGCGCAATGACATGGCTGGACCCAGAGCTGATCCGCCCGGTGCATCAAATGTGGCATCGACTGTTCGGCGATGCTGATGGCTACTTCGCGGCTACAAACAGGGAGGAAATGCAGAGAAACTCGAAGGCTGTGTACGAACGACACAACTCTGAGATTTTGAAAGTCTGTCCGTCAGAGAAGAGGTTGAGATTCGAGGTGAAGGATGGATGGGAGCCCCTGTGTGGCTTTCTGGGGGTGCCGGTGCCGGATCAGCCGTTTCCCAGAGTGAACGAAGGAGAGGCCGTCAAGGAAGTGGTCGCGACATACATGCGGCGAAGTATGACGAAAGTCGGTCGAAACCTCGCTATTGGGGTGGTAGTACTTGGGCTTTCAATCCAGGGGCTAAGGATGGTAATGGCAGGATGAATGCCGGAAGCATTGTTGCAGGCCGGCAAGCAGCTTAGTTGCATAAGTGTTCATCAACGGAAGCGCCAATAGTAGAAAAGTCGTACGAATCGATGACGTTTGTGGCCATGGCCTTCGTGCCCGTAGACTGCCTTGGCCAGGACTTCAGTTGGCAGATCTCCCTCCCAGGTATGTTGACGATGGCGATGAAAGGGAGCTTTGCACCGTGTTCGCATGTATAGATACTCTCCAAACCTGAGATCGAGATACGCAACGTTCTAAACTGTCCAGGTAATAGTTTTGGTGGTCAGGAACTCTTCGAAGCCGTAGTTTCCACCAAATCTTCTAAAGCCTGACGCCTGGGGAAGGATCATGTCAGCGGAAGTCGACGAAAAAACATCGCATCGAACATTACCTTCACCCCTCCATGCGGCAGCGTTGCTTCGTCGTGGATGGTCATGGTGTTGATGTGCGTTGCCCCGGCTTCGATGCGGTTGGCGATTGTAAGGGCGTGGTTGAGGTCCTCTGAGAATACCTGCTCGTGTTAGAACTCTCTCGCTAGTTGTTACCAACAGGAATACATACCGAGCTAGACAGACCAAAAGCAGTGTCGTTGGCCAACTCAACCGCTTCGTCATCGGTGTCCACAACGAAGATGCTTGCAGATGGCCCGAAAGACTCGGTGTAGTACAGATCAGCGTTCTTCGGGACGTCAACCGTGATCAATGGAGTCATGGCGCATGTCTCATCATCCAGAGACCGCTCATCCCCATAAGCCAGTCGAGCTCCTTTCCTCAAGGCGTCTCGTATCAGACCACGAATCTTCTTGGCCCCTTGCACGCTATAGACGAATTGTTGCTGGCTAAAGTCTTTCTCGATTACTTCTTGAAGAGCTTTCACGAAGCCATGGGCAACGGATCGTAGCACAAGGATCCTCTCCGTGCTCATGCATATCTGACCGGCTGTTGAACATTAGTACCCGCATTCAACCGAAGCGCAACTCCATCTCCACTGACCATGGCTAAGGGCGCCCGCAAAACAGGCTGCAGCGGCCTTGTGTAGATCAGCATCAGCCAGGACAATTGCCGGTTCCTTTCCTCCAAGCTCCATGAGGGTAGGTTTTGCGTGTTCTCCGGCTGTCTTGGCAACGGTGGAACCGATCAACGTCGATCCCGTGAAATTGATCTTGCCGATTGCTGGGTGAGCAACCAGATGTGCCGTCACAGCGCCCGCGTCTTGAGGCCGGTGATAGATGATGTTGAGACAGCCGGGAGGCAGGCCAGCGAGCTTGAACAATTCGCCCCAGATCAAGGCCGACTTGGGGCTGTTTTCAGATCCTTTCAAGACCACTGAATTTCCGGCCGCCAAGGCGAACGAGAAAGCACGTCCACCCAGAGGGTACGGATTATTCCTACGTAGTCAGAATTTGTAAAACAACATGTTCAGAATGGGCAGCATACCAAGGAGCGATGCCAAAAATTACTCCATAAGGCTTTTTCAAGACCAAAGCTCTCTGCTTTCGACCGAGCACCGTAGGTGAACTTGCCTCTACCGCAGTAGAGATGCGGCTGGCAACTTCACGCATGTATTCGGCCGATTCCAGCACCATCTTCATTGAGAAAAGATGGTCTTGGCCAGTTCCCTCTTCCTTCCTCCTGTCGTTGCTCCATCATGTCTGCCACAGTGTTGAAGATTTTGCGACGTTCTGCAGGAGTGGTCTTGCTCCATTGTGCGGATGCTTTCTGTGCGCTCACGGCAGCTGCAGTTGCCTCGTCGATGCCCGCAGATGCTGACTTGTACAATACCTTTTCATTGATCGCACTGACAACGTCGAATGTGTTGATCGTCGAGACTGGTTGGTTGCCGATCCAGAGTGGTACTGGCGAGGCTGTGCTGGTTGACATGGTGTGTGATGTATGTACTTGGCCCTTCAATAGATTGATTCGACCAAAAAGGCGTTGGGGGAAAGACATCGTGATAAGACTTCTTCGACGCAGCAAGAGCTTCAAATCGTCCCGTACTAATCTGCCGTGCAATGAACGGAAGGAGGCATACAACGAATCCTTCGACATTCTTAATATGCTGACAACGGAAGCTTTTTCGCCCACAGATGTGGTCATTCTGGATGGTTTCTCCGCTTTGATAGGATCGGTACTATCGCGGATCGGGCTGCAGAAGAGGCCGGACATGTATTGCCTCATCAGGCTCGCGGAAAGCCCGGCTTCGTCCAATAGAACGACGATCAATACAGGTAGAGCTTTGTTCGGTATGCAGAACGGCAATGGCCACGGAAAGTATCACGTCACTCCGCTCAACGTCATAAAGGTAAGGACTAACATACGAAGCTCCTCGAGGTAGACATATATTATCTCAGTCTCAGCTCCCGAAGTTTGAAGCATTTAAAAAACGTCCCTCCTCAATCGAAAATACTATACTCAACTAACAATGGCGAACACCTACAACATCACCGCGAAAGAAACATTCCCCAAAAGTTATTGTCACCTCAACGCAACCCCTGAGCAAGTCATCGATCGCTTTGCAGTATCCGAGCTGTGTCGTGCCTGGCCAGTGTACCGCGATGCTTCTGAATGGCAGAACTATCGAGATGCTTGGGCTGATAAAGAATCCTATCTTTGGACCAGTGAGTTGTTTTGGGCATTCATCGCAGAGAGACCACTAACGAGATATGGCAGCGTGGGCTGGCGGCGTCGATATCGATTCTTTTATCGAGATCTCGAAGAAAGGCCGTGCGAATGGCAACATGATCATGCATCGTGAGAATGGTACACTGGTATGTTGATTGGCAACGCATCGAAAGCTACACATACTCAGCTCACTCACATATGTGCAGGTCGATCTTAATCCTGAGACAGGTCGTGCTGTTGGCAAGATGAAGGCCACAATCACCCAACGCTTCATGTTCCCCAACAACGCCTGTGACGTGGAATGTGACTGTCGCTTCATCTTCTACTGCGTCAAGAGTTCAGCCGGCTGGAAGATCAAGTACTGCAAGCTCTTATACGAAAAAGACAAGGTCCTTCCACTGGACGGCAAGCCTCTTCCAGATTGGGACCACAAGCCTCTTCCAGATTGAGACCAGAAGATCCTCGACAAGTTTCCTGAGGGGTATAAGTGGCTTGGAGCTGCCCAGAAGATTATTGGGCATGACATGCTGTACGACTTGCCGACTATAAACAATGAGGGGTTCTTCGAGTTGTACGAGGCCATGGAGCTGTGGCTCGATGGGAAGGATGATGAGGTCGCGGGAATCCTGCATGTTCCTGGCCATTGAAGGGGGTTGTTGTCGGTCAGGATGCTCCACTCATACTGGAGGAGGCTGAATGGCCCATCGTCGATGGATTGTACTGCAGCATCGCCCTACTACAGCTTACAACACCGTTGCTTCTAAGCCTGATGCATAAACTATCTTCGACTCCAGCATTTTCTTCAAGAGACCCGCGTCTCCGCTCCTGCAGCCCACCTGATCAATGTCTCAATCCAGCTGTCGGTTCGCTTATACACTTTGTGAGGGGCGTTCTCTGTTCTGTAAGTACCGATCATAATGATCCCTGCAGTCCATCCAAAAGAGAAGTGCAGCAAGCCAGCCCACGGTCCAGACAAGGAAATGTGAGACCCAGAGCTTTGCCAATCATTCCAGCTGCAAGAAGTTTTGTACGGCCCAAACATCCCCTCAACCGCCCACGTGAGCGAAAAGTCCCCACGATACCGCCATGCGGCATCTGATACATGCACAAGACATTCGCTCAGTTGTTTCAAGCTATTCTTCAGTGTGATTCCATCCGGACTCGTCGTCAAGCGACTGGACCATGGAGAAGTGAGTCATGGGCTGAAGTACTCATCGACGGAACGAGTGCGACAGGCACGGCTAGACAGACATCCCAGGAAGAAGCAACAGACGGTATCGAGGTCGAAGGAAGTCTTATAAAGAACTGCATGTCTTCGTTCTTATCGAAACTCAGCTCACTCAACGACAACATCCATTTCCAGCGCCCACTCAAGCATTGGCCCACACAACAGCAGTCAGCCAAAAATATCCAATCATGAAGACCCAAATCGTGGCTTTTCTCATGGTTACCGTAGCCCAAAGTCTCGCCCTTGACGTGAGTCTCGAGTCCGTATCCATCGTGGCGTCCCACTGACAACATCCTAGATCGACAGCCCAGTAGCCGCAACCATTGTCACTACGGGAGCAGATAACACGGGGGTGGGCGCTGGGGCAGCGGGTGAGATCTCTCACAAAACACCCATGCGTCTCGAAGCTGAACCTGATCTTAGCGGCTGCACCATACGTGGGCATTGGAACTGGTGGAGGAGCTGGAGCTGGAGGAGTTGGGGGTGGACTTGGTGCTGGAGTCAGCAACACTGCAGTGGTCCAAGTTGCGAGCAGTGTCAATCCCGCAGCTGGAGGCGGCGTCGGCTCTGGTATCGCTGTTGCTGCGCCTGCTGCAGTCGGAGCGGGAGTGGCGTGAACATGACCAGCTTCTGTTAAGTGGCATGTTTGAAAAGAACAACGTCTGCTTTAACTCAGTGTAGGAGACATGTGTATATTGAAGGAAGCGCTATCTGCCTGATCAATCGAGGCCGTACAAGCTCCACCGATCAAGCACCTTGTCTTTGATGTCTTGCGGGTAGCTATGTTCAAAGTCACAGATTATCTAAGGCTCCTCACTAATATATTCTCCGGGTAGTAGACAGTTACTAACGACCTTCGAGCCGGACGAAATTATAATAGACTTTATAACTAAGCTCCCTATATTAATAGATAAAGCTATAGGCTAAAAGTATAATATAATACTAGTTATAGTCGACTACTTAATAAAATATATATACTTTATCTCTAGAATAGAGACGTATACTATAGAATAATTTAGATATATTATCCTAGATAGGCTAGTATAATACTATAGATTCCTAAAAGTCTTTATTATCGATAGAGATAAGCTCTTTATATCTAACTACTAGAAGATATTAGTTACTATAATTAGAATTAAATATAAACTCTCTATAGTATACTATCTATAAACCGATAAATAAATAGAATAGATAAACTAGACTTTAGAGTAATACTTATAATACTATATTAACTATATATAAAATAATAAGGCTTTACTACTACTTATAGTATAACTTATACTAAATAACTAGATCTCTAATACGATAGGTATAAACCTATTTTTTAGTAACTTTAGGAAGTAGCTTAACCTATTTAGAATAGAGAAAAGTTATCTCTAGGTATAAGCTATAATAGTTACTACTAAAGACCTATAAAAACTCTATAACTATTTTAGAAAATAAATCGAGTAATTTTAAGAAGCTCTTACTAGACCTTAAAATACTAAACGTAAAATAGTATTTTATTTTAAAAAAGGGGATAAAGTCTATTTTTATAGAAAGAACTTAAAAACGAGAAAAAAGACTAGAAAACTAGATTAGGTTAAAGTAAAACTATTTTTAATTAACGAACTATAAGGACTAGTTAACTACTAATTTTAACTACTATCTAACGCTAGAATATACTTTATATTCTACGTATCTTTACTTAAACTAGTAGACTCTAAAATACTCTACTAAATAATATTCTACTTCTAACTTAAAAAAGAAAATACTTTTAAAGTTAAAAAAATTCTAGAATAAAAAGGTTAGAAATACTTTATTAAGTAGAGAGAATACTTAGACTTAGAAAATACCTAGGAACTAAAAAAGAACTTTACGAACTGCTTCTAGCTTCTATAATAGTTCTACTAAAATTAGTCGGTTTACTAACTACTTTATTAAGACCTCTCTAGAACGCGTTATTAGCGTAGCTATTTAGAGCGCTCTAGGTAAAAGAACTTAGAGTAAAGCCCTTAGAGGGCCTAGGTTCTAATAGGATACCTATATACTCTAGCGTTTACTCTTTTTCCTTTTTCTTAGCTATTACGTACTTTTTAAAAGCGTAACTTTTCTCGACTTTATAGTTAATAGTATTTAGCTACTTTTATAGTTTTATCTCTTTAGTATAAGCTTAGGTAAGTAACTTCTTTGCTTTATCTAGCTTAGCTAATAACCTCTTCTACTAGTTACCTAGCTTTTTCTATTTAAAATTAGTAACTTTAGTATTATAGTATTTCGCGTTACTATAATAGTAATTTAAGTACTTTCTAGAGAAAATATATACTCGATATACTAGACCGTTCTTCTAATAATAAGAATATAGTTTTATAATAACTTCTCTAAAGTATTCGATTCGCGCGGTATAGCGTTTATAGCTTTATATAGATAAGGCGTTAGTTAGAAGAATATTATCTAAAAGAAAAAGAAATATTATCGTCTAAAGTATATAATAGAATAGAAAGTACTATATACTTATTATAGTAGCTTAGAACGAGCTAGGCTAGAAAGGAGATAGTATTATTATAAAGGAGTACTAAGAGATATTTAAAAACCTAAGAGGGATTAAAGTAAACTTTCCCTATATAATAGTATATATAATTCTCTAGTATATATTTTATACTCGCTATATACGAGGATAGAGAAAGTAGAAGTTTATTCTACGCTTAACCTAGTACTAGGTTAATTAGAGTTCTATATATTACTATAACCCTCTATTATAGTTTAAACTTCTCTATTTTACGGTCGTAATCTATAGAATCTAAAAAACGACGATAGTTAACCTCGCTAGTATAATATAGGCGCCTTTTTCTAGTATTACTTTCCTATCTTCTAACGATTAGTTCGAGTAGAACTTTTAGCCTAATATTACTACTAAAATCGAGAACTTACGATAGGAAAGA